ACCGTGTAATCGTTCAGCATTTATACCTGCTGTTCTGCTCTGTGCCTATAGGTTCACCTGCCCCTACAGTATGTGTGCATATGCAAAATAACTTGAATTTCGCTGTGTAAAAATAGTGTGTTGCATGTGTTATCTACAAGCGGGACACTGATTTGTTTTCTTCTGTAATCAGGCTTATAGATATATAGCCCTGGAACTACTGTTCATATCGAAAATTTCTCTGTTGTGACATTCAACCCCTATACTGACATGCTGTAACTTAGGTACATAGAAATAACTCTGAGTCTCATTTTGAGCATTCCTGAGATTGTTTTAGGCTTCCTGGCTTGGCACTCTGTACTCTTGTCTATAATTGAAGCTGCTAACTACCTTCCACTTTTGGAGCTTTGTCTCATTTTGCCAATCTTTTTACCTTGGAGTGTGTGGCGGTCGACAGGATAAGCACAGTATAGAATTCATTTTAGAAGCCAATACAAAACTTTGGGTAGGCATTTCCAAGTACTAGTCACACATTGAGAAAAGGCTAATTCTTATCTTCAACATCTGGTAATGTGCCAAAAAAAAATTGCAATTTCAGTAGAGAATATGGTATTACTCAGTAAAGGGCATCAATTTTTTTTTTTATTTGTCATAGTGAGTAGAGCATTATATAGCTCCTAGGAGCAGAGTAACGCAATCTTTTGTAGCTTGAGCTACACTGGTCGAGGTTGAGCAGTTTCGCGTGGCTCGCATAATGAGCCGTGCGGCGCATGCGCGAGGAGCAGTGACGTCACACGGCGCACAGCTGGTGCGCCGGAGCCGCCGCTGCAGCACGCTCCGCCACCGCCGCACGCGCCTCGCCAGTCTGCGTATTCCAGATGAGTGACATCATAGCCACGGCAGACGCACTGGCGCCGCCGCGTGCCCAGCTGTGCGCCTCCGTTGCGCATTAGCCAAGTCTGACACTGCACTGGAGCCGCTTGATAGCGCCTCTCATTTTGTGCGCATAAGCTTACACTACGTATATCCTGGCATAGCCGAGCCAAGCCACCACAATATTTGATCCGCCTGTTTTGCCAGCAACATGGCTGACAGAGCAGCTCGGCGCGAGTCACATGGTACTCGCGGTTCCAGGAGGCGGCCGCACTATGGGAGAACACATGAAGATCAATGCAACACGGCTGATTAAAAAATAAATGCCGAGCACACTTTTCGAAACTATTCTGTCGTGAAGTTGGTAAAGCACTAAACACTATATCAAAGTTTTCATAATATTGGATGCGTGTGAAAATTTTGAGAAGGCGATTTCCAAGTCAATGGCATTTGAAGCAGACAATATTTTTCACACAGCGGAGATAGACTTTTTGGATTGGCCAGAGCGGGTCACTTGAACGGTGTGACATCGCCATGTCTGCTGCATGATGCCGCTCAGGAAATTTTTTTTTAAATTGCGTTCTTACGTAGCATACAACTTAGCGCAAATTATTGTAAAATATTCCTTTATTATGTCAAAAACATTTATCGTTTTGTACATCCCTCAAATTAAAAAAAAAAAAAAACTATTTTCTCACGTTTCTTGTGCATTTGTGACCGGAGTTGGAACCTTCGGTCGTTCGCCGCTAGTTGCTGACAGATGGCGTTCTAGATTGCGCTAATCTGCTCCGATGGAGCCATATAGTGCTCTAATATGTGAAGTGGAGCTGCATAAAGGCTAAATAATACCAACTTTTTTTTAACTTTTTTACAAAGATTTACTGTATATAATGCAGTATTCCCATCAAACTATGAGTAGTAGTCCTAGGTTCTAACTATTGACAAGTCCTTTTATTGTCAGTTTTATGGCAACAACCTCTGCAGTGTATTTTGTTGTGGTGATGTACCTATTTTACAAGGTACAGATGATACAGCCTAGTGTAAACTTCTGTGCATTATTTTTTACATTGGTCTTGTTACTGCCTATGTTCCTACCCTGACAGTGTCTTCAAAGGTACAAATAAATAAAATCTAATTCTATGCATCTTTTTTTTTTATCATGTGTCTTTACAATGGTTTTTGGCATGTTATTAATATATACCTGCTACTACAGGTAGTTTGTAAAATTATTTTATCTTTTCAGTACTATGTCTCAACTTCGTTTGACAAAGTCGAAACATACTCGAAAAAGCATACCCGTGCATATGCACACAACTGCATGGGCGTACCAACTGGGGGGCAAGGGGGGCGCTTGCCCCCCCCCCCCCCCCTTCCAGTTCTCAGAGTGTGTGGGGGGGGGGGGGGGGTGGGGCAAGGCTTGTGTTTTGCCCCCCTGAAACAGCCGCCGCTGGGCAGGGCAAACACTGGCCAGCAACGCCCAAGGAATACCAAGTGAACAGCCCCCCGACCCTGGAAGGGGGGCGGTTCCCTTGGTTTTGCCCCCCACTCAAAAGCAAGTTGGTATGCCACTGCACACCTGCCCCTTCACTGTGTGTGCATATGCAAAATAACTTGAATCTCGCTGTGTAAAAGTTTTGTTTTGTATGTGTTTCTGCAAGTGGGACACTAATTTGTTTTCTTCTGTATTCAAACTACTGTTCATAGCGCAGATTTCTCTGGTATGCATCCAACCTTTATACTAACGTGGTGTAATTTGCATAGGAAGAACTCTGAGCCTCATTTTGAGCCTTCTTGAGATTGTTTTAGGCTTGCTGGCCTGCACTGTGTACTCTTGTGCTACAATTAAATGCTGCTGAATACCTTCCATTTTTGTATCTTGTCTCGTTTTGCCGTTTTTTTTTTTTTTTTTTTTTTTTTAGTGTGTGGTGGCTGATAGGACTGGCCGACTGGGTGCGAATTTTCAAGTAATATAGTCGCACATTGAGAAGCCAGTTCTTATCAGCTCGATGGTAATGTGTCAAAAGAAAAAAAAGTAACAATTTCAGTACAGAATATGATATTTCTCAGTACTGTAGGGCATCATCTTTTTAATGTTCATAGTGAGTGGAGTGGGGCTTTGCATAAAAGCTAAATAACTCAAATGGTTGGGTTTTTTTTTACTCCTTTTTAAGGTTTACTGTATACAGTACAGTTCTAACTATTGACAAGCCTTTTTATTGTCAGTTTTATGACAACCTCTGGCAGTGTATCTTGTTGTGGTGATGTGCCTATTTTACATGGGTACAAATGATACAGCACAGGCTTCTGTGCATTATTTTCTACCGTCTTCAAAGCAGCGAGGCTTCAAAGGTACAAATAAGTAAAACCTTAGGATATGTTTTAATATATATACTTGCCACAACAAGTAGTTTGCGAAATTCTTTTACTTTTTTAATGCATTTTGTCATCTACACTAAGAAAGGGCACACCGATTGTTTGCGCTTACAAGCTTCCTGAGAATTACGCTAGGATATATGGAAGAATTTATGTCTGTGCCTTTGAAAGTTTCAACAGTACTACAGAGAAACAACGCTTTGATTTGCATGTGACGTCTGCGACACGAAAGAAAGGGCAGCGGAGAAAAACTCACTGGAGATAAGCTCACCGCAAAACTGTCCGATGTAGAGAAAAGCTCACTGACCTTTTGACGGATGTAGAGAAAAGCTCACCTACGAACTGAACTATGCTGGCATGCCTTATGCACATGCGTTCATTCTGCACCTCACTAGCAGACTATATTTTTAAAAAATATAAAAAATTGTAAAGCCTCTTTACTTCACATGAAGATGGAGGACAAGCGAAGCTGTTATCATTACGACGTCTAGGACAATGCCTAGAGGACGACATCTAGGACGACTTCTAGGATGACCTCGAGGATGATGCCTAGAGGACGACGTTTAGGACGACCTTGAGGACGACGTCTAGGACGACCTCGAGGACAACTTCTAAGACAACCTTGAGGACGACGTCTAGGATGACCCCAAGGATGATTTCTAGGATGACCTCTAGGACGACCTCGAGGATGACGTCTAGGATGACCTCAAGGACGACTTCTAAAATGACCTCGAAGACGACGTCTAGGAGGCCCGCAAGGACGATTTCTAGTATGACCTTGAGGACAACGCCTAGGACGACCCCAAGGACGACTTCTACAACGACCTCGAGGACGATGCCTAGAGATGATAACAAGGGATCAAGACCTCACTATCTAATAATGCCAAGGAAGGCTGACTCACGCTGGTTGCCCCCTTTTCTTATTTTTATTTATTCATACTTGCCACGACCCGCGGACACATTTCTTCCGAAATCCTAACACATAACAGCTTCGCGGCAAATTTTTTTTTCTCTCTATTTTGTTTACAGCAGAGCGACTTGGGCTGGCTTGATAGAAACAGCGTCTCAGCTGAGACTGTGTGAAAGAACACACTGCGAAAGCCAGCGCACGAGCTGAGGACTCGAGCCGGGTCTCAAGAAGCTCGCACGCCCCTGCCTTTCCAGTGCTTTCTTTCACCCAGTCTCAGCTGAGACGCTGTTCAAGCGAGCCAGCCTTGATGTCAAGTATGTACCTTGACGAACATAAACAAAAAATTCACGTTAACTCATTAAAATATATATATATATATATTTTTTTTTTTTACTATACTCGCTGGCAGCTTTCTCTGGCAACGCAGTTAATGCTAAAGGAGAGGGTGCACCAACCGCTGGCATGTACACGCGGTTTCCTCCTCTCTTGGGATTGTTTCAGAAAGCTGATATACAGGGTGTCACAAAAGAAAATTTACACGGTCTTTTTTACCGCAAAAATAAACTAGGCATCGCCGAACGCTCATTCTCCGCCCAAAGGTAGCGCTATAGGTCACAACCAGATGCCAAAGTTTCAGCCCGATCCGATAACTTAATCAAAAGTTATAAGTGAATTTCTGAAAATTTCAATGGGAAAATGGCGGCCGACGGAGTTTTCAAACAAAACGGGCGAAAACGGGCTCCATTTTCCCATTGAGATTTTCAGAAAATCACTAATAACTTTTGATTAAGTTATCGGATCGGGCTGAAACTTTGGCATCTGGTTGTGACCTCTAGCTCTACCTTTGGGCGGAGAATGAGCGCTCGGCGATGCCTAGTTTATTTTTGCGGTAAAAAAGACCGTGTAAATTTTCTTTTGTGACACCCTTTAGTGCGGTGGAAAGTGCTCATTCGGGGCACAAACTTACGTAAAAGTCTGTCCCCGAATGAGTTCAAACATCTACGTTCTTGCCCGTGTCCTTGCGCTCTTTTAAATTTTTATGCACAAACTTATTCGATTAAAGTTTGGAGCTGCAGCCTCAACCCTTTTTCGAAGTAAATTACAAAGAACCGCATCGCGCTAACTCTGTTACACGGCCTACCTGGCGGTACGCCGTATTCGAGGTGTGCTTTTCTCCGGGAATGTCAAAAGACTGATGAGTTTTTCTCCGGACCCGCACAAAAGTGGGTGAGCTTTTTTCCAGTGAGCTATTTCTCCGGGATTGCGAAAAAGAATCGAAACCGAAACAAAATAACAAAACATAAAATATGCAATATAATTATGGAAGCGTAAGCTTTTCAGCTTTTCTTTTTTATGTTACTTTTTTTGCATGCAGAATGAATTTCTAGTTGTACTTTGTTTACTTTCTCTTGCGAATAATTAAGTCGGAAGTACCTGACGTTAGCAGTTTTAGCCTATTTCAATAATTAAGTTAGCAACACAAGCATACTTTTTTTTTTTTTTCATTTTGTAAGCAATGTGCTCCGGTGAATGAATTCGTCTACATGTGGACCTTTGAAGGTCTTCTGTTTTTTAAATCAATTTTATTGCCATAACGCTTCTGAATACTGCAAAAGGTAAGTATTCGGGCAAGCAGCGTTTGTTTTATGACCTTACTCATCCTCTATGACCAAGCTTTAGCAACGAATATTGCCGCGATTACTGAGACGCTTTTGGACACTGGTTAGTTCGTTTAAACATGATCATATTTAAAATAGATAAATAAGGGACGCCAGAAGTGTGTAGACACGTTGTACACGTCCCTTTTTTTCTGTATTATAGTTACGGGATCTTTAAGTATGACCATGACCGCGGTGGCGTTTATTACGAAGAAACCGCGGATTCGTGCTGATACCAAAAAATCTGCGTGGTGTACACACTTTTTTTAGGCGCATGCCGTACCTACTTTGCGGAGTGCACACTTGTTTGTTGTCGGTTCATCCCAACCTTTTTTTAATTTCTAACTTGGCACTGTACCTTTTTTCCAAAAACAAAACTGCCGTGTGGGGAAAAAAAAGAAAACAAGATGTTTGCCAAAAGAATCCCGTTCGTCATACATCGATGCTTGGCACAACGGACGTTTCAAGCTGCACAACTGAAATTGTCCAAGTCCTACACCTCTGATGCGTCAGTGGACAAGCATCACTCGTTGACATCTCGAAGCTCGAAGTTGGCGCTCACTTCTCAAACGACGCTGAAGGATGCTGGTAAGTGCCCGTGAAGTCGTCGCACCGCAGAAAACAAATGATGACGCAAAAGGGTTGGCCACATTTTTTTGTTCCTTCTCGCTTTCGCAGACATCATAACGGAACAGCTGCACAAGGCCAAGTCCATCGACAAGGTCCTCGAGCTTGTTAGCCAGCACCACGGTGTGATGAATAACAGCCAAGTGCTGTCTGCATTTGACTGCCTTTTTGAAGCAGCGAGGTAAGACTCGAAGACACTAAACAAGTGGTAGTGCCGGTTTTGCGGCATTAACCCTGTCATTTTTGGTACTATCACTGACAGAATGAGAACGGCTGGGAGAAGTTTCAGTTGTCCCGCCCCCGGCGCAAGCATTCCACCTTCGATAACGCTTCAGCATTATCGAAGGTAGAGGGCCGGGCATTCAACCTTCAGTTCTCACCTGGTCAGTGACTATGGTTGTATTGGTTTTTGGAACTGTAAGGGCGCGCATACAGTCAGTGGCATTTGAACAGGGGAGAGTGGAGAGGGGGTCAGAAGAATCGCTTTTTCACTTTTAGATATTTCCAGTAAACAATTTAAGTGAACGGGTGATGAATCAACTTTCCTCCTTCCGCTGCCGCCTCATCTCCTGAGCTCTTCCGTTGCCACCGCACAGTTGATGTGCTCAATTTCGGCGTAAACAATGAAGGGCCTCTTCAGCCTAAAATGGGGGTTGTTGGTTTTATATAAAAACCTTGTGGCAAGCACCAGGACCTTCTTGTGTAAGTGTTTATAAAATTTCAGCTTGCAATTCGAATGAAGCATGTAAAATGCTTCTGGAGATTCCCGTATTGCAACTCGCTCGATAAACGTGCCGTGGCGTAACAGGATCAGGATGCCGTCTCCTTAGGGTGCTCCTTCCTCCGCCCTCCTCGCCATCTATACGTTGCTTCCTCTCCCGCTGTCCTGCCTTATTGGCGTTGCGGGGGTCGCATCGCGCATCTCTGGTGTCTTTTCTGAGAACGGCTCAATGTTGCAAAGGAGGGGAACCGAAGAGATGTGACGTCATGATTGGTGGCTATAGTGTCCTGTTACTTCACAGATTTCGTTGAGAGAGGAAACGAAAATCTGCACATCAAAATCTGAGCTTGTCGGATTAATTTCCTGATGAAATCCTAGTTAATTTAGTTAGATAACTTCGCAGCGTAATTGATGGTACGTAAAACTGTGCGAGGCGTGAAGATTTACGATCGCTACTTTTAGGGTTGGGGAGAGGGCCAAACTAGGTTCCAGAAGAGAGATCATAACAGAAACCAGAGTTCATGGTCACATAGTTCCATGTTGGAGGAGAAACTTCTTTGTGTAATCATTTTGCTGTAGTGCAAGGTTCCTCAAACTTCGAGGAACACCTCTCTTGATTGATTTTCTTGTAGACAATAATGCATATGTTAAGGAGTGTTTGCCACATTGTCTGTATCAGTGGATGACTCAGATCTTCTAAAATAATGCTCAGACTGGAAGAAGACTTTACCTAGGGGCAGCGACGGTTGAGGAGCTTTAGGAACTCAGGGAACACCCTTAGAGTACTTTGGAAAGCCCCTGGGTTCCTAGAGACTCAGTTTGAGGACCTAGGCTGTAGTGAACAAAATAGGCATCAAGGCATTATTTGCTTCCACACCCTTCCTTCCAACCGTGCTATCTTGATTTTCTTCTCCCCAGGGAAGCAGGGACGACAGACTACACGGCCATCACATCGCAGCCAAGCTTTCGGGAACTGTGCAACCGGGCCCTGAAGCGCATGCGTTTCTACGAGATTGAAGACACCATCTCGCTGTTCAAGATGGCCACCTTCTTCAAGATCCCCGCCAACACGGGCCTGGTACAGGCCATTGCACAGATGCTGAGGCACAGCATCAATACCCTATCCCTCCAGCAGCTCATGTTCATCAACAGCCTGCTGGTGCAGCAGAAGAACGGCTCCTCACTGACCGAAGCACTCAAGATGGCCGTGCCCCTGGTATTCCAGACCCAGCTACCCATTCAGCTGGACTTCACCAACGCGGAGGATGTCGTGCAGTGCTTCAAGTTTGCCTACCAGAAGGAGCTCGACCCTGCGCTGATCGAGGTGTGAGCACTTGTGCAGCCCCCAAGCTGACCCTTGTAGTTGCTGCTCTGCGTGATGCCTTTCGTGAATTTTAATTGCTGCCACAATTAAGTTCTACAAAGGCTTAAGGCCCGTTCACACTCTTGCGACCGAGTACGACTGAGAGAGACGAGATCTCTTAAAACTTCTTAAATGTTTTTAGAATGAGGGAACACACTGGCATTGTGGCTTCATCTATGCGGTGACCCTGGAACTGCATTTCACAAGAGCGAAGGTTTTGCGGGATTTTCGAGATCAAATGTGCGTAGTATCCATAGAAAGGCTCGTTTATAACATTGATAAAAGTTATTCGAGCCAAGAAAGAAAGGATAGTGCGCGAGAAATAAAAAGAAATATGCCGGACCGCCGAGTTTACACTGCTTCCCAATAGATGGCGCCAGTGTGTTTTCTGGTTTAAGAAGTTTTAAGGAACCCAGGTTTAAGAGGTCGCAAGAGTGTGAACGGGCCTTTAGTGCAGTGGCATAGCCAAGAATACTTTGTAAGCCGGGGTGGGGGAGGTGGGGTGAGAAAAGGGGGGCGGATGCAAAGGTGGTTAGGATATCCATGACTTGAGGGTGTGGGGAGAGGGTTGGTGCCATGCCTATGCATGTGCAGGCATGTCTCATTAATATGGATACCCCACTATATAGACAAAAATTTTTGGGGATGAACTGGATGAAAAAAGGGCCTTTATGTCCCATTATTATGGGTGACTTACATTATGAGCGATTTTTCGAGAAACGGATGTCTCCATATTAAAGGGACACTGACGGGGTATTTATGCTCGCCAAGGTTTTTATTTGTTCATGACATGCGAGAGCCCAACTACCCAGAAAACAATTTGCTGCTTGAAGTCTGTTTTCTTTCCGCCGAAAAGCCTCCGATCGGGAATTGGCCGGTTTGAATCTCGCTCATTCTCTTCTCTGTGGTCACATGCCGTTTTCTATGGTTTAGACACAACCACCATATATAATCAAAGTCGTGGGTCATCGAAGGCACAAACACAATATTAAAGATATAAAAGAAATATGATACCCATTTTTTGTGGCTTCTAAAAAGCTGCAAATACATTGATTGGAAAAAAAAAGAAAGTTCCACAGCCACGTGATTTTTGCCAACTCTTTCCTCTATGTTTCTTCTTCGTCCCCAGTCCAGTTTCAATTTCGATTTCGAGCAGTTGCGTTTTTTTTTTTTTACTTTATTAAAAATATATGCGATGCTGTAGAAAAATATTGATTGGGTAGTCTTCCGACACCATAATGAATCACCTGACAAAAATCAAAAAATAAGTTTTGGGGAATGTCAGTGTCCCTCTAACGAGAGGGGACTGTTAGAGTATTTGGGGGGGGTTAGGCCTCATAAGCTCTGCCATTGACTTTGCCCCTGCTGCAACCACAGTAAAAAAAGTTAGGCTTCTCACAGAGAGTTTTTTACTTCCCCATTTAAGTGATGAATTAAGGCATCCAAATTTAAGATTAGTTATTTGTTATTTTATCAAACCATGCACATTTCAAATGCATCATTTTCCCCTCTGACAACCAGGCAACCAAATCTTGTAAGAAATGCTTTGCACAGCCTATCAATTGTGCACAAAACCTTTATTTCTCATTAGGTGAAAATGCATCAACAAGTTTTCTGAAACTACAGTATTAGCAGTAGTAAAAAAGAATAAGGGCAGGGGTGTAGGCACCAGTGGTCGGTAGTTCAATAGTATATTCATGGTGCTGTGCTCTTATGAACTTGCTGTGAAAGATGATTGAAATGCTGTCAGAAAATGATCAGTATCTTTAAAAAAGTGCATGAAACATTATTTTAAACCAAATTACAGTTAAATTAACACAAAATTACACAAAATGTTATTTTAAACAAAAATACCATTGAATTACCATGGAAGTCCATGGAATAAAAGTAATTGCAAAACTATAGAAATGTAGGCCCTCTAGACTTCAAGAAACTATTGTAGGGTCCTTAACTCTCCCTGAAGTGTTTTGGTAGTGTCACAAACAGTGAAAAACACGCACACACACAAAGAAAAAGAAGAAACAGCAGTAATTTTATATGCTAGTTATAAATATCAGAAAACCTTTGGAAACCTCATCAGAAATGTGTATAAAATGCCTCTGAATATCCACCTGAGTGTGGTCGAAAACTATTCAAAAATTTTGAAAACCCGTTGCAACCCATAAAAGTTAAGCAAGCTTTTGAGGTGCTAATAATAATAATAATAATAATAATAATAAAATCTTTATTCATCTTCAGTATACATCCAAATCACTGCATATCACATCTGGATCCAAAAAAAACAAAAACAAGACCTAAAAGAGTTGTTAAAAAAAACACTTTAAAATAAAAAAAAAAAAAAAATATATATATATATATATATATATTTATTTCCAATTGAAAGCTTCAGAAAACAATCGTAATAACAAAAAGCCTGATAGCTTGATAAAATTACATTTTAATCATTCTCTGTAAAAAGCTCTTTATAAACAGGAATAGCTTATGTAATTATTAGAAACTGCTGGAAGAGTGTCAACAAGTTATGGGGAACTTTAGAAAATAAGCAGATGACTATGGAGAAGTAAGATATGAACCATCCAAAAGGAGTGATTAACCTTAAAACCACTCAGTATCCATATTACTACATGGTAATAGCTATAATTACCTTAGAGAACTGGACAGGATACTGTTATCAATTTTGTGTGACGTGTCCATTGCGACAGTTTTAATCGGCTGCAGGAGTTGTTTTTTTTATTTTACTTAGCTATTTAGAGGATTTAGTGTCTAAATTATGTAGAGTCTAGAAGTGCATGTAGGTGCCCTGCACATAATTCAGAGGTACTACAAAAAATAATATACAGAGCTATCCCTTTATGCTTAATAGTTGTACACCTCTGCAAGGTTTCACCCGACTTCCAATTTTCATCGGAAACCCATTGCCTAATGAGCCATCGATAAAGCTTTTTTCCCAGGAGGAGCGGCACGGGGCTTGCCGCTGAATACGATCGCATTGTAAAGCAGCCATAAATTTAGCAGAAATCTGCCACCCAACCAAACCAAATTAGGCGTTTATGTCCAGACAGCATAAGGTCGGCATGTCTTTCAGGTGTACGCTGTGGATAAGGAATTTAGCCTGTGCCGTACGGCTGCTAGCCTGTGGTGTCTAAAGTGCATCGCGCAGTAGTGATATACGACCACATGCCGTTAAGATGCCCATCCGGATCGAAATGGGCAGGAGTAGGGATTGAACCCAGAATCCCTGGGCTCTGCAGCACGAGCTTTTGCTCCACGTGCTCCGGGCGGCGGTGCGCCAACACGCTCGGCCACCGATCCCCCCGACCCTGCCACCCTTGGTTCCAGAAACTGGCGGTGTCCCTGCTGTCGCACGTGCCCAATCTGACGTCCGAGCAGGCGGCCACCCTGGTGCTGACCGTTGGCCTCACGGCGCCGTCGGCGTCCTCCGCCATCCCGGGAGTTCTCGACCTGGTTACAGCTGCTGAGCGGGTCGTCGTCTCCAACCTTGGCTCGTTCCCTCCCAAGGCCATCCGTGCCTTTCTGTCCTGCTTCATGCGTGGCTTCTACTCCAAAGACCTGCTGGAGGCCCTCGTGCGCAAAGGCATGCAGGAAGGCTGGGAGCTCTGGCAGATGTCGCTGCTCCTCCAGGGCTGCCTGCGCGCCAAGTACGCGACTCCCGAGCTCTCGGAGTATGTGGCAGAGCGGGTGGTGAAGGAGGCGGGGACGGTCTCCGACGACGGCCGCGTCTCCATCGTGGTGTTTGCCCAGGCCGCCGCGGCGTGCCCGAAGAACGCCCCGACGTTCCGGGAGGCGGGCCAGGTGCTCGCGCTGTGCAGGGATAAGCTGCACCTGGCCCAGCTGGCCGTGCCGCACCTGTTCGTTTCGACGGCGGTGAGCCTGGCGTCGCTGCACTGCTACCCCAAGGAGGTGCTGGACGTCGCGTTCAGCGAGGAGTTCCTCTCCAAGGCCAGGTTCAAAGGTGCGCTACCGCTTTGCCAGGCGCTGGGAGAGGACTGTACGGCCAAATTTGGGGGTTTGTTGTGCCAAAAGACAAAGGGCATCTTGCACGCCCCGGCGGAAGACTAAGGATTAATTTCGACCACCCGCGGATCTTTTGGTGTGCAACCGAAATCTCGGTTGCACGGTGTTTTCTCCTTAATAGGTTTCTGTCGAATTGTGGGCACCTCGGCCAAGACTCAAACCTGCCACGCGGGGATTTGTGGGGCGGTGCCTTGCTTCGGAGACATCGAGGCGGAGAACTGTACAAGTTGGGAAGTTTATGGTGTCCGTGGGAAGAGGGAACTGCTTGCTCTTTTGCAGCAAAAAGAGAAGGCATTATTTTTTTATGTAGTCCTCATTTACTTATTTAGCCAGAGTTTTGTTGGAGGCTAGCATTAGTTGGAAGCAGTATCATTTATTTTAGTTAATTTTTGTATTAAAACTGTATGAATCAAGACAGAAAAAGCTACACTGAGATGACAGTAGCATCGTTTGGCTTACCTGCACTGCCTGCGCCGGTATTGTGTATTGAGATACGACCGGTAGTACACTGCTCTACACTTTTCTGCACCAGTGCAGAAGTTGCAGGTAAATCGAACGAAGCTAGTACCATTAGCCAGCCGGTAAAGTTGTCTCCTGGAGTGCTGTATTCGCTTTGCTGTCATGAGAGTAAGCGTGGGTAGACGCATGCAGATGTGGTGTTTGCTAACGTTCTGTGCAGTGCTAGCTCAGCGGTGAATCAATACTACAGACAGCACAGCACCGAGTGGGGAATGTATTGGCGCTGTGGCGCTGATATAGCGCAAAGTCAGTGCCGTATCAGCATAAGTTGCATTTAATTTTTATCACTCTTAAATTGCCCATTTTTGCACTCTACATAAAGGGAGAGGGGGGATTATATAAAGTCAAGGAGGAGCACTTATACATACAGGATACGACTCAGCATCTGGCCAGGTCTTGTGTTTTAAGCATGTCTCTGAAGTCATCAGTGTTAGATAAAGCAACGAGTCAGCGCTCTTTCTAGCACTGACTGATAGCTCTGAGGTAGCGCCATGCCAGATGCGCGAGCAGCCCTTGTAGTGTCCCGCTTAGGTTTGGGCGCCGCGAGCCCATTTGTGCGTGCACCACTCGTGATTCGGGCCGTCCGCTCCTGCCGCGCCCAGTGCCCCAGAAGCGCTGGGCTGGCATGCTGCGGGACCTTCTGCAGCTGGAGCAAGGGGTGCGCATCGAGCTCAAGGGGGGCTACGAAGGACCCCTGCTGCCGGAGTCCCTGAGGCAGGAGGCCATTGCCCTGGTGGCCAGGGAGAGCAGCACCCTGCTGCCCCTCAAGAAGAGCCTGGAGGTGGCCCTGGGAGGAGGCCAGTTCCTCAAGGCCGCCCTGTGGACGCGCCATGGCTACTTTGTCGGTGAGGGCAGCCATGCCAACAGTCGACGGCGATTTGCCGTCCCGTTTGGCGGAGACGCGGAGCTTATACTACTTTTGAGAATGTGGTAAACACGCCGGTCGTTTACCCCGAAGCCGACTGTGCATGGAAGCGAAGTGCTGATTGGACTAGTCATATCATATGCTGACCTGTCGCCATGTGATCACACTCTTGCCCATACCCAGGCGCAGAGAGGAGCGATCAGGTGAAGAAAGGGAGTCTGTCGACCGCTTCAGAGAGTGCGTAGCTCCCCCTGTATCGTCGGCTTAGGTGTGAATGGAGTATGGGCCTCTCTGCTGGATAAACCTTCCGTCACGTTATGGTGCCCGGAATGCGTCTTGGATCGGTCTGTTCACCCTGTCCGTCCCTGAAACCTACGTAAAGTTCCGAAAGAATGCCCCCCCCTAAATCAAGAGATAAATGGTGAAAAACATGGAGTGGGCTATCTTTGGGGATGCCACAGCAAAACTTAATCAAAAATGAATGATAAACACCCTGGCACCGGATACAAACCATGTGACGTTGGAACTGATACCACAAATCGCGGACACCGCAAAATCACATTTCACGATGCAATAAACACACAGGAATTCACTACAAACTCCTTTGTCAAGGGAAAGAATATTGCAGGTTGCAAACGCAGCAGATCCACGTTTCACGGTGCGAAGGACCTGCGGGAACTTGCCGAGAACTTGCATCTCGCGGGAATGAATACCACAAATTGCGAACGCTGCAGATTCTCAAGTTTTATGGGGCAGTAAACTTGTGGGAATCCGCTACAAACTTGCCTGTCACAGAAACCGATATTGCACGCGCAGATTGTGAACAAAAACGCGTGAATCCGCTACAAACTCGTATGTTATGGGAACAAACACTGCAGATTACGAACGCAGCAGAATCATATTTCACGATGCGATATGCACACAGGGCAAACGCACGTAAAATCGAAATCGTGCGCGCAGATTACGGACAAAAATGCGGGAGTCCGCTACAGACTTTGTCACGGGAACGGATACCGCAGATAGCAGACGCAGCAGATTTGCAATTCACAGTGAAACATGCGTGCAGGAGCAAATCGCGTGTTACGGAAGCTGATATCGCACTTGCAGATTATGGACAAAAACGCGGGAACGCGCTATGAACTCACATGTCAGATGTGCCAGTACAGCAAATTGCGCAATTCATGCGGTTCCCGTCGGACATCACATGACGTCCGACGGGAATCGGGGGGGTGGGGGATGTTTCGGAATTTTTATGTTACAGATATTTAGACAGAAAAACAGGATGGGTAATCTCTCGGGGACGGGGATTAAAGAATGCTCCACTGCATCGATGGCTTGATGATCCAAAGGAAAAGTTGCCGCTCATGTATACAATCTTCAAGGAGCGGCTCCCATCGAGGTCACAGCATCGCTCATCACGCCAATGGCTCCTGCTGCTTTGAGGTTTATTGCGCTTGAACCGTCCAAGTTCCCCAGTTTCGGCAATCTTCAGGCCCCTGAGGGGTTTGTCGACAGCCTGGATTCTGTCTCTTTCCTGAATGGCTTTAAGCCTGAAGGTCGGCTGTCTCACAACAGTGCCAGGAGCCCTCGAGGGCAGCACGAAACTCTGGTTCCGTTTCACTGGGAATTTCACGGATTGAGCGGAGTTTGTCGCAGCATACCGGGGTTAGTTTGTGCCCATTGACTTGAAAAAACGACTCAAGAAGAAACTGTGCCATCATACCCAACCGCCACAGGAAAACCTAACCAGTTTATGTATGTCATCGGAGCATATACTACAAGCGGCTCAGGAAACCAGTCACGGACGCCGAGAAAGTCAACCGGGTGCTTTGTCACATGCATTCTCAATTCCATGACTTCGCGGAAGGCAAAACTTGCTAACTTGGAAGAGCTTGCCCAGGCAGCAGATGGGCTCATGGAGAGACCGTGGCAGCACCTGCAATATGTGCCTCCACCGCCGTCCGGCACTCAAATGGAACGTGACCTGGCCTTCCGCAGCCAATCGACATGTGCCCTTTCATCTGTTGTCCTGCCGGCAGCTCACAACACAGCCCTCGCAATGACGGGAGGGGCGGCTTGCCTGACATTTGCAGCCTTGCTAGACACCGGTTCCAGCTCAAGCCTTCTGGGGATGCCATTTGTGATGACTGCCCAGGCTAAGGGACAAAAACAAAAGAGGGGCGTCCAAGTCCTACACCTGGCAACTGGATGGTCGCAGTGCACCACGTCACTCTGATATAAGATTCATTGGGCAGGCAGCTCTAGATGACAACGCTTCCTTTGCATGCCTAACTTGTGCCGCGTCGGTGTCCTTCGGAGAGACTTCCTCACTGTATCCAGCGTTTCAGTGCATGTGGCTCTTTGTGGACGGACTGTTGGCACCAAGACATAATTTGTAATACCATATGTAAAAAGCATGAATTTTAACCGCACATTCTTGGCGGCGCAGAACTACTGTCTCGACAGCCTCTTCGCAGAACAACCAATCTCATTTGTGGTATCCCACCCCAGTGCCGCAGCAGTTGACGGAAAAGCATAGCCCGTGATCGGCTCGCTTATGAAAGAATTTTTTGATGAGTTCAAGCAGGTTTTCACCAAAGTTTCTGGATGCACATCACTAACCAAGTACAGGATCGAATCCGGGGATGAGAGGCCATCTTGTTGCAGGTTGTGCCCGGTTAACGCCCGAAAACAGGAGATCATAGACCGCTGCATCCAGGACTTGTTAGTGTAAGGACTAAAATGTTGAAGTAACAGTCCATGGTCTAGCGTACCAGTGCTCATGGCCAAGAAAATGGGGGGCTTTTGGCTTGCTGTGGACTACCGACCCTTGAAGTCCCGCATCAAGGTCCCAGTCTATCCCATGCTGCGCACCAGTGAGGAGTGCTAGTTCGTCTGCTTCTTTTGCAGGGGTTGTGGTGACGTCAGAACGCCAAGTTCTGATTGGTTCTGAATGAAGGCTAGTGGGTATACCTCAAGGCAGCTTGCTTTGAGGTCTACCCACTTTCCTTCAATCAGAGCCTATCAGAGCTTGGCGTCTTTCTGACGTCACTGCAACTCCTGTGCAAGAAGCAGATGACTTGCTCTCCGCATTGGCTCCTGGTGCAGCTGGGCAGTGCGCGATGGTCCACAAGCTTCGACTTGTTGCAAGGATTCTTTCTGATTTCCGTTGTCAAGAAAGATATACCGAAGACCACATTTATCTGCCGTCAAGGCACTTTTGAGTTTACTAGGATGCCCTTTGTACAGGGTACTGCAGGACGTCCACCGCAGCTTCGCCATGCCATTCCTAGACGACGTGCTGGCGTATTTTCCAACCCTAGATGAGCATATTGTGCATGTTCAGGAGGTACTAGGGCGTATCAGAGCAGCCGGTCTTGCAGTCAACCCTGACAATGTCCAAGTATGCTGCCAAACCTTCAAGTTTTTGGATCACACTACCTCTCCTGGACAGTGCAGGCTGGACCAAGGAAAAAAATGGCTGGAGTGTTGGACTAGCTATGTCTTCTAATGGTCAGGCAGCTACAGGCCTTTCTGGGACTGGTTAGTTACTACCGCAACTTTATGCCACCATTTTCAACCATGGCTCGTCCCCTCACATACCTTTTAGGGCACAAGCAAAAATGACAGTGGCATCAGGAGCGGGCATTCACCAGCCTCAAGCAGATGTTTGCCGGCGATGCCATTGTGAGCCTACCTGACCGGAATCAACCTTTTGTCGTAGAGACTGATGCCAGTAAAGTAGGCATAGCTGCGGTGCTTTTGCAGCAAGGTCCCTGTAGATTTCAGCCCCCGTCTTTCATCAGCAGAGTGCTCAGCAATGCTGAGAAGAACGACACAGTCCAGGAGTGGGAATGCCTTGCAGTGGTCAGTCAGGCCCTATCTCGAGTTCTTCAACTTCGTGATTTATTGCAACCACTCCTCTCTCTCCAGATGTTCAGTGCTGAACAAGCCTCTGCTCGTGTAAGGTGGTGGGCCCTCCGCCCCCAGGGCTTCAGCTGTAAGATCAGACACAGGAGAAGATGTTCGAGCATCCCCGCAGATGCGCCCAGCAGAGCACCTGTCCAACTCGCTGATTTGCCTGACTGCAGCCTCCCAGAGACACTATTTCCCCTCACTGCACCTGACCCTGACCCGTGCATCAGCTTTGAGGCGTATGCGACAACGCTCTTGGTGAATGACATCAGTCTACTGAACGATGCAGAAAAGCTGGCTTCTGAACTGGCAAAGGACCATCTGCTGGCCACCCTCAAAATAATGGTTCAAAGTAGAGATCTCCCAGAGGATGCCCCAAATTCTCGCTTGCTACAAAACCTGACAAAGACAACTGAGGTGGATGCACTGGACTACTTGCACAGCTTGGAGGAGAAAAAAGGGTGCCGTGATTTCCAAAATACCTTCGTGGACTGGCACTGCAGATAGCCCACGACCGTCCTACTAGCACCCACGCCGGATTCTTCAAGACTTTGAGGTGCATCTCAGGTCATTTGGTATGGATCAGAATTTGGGCTGACATTGCCAAATACGTCTGATGCTGCCGGGTGTACCTGCGCACGAAGGCCCACCATCAGAAGCCAGGGCGTCTAACGAATAGCCAATGTGGTATGGGGCCTCTGCAGAAACTTAGTGTGGACATCGTCAGCCCCTTACCCACCACACCTTGCCGCTTCAAGCTCCTGCTGGTGGTGATCGACCGATTTACGAAGTTCATAGAGCTCTTTTCTCTTCGGTCTGTCACAAGCAAGACCATTGTGAACTGCGTGCTCGGGGTATTTTGCCGCCATGGTGTACCCATGGCTATTTCAAGCGATAATGGTAAACCTTTTGTCAGCGGATTGTGGAAGGGACTCCTCCAACGTTGGAAAATCACAGATCGCCATATGGTACCGCACCGGCCTGCCGGACAATTGTTAGAGCGGTACAACGGAACGGTCAAGGAAAGTCTCGGGGCCTATTGCACCGACCATAGGAACTGGGACTAAAACATCCCTGAAATTAATTTCGCAGTGCAATCTGCAGAAAGTTTGGTCACAAGCTACCCACTTGTGTTCCTTCGTTATGGCCGAGCACTCCGTACCTTGTGGGAACCGACGCAAGACGCAGAGGACACGGAACCACCTGATGTGGCATGCCATGCGTTTGCGGCAGGGGACATTTGGACGCCTGCAGCAAGCCCTGGAGTGTACGAAAATACACCAGGAAGCGGCCAAGAAAGCACAGGAGGTACAATGCAACAAACGTCGGCAAGCCCTCAAGGTGGGCGATCTTGTCCTTCGAGACATTCACACCCTGAGCGACACAAACGAAGGTATCTCGGCAAAACTGGCTCCTAGGCGTGAGGGACCCTCCCATGGAGTGCACCATGTTGGAGAGAACGACCTCCTCCTGAGCGACCCAGCTTCAGGACGTCGCCGTGAAGCGGCACACGCCGACCAGCTTTCACTCTGCCATGAACTATGAGCAGACCCACCACCAGCCACTGCTTTCCATCTGAAGGGGGAGTGTTTTCAGGGAGGAGAGGTAGAAGGAACCGAGGAGAGGAAGAAGTGAGATGGAGCTGTAGTAAGGGTTTGGATGGAGTCGGTTGTCTTATTAAAGGAAAATGTGTTTGAAGGATTAAGCCCCAACAAGATGGTTTACTTTTTTGTACCGCTGAACTTTGGCAAAGTGGTATTCATGGCATTGCCACTGTGGTTGTCATTCCACCACACACACGGGGCACGGATGGGTCTCGACACAAAACAACCATTGCAACACCACTGCGGAGGAGCAAGCGCTACTCCGCGGAGCGGCAGCGGCGCCAACCGCCGGTCACCGCTGCCGCCGCCGCACCGGACGTGCGAAGGACATGCACGGCCACTGCCACCAGCGTGCAGCAGTGTGCAGCGGCTCATTATAGAAATGTTAGCCCACCTGATCTAAAGCGCTAGATAATCAGAATTTCGCACACATCTTTTAATTCGACCCAATTTTGCATGTCCCGTCAAGGTCGAATTGATGTAAATCGACTGTACTACGTACACTTCACGCTTTCCAGTTCTGTGCCCTTCCACCTTATCCGTCTCAAGCATTTGATCCCCTCTCGTACGAGTGTAGGACGTATCTTTTCCCTCTGCTAGTCTCTTGTTTTGTTCCTTCATTACTATCGTAATTCGGGAAACGAGAATGCTAAGAGGCTTAACTTGCTTATCTGCAGAAAACCAAGACTGTATGCTTGTCTACAATAAGAGTCAGGCAAACCGTGCTTGCCTTGGCTCTCTATTTTTGTGCATATTGGTGCATAGATATGAGTGTTCTATGCTCGTTTTCACTTCAAAAAACTGTATTAATTAAGGTCCGACCCCTCGCGGATCATTACTAATTTTCCCCTTTATGCGAAGAATTAAGATATATATAGGTGTATTTTAGATTAGATATGTGTTATCTTATCAAGACATACATGCCAAAAGCATTGCTTCTTTCTCCAACAACCAAATCTTGTAAGAACAATCGCGTGGCATATGAACAATGCGCAAAACCTGCTTTTTTCTGGAGTCGACGACGAGCATAGAAGCACCTTTTCTTACTTTGCAGAAGCGATCTGTTTACAATCTCCTTTATCCTAACTGTATTTCTTGCGCAAATTTGCAGACTTTGCTGTGGTAATGAGAAAGGGTGAATATCCAATGGCCATCAACATGCAGCCCATGCAAGACGAAGATGGAGAGTTTTCTTACATCGAAGACTTGACTGTACCTGAAGATTCTAAAATGTAAGTCGAGCCCGATTTTCGGAAAATATGCAGGGATCCCTTCACTGATTTAGTCTTAGCACAACTTGTCTATGAAGTTTAACAGTATATTTATTAGTAGCGGGCACCTGCTGCATAAAGTGCCTTATAATACAGCAAAACAAAGATTTACTTCGTAGGGACATTGGATTGTATGAAATGCAGCATGCAGGAATGAACACCGGTGCTTTATCGATTAAACCTCACATTCTCTATTATTCTGAGCCGTTGCAATGATTGGTGTGAAATTTGTTTACAAATGAGACAAGGCACTCTGCCCATTTTGAACTGTAAGATGCTTTCAGGCAGCTAATGTTTCATTTCCTCCATCAAACCTTCAGTTTGATTAACAAAGCTCTGAAACCAGTATGCTTTGGTGCAGCGGTAAAGTAGTTAAAATAATACTTCGAGCTGATGGTACAAATGTTTGAGCTGATGGTACAAGCTATATCTTTTCCCTGTTTCCTTGCAGTCTTACTGTGGTAACTGCTGATGCAAGTAGCTACTGGAGGGACACGGCAGCTCTGCGAAGAAGCGTTGTCACCAAGCTGCATCACCTATCCACATTGGGATACTGCCCACTTCTGGTGAGTACTGCAGTCAGTCTTTCATACTTTTGTGGTTGGTTGACCGAGAGCGGTCATTGAAAGTGACCTGTTTGGTAGTTCTTTTACAGGAGATGTCCTGGAAGCGTACAAAATTTTTAATGTCGCTGTCCTTTAGTAATGAGACACATTTAGATCAGATATGTTACGCTCGCCTATCATGCAAATGTTTGCAATAATGTTGCCTGTCTGTGAAGTGCAGGAGGAATGGTTTACAAAGTACCGTAAATGGCACTACTTAGTGGTATATTTATTTCAAAAATATTTTTAAAGCTGCTTTTATATATATAATCACGGGCATTTTTCATCATTGTACGGCAGTCTCCAAAAAGGAGATAATCGAAAATATGATGACGATTGAACCATACTTGATTGAATGAATCAGTGTCTTACGAAACATACGAAAGCCAAAATGATTGGCGGAGCCAGGATCCTGGTTCCGCCGTTCATTTTGGTTTTCAAGTGTTTCGTAAGACTGATTCATTTGATCAAGTACGGTTCAATCATCATCATATTTTTGATTATATATAAATATATATATATAAATTTCTTTTGTTTTTTCAAAACTTTGCGACAGCAGTTGGGTGGACCATCAGCACTCCTAAGAATTTATTAGGTCAGCCCAAAAATGTCAAATGTTTGCAGTAAATTTTTTTGCCGCTCGTCATGAATTTGCTGCACATAAACTATACTCCCTTTCACCTTGCGTACGACGCTACGAGCTACCCTAGCCAATCCCGTTTTGGGGACGTAGCCCGTGATACGCTTTCCGAGCGTCACTGTGACCCCTCTTCAAGGTCACGTGACTCTCACACGGCCTTGGATTGGCTTCTATGGCTCATAGCATCTGCTGCGCTCAGACGTTAGGTGAAATGGAGTATACTATATACCGCAAAATACCGACCATGCGCACATTCCACAATAAGCGCCCATCCCTCAATTTCGTAACATTCGGAAAATACACAAAAGACCTATCTTCACATATTAGTGAACTGAGGAGTGCCCATCCCCCGGTTTTACGTGATTATCTCGAAACTTTGAGTGGGTGCTTGCTTGGAATTTTACGGTACTCTGCAAAAGTGTAGAATACAGTGAGGCCTCAAAAACTAGAACTGTTCGCTTCCTGGGAAAACTTTTTATAGATAGTGAGGGGCAAATATCCACTTCCGCGCCGACAGAAATGTAAAGATTGAATTTTAACCAGATTCTGAATGCTGGTACCAACTTCACCGAGGGTTATTCTCTATAAAACCATGCCCCAGACATCACCATAAGCGTCCTGAAGGCTTGCAGAAGGGGAAAGATCTTGAAGTGAGGGGATGCTAATTATTATTAAGCTGGATGGTTATTTGCAGCACTAGAAAGAGAATGCGTACCGGGAAGTTAATTTCTTAGTCATGCATGACACTTTCTGGTTCAAAAATTGTTTGGGCACCCACAAGAAAACAGAGGGCACTGTTTGAAATTTGTTTATAGTATGTATGCACTTTCTTCTTCCTGGTCTGGGGTTTGGATGTTTGAGGTACTAAAGTGAGTGGTGTCTTAGTTCCTCCTCTCCCCTCCTCAGGAAAATGTTCAAAGATTAAGGGCTTACGTGTGAAAAATTCCATTCCTTGGGACCTCTTCCATATGTCGGGGTGTTTAGTAATTTGAGGTCTTACTGTATTCACAGATCCTTGTGAAATCTAAGCAGAGTTTCCTCTATGAATATTTCACATGCAATTTCAACAACGATCTCTAAAGCTCTCTTATAGTACCTTAAACCATGTTTGCGAGTGTCAACTTTGCAAATCAGCCATGCACATGGGAAATCTTAAAATAGGAAAGCCTATAAAAACAAGGGACTGGTAATGGGAATGAACTGCAACGTCTCAGGTACCAAGTGCAAAAGGCCATGGGTTCAGTTCTCACCACCAATCCCCCCCCCCCCCCCTTTTCCCTTTATTTTTGTTGTCAACGTTTTTACATTTTTCACATGCGGGGTCGATTGACGGGCAGACTCGGACTGCACCAGAATAAGGCAACAGCATTATTCCTTGATTTATTCGACAAATGCAAAACAGCTAGAAAGTGGATGATGATTGAGTTGCCTTGTGCTGCTCCTTCAGCTTGTGTCTGTACTACAATTTGAAGCCTGTCATATAATTCCCATCCTAACATTTTTTTTTTGTATGTGTGCAGGTAAATGTGGATCAGTGGAAGTCCTTGATGGACCACGAGAAAATCCCCTATTTGATGCGAGAAGCAAAGGCTGTCTTGAGCGAAGGCGATGCTTCGTGGGCAATGCACATGAAGTAGTGTATAGGCTGCATAGCAGTGTTAATAAACCAGTATATCTTTACGTGACACCTCGTGTTCTGCTTCGAATGCATGCAGAAAAAATAATTAGGTTCTGAGGTTTGAACGGGCCTTCTCCAGGATGTCCTTTTTGATCTTTGGATAGCTGGGGCATTTTGTCAGCACCTGGCAAAAGGAAACAAGGAGGTCTCTGATAAGTGTGCTCTTCCATGCATGTGCCACTAATTTACACAAAGTCAACAAGGGAGAATGCTATTAAAGTAAAAGAGAAGGGGAGTTGTCCAGGAACAACATACTGGTACAGTAGTAGGATCAATATAGAAAAATAAGGAGACTAGAGCTACTACACAGTTTTTCCTATCTTGTAATCTTTTCATTATAGGGCTATTACTATATTAACTTTAATGACTTCATTAAACATAGCCTATGTGTCAGACTGGATGTCCTTAAGAAGTCATTTCTGAGAATCTCATGAGTTCGATATTAGAGCTGACAAACCCTATATCGCATTGCCTTTCTACTCTGGAGAAGTGCAATGCAAGAAAAGTGCACTGTATGGCAAAAATATGCTTTGCACCTTTGATATCCTACAGATAATCCCTGGTTGAGAATCACCATTACAGATCCTGCTCTCATATGCAGCGACATTAAGAGAGCTCCATGATGTGCAATACAAAACAGTTCCACTTACCACATGGCAGACATCAATTGCATCTGTGTACCGTTTTGCTTTTAAATAATTGAAGGCAAGCTTGTAACCTGCAAAGATATGCATAAATGTAAGGTGCTGCAGCATAGATTCAATATTCTTAAATGAATGACAGTAGGATAATTGCAGGATATCTCTTGATCCCTCACCCATTGCTGGGTTATTCTGACTGCCTTGCTTCCATGCACTCTCATAATAGAGGGCAGCCTCTTTGAAGCTCTGCTCCTTTTCCATGATGTAGCCCATGTATTCATAGGCCTTTGTGCAAGACTGCATGGCAGAAAAAAAACAAACATAATTTCATGTCCCATTTGCCCTCCGTCAGTACTAGGACCTGCCCACTTGCCTTGTTATACTGGAGGGTTTTTTTCAGCAGGTCTGTAGCGACATCATATTTGCCCGACTAAAAAGAAGATACAAAGATTTTTATTACAGCACATACCTACATACACAATCCAGTGGAGAGCATAATGGGCTAAATATCAAATTAGACAAAACTTCTCTCCTTCATTGCTTTGCTAAAATTGAAAAGATGCCGAATTTGCTCAAAACACCCTACCCTAATTATGAAGTACTGAGTGTTTGGGAGAAAAGAAAAACAGGTTTTTCTCGTGAAAAAAAAAAAAAAATGTATGCATCGCCGAATGCCCAGTTTCTGCCCAAATGTAACGATACCACATACCAAAGTTTCAGAACTTACCACTTTTTTTATTTATAAGCTATAAGCGATTTTCGGAAAGTTTCAATGAAAAGATGGGACATGTTTTCTATAGCAGACTTTATTCATCTCCATGTACTCGTGGGCATCGTTGACCACCCTTTTGTCGTTCAAAATGTCCAAAAATCACCTACTATAACTTATTAGTCAAATAATGGTCTCCTATAAAACTCTGGCATGTGGTCTCAACTGCTAGATCTACATTTGGGTGGATACTAAGTATTCAGCGGTGCATAGCTTATGGTTGCGGTGAGAAGAACACTGTTCTATTTTCTCTTGGCACTACATCAACTCCTACACTGAGAGTGCATTCTGACCTACTCTTAAGCTAAGATGCTGCTCAAAAATATGTACCTATTGTCTCATTACTGTGCCAGTCATTGACAGTGTGTATTACTGTCTGTATACAAGACAAAATTTTATCGGTTGCCTGCTTTGCATCACTGATATCTAGTTTTCCAGAAGTCTTTTTGGCAGACCCTACCTGGATGTAGATATCCGCAAGCAATGTCCAGCACTTCTCCAGATATTCAGCATCCTGAAAAGAGTCATGGAAGGAAGCCGTGTTACACTAATACCATATTGACTGATTGACCATATTGACTAAGGGGCTAGATTCTGCACAACCCTGTTCTTGCATACCACGCATCCTGGAAACTGCTAGAAGCGCATCTGTTAAGACTTGCTTGTTTTGTAAGAGCAGCGCCAATGGCATTTGAAATCTTATAAAGCAGTGTTTTGTTGAACACAACATCAAAATTGGGTGTAAATTTGTAGGAAAAAGGTTGATTATAAGTAGCAGAAGTAAATCCAGCAACACTGATGCAATGTGTCTCAAGCAACCACAAAAACACTTGCTAATTAAAACACCGACTTTTGGTACAAGTGAAAACTTCTGGTATAACTGAACTGCAATCTAGTCTTTCTGGTACCTTATAATGGATCAGTGGCCGTACTTACTGTCATGACACACTTACCCCAAAGTTCCAAGGAGCCTTCATGACTCGCTTCAGCTGATGTCTGGCTCTGGGCACCTGCTTCAGGATCATGTGTGCGGTCGCCATTCCCAGTATCGCACCTACGTGGTCCCTCTAAGAGAAGATGGCTTATAAAATCTATTTTCATAATGCAACATGATTATCGGGAAACAGCCATAGAAAATTGGGATTTTGTTAAACTGCCTCGCTTACATTTCGCTCGTCTGAAGTGAACTGCAGGAACTCATTGAGTGATATTTCGGCGTCCGTCTTTGTCTTTTTTGCCAAGTGTATAAAGTTGCTCATGAGCCGAAAATCAGAGTCCCCAGACATTTTTGGACGCAGTTCCTGAAAGGGAGGTCTGAGGAGTTGCAACCTGAGGAATGACTTTTACCTCGTTCTTGAGGAGTTGAACGTAAAAGGCGACATCAGGTATTAACACACATTCAGAAGTCTCTCCGCTGTCTGGATCGCTCCCTCACGATAGTCAATCTTGGCAGTATCCCTGAAAGTAAAATACAAATTTTGTAAAAGGAAGTCCTCGTTTTTGTGACCAACTACACTTGGCATCAACATTTTTATGCCACACTGTCAGATCTCCACAGTTTTTGCAGTGCTTAAACGCAGCCGGAACTATTCGCCTAAGCGTATGGCTTTGTTTGGCGTCTCCTTTGCACGAGAATGTGTAAGCAAGACACGAGACGAAGTCGCAAGCATTTGCAGCAGTGCGGAGATGCAGCACTGCGGAGACTATGGTAGCCTTCACAACGTAGCACAAAAATGCTAATGCAGTGCAAAAAGGTGCCTTCCTCACCTGGTGCCAATGTCACCATTGTTAAACGTCTCTCCACCAATTGTCTCGTTGTCCGGATTGATGCAGATTTCTATCATGTGATAAGTGGAGATGAGGCCCCAGTCTGGATCGTGTCGAGCTTTGTTAAAGCTCTTCATTGCACCAGCTGGATTTCCGGTGTACCTGTAATGAAACCGAAATTGCTTCTGTATTATGACACTCTCTTATAATGACACTCTCTTCAAATTGATCATTTGCAACCTGAAATTCTTGGTATATTTATCAGGGGGAAAAGGCTTATTGACATTTTTATTGTTTGTTTAAGTACAAGCAGGAAAAGTTGGATGCCTAGTGGGGTCCTGCCAATTTTGAACAATTTTTAGGAAAATTTAAAGGGGCCAAAAATAGGTCCATTGTTATCAAATGTGCTAATTTCAAAGGTAAGGAAAGTACTTTGGATTCCAGTTTCAATTCAAAGGTACTAGTACTATATATTTACTTTCTGCGAGGATTTTTCCATTTCAGCATGGCTGAACTGTGGCAGACTTCCGAGTTAGGAAAGACCTAGAATTGGTTTTAATAACATTTTGGTAACAAGCAGTATTTTTTACCCCACAGTCTTCTCGGTCAGTTGTTGCACAAAAGGCATAGAAGAGCATTAACAAACTTTTTTTTTTAAATTTGTGCGCTAAATCTGGGGAAAACTGGTATGTCCGTCTACAAAATCTAAGGGCATGCATCATCGTGGGCTAAATTGAAAGTGCTCCTTATGCACCCAGCTTTGAAATCAAACAACATTAAAGCTGAAAACGATTCATATCAAAACAAATTGCCTTCTTCAAAAATTGGAAAAATTGGCCTAGCCTTTAGCAATTACTGCCTTTGAAATTACAACATGACCCTTAAAACCAAGAACAAAAAATAATTAACAAAATAGAGTTAAGTAGCCAACTGACTGTGACAATTATTCCACCACTGAATGTCTGCTGGGCCCAACGAGCTCGCAAGGAAAATATGGCATCCATGTAATGGTCACTTTTTTTTAAAATCTGCATCAATAAAAAACATTGCCCCATATATTACTTCCTCTACTTATGAGCTTCAAAACTTGTGATTTGCAGAAGGCATTTTGTTCCTGCAAATTGCGGTTTTGCAAAAACCAAGGGTTTCGCAACAGTTTGAAGCAATGTTGTGAGTTGCAGGAAAGACTCCTGCACATATCAGTCGGAGCAAGACGGAAGAAGCACCACTCGTGAAGGCCTTTGCAGTAGAAGTAACCCCCGTTGGTCCCAGATCGAGGCAGCAGCTCACTGGCTTTCTTCAACAGTGACTCGGCATTCTCCAGCTTGCCAAGCCTTCGCATGGCTTCGATTAGCCTCGCCAGTGCAGGGAAGTAGTCTGCAAAGATGTCGCGAGGATGTCGCCAAGTGGACTCCAACGCTCTGGATCTACCATTTTCATAAAAACCACCTGAGACAGGGTGGAGAACAAAAAGATTCCAAAGTGGAAGAGAAAGGATCAAATGACAGAAGGGAATGTTGCATTCCGTCATTCTGTTCCTTTTTCTTGAACGTTAGATTCTTCTCGTTTTCCACCCAGGTGGTTTAAGACAAAGGTAAGTCTACACCAGCTCACTGTTTTATCACTGTTTATCACCAGATCACTGTTTTATCGTGCACCCTGGATCGTTACCACAGGAAAGAGGCCGCTGCTTCTTGCTCACATGATATTGCGAACAGGGAACAAGCTTACCTGGCTTCCTCTCTAGGAGTTGCTGGAAGTGGAACATCGAAGACTCTAGGTCTGTCTTCCTGAACATCAAGTCTGCCATCATCTGAAAACATGGCGTGAATGTGCTTTCTCCACGCACCAGGGTGAGTTCTGCTTTTACGTACCCACACCGAGTTTCTCGGTTATTTAGATTGCTAAGACAAAACCACGGCAGTGTCTGGATGAATTTAGTAGTACTATTTAGGGCGTCTGATACGTGTTTAGTAAATTGTAACTAAAATGGTATGAAATATTGTAGAGTTTCTCGTTTGTGGCTATGTTTATTTCACGAAGGGAAGACCAGTGTTGAATTTTATTTTAGAAAAGAGCACAGCACTGACAAATGTGGCAGTGCTGTGCCACGATTGGAGACTGAGAAGGGCAGGAAGGAAGGAATAATGGCTCTCTCTTGTTTGCTTTGTCCTGTCTTGTCATGCAGACTATTCAGACATGTTACATCTAGCATGTCTAGTCTCTATGCAAATATCAACTCTGCAGTATTTTTCATTGGAAACCAGCAATATAAAAGTGAAATAAGTAAAAATAAAAATATTTCACTAAAATAATATTTATCATATATTTACTGCAATTTCTTTCGGACATGCCAAAAATGAGGTGACTGTATTTTGTATGTTATAGACAGTGCAGTGTCTTATGAGCATGGTGAACAATTACTGTAAATAAAAGTAATGATTAAAGATACTTAGTATATACAGATGGAGTTAACTACCATTTGGTGACAAAACCAGCTTTAATGATACCAGTAACTTTATACATCCTTAAAGGGGCAGTGCAACGGTTTTAATGTTGAAAGAATTGCCAGTTTGCATTTTTATATTGTTCATACAAGCCCAAGTGACCAAAAACGCGTCACCTTTCCCCAAAAAAACGGCTATTCTGCTGCGTAATCGCAAGGCAAAAAACAAATTATTTGCCGATCTGCAGCCGCCGGTGGGGGCTACGGGAACTAAAATGACGGCGTCTCTGGGGGATACGCGGAAGTCAACAAACCCTGTCCCCTTCCTCTGCTACACTCGCCGTCAGCCCCGTGGAGAACCGTCCTTTGTGTCCATCGCTCGCCGCGACCTTCGACGAGGCTAATCCTTTGAAAGTCGACAATCGCGGAGGAAGCGGCTGGGGTCAAGAGAGGGGTCAAGGGGAAACCACGTGAACCCCCAGAGACGTCACTTGAAAGTTGGCGTGGAGAGTTGAGAGGCACTTCGACCTTCGATTTGTTTCATTTTTTTTAAATAAGAACTAGCGCTCGCAAGAAAATGCGGCTTTCGGTTTTTCGTTTCATAGGTGATGCAGATTAATTTCCGCCGTTAATTGGCCAAAGTCTGAAAATCGTTGCACTGCCCCTTTAAGCACTTGCACTTGTATAACAGGGAGAATAGGAAGTTCAGTTTGATGGAACACTGGTTTACCCAATCACTTTTATAAATTTTGCTTCCAACGTTGCTCATACAGTTCGACTACTTCATATATCTGATTTCGGCTGTTGTATTTAACTTCTTTTTATTTAATTACTTTTGATCGTTTATAGTTGACTTCTGAATGGAAAAAACAGACAAAAAAAACATGAATGTTTACAGACCTTCAGCCTTCTTTATATTTTTATGCCATACTTTAAGATAACAGGATTATTTTATTTTTGCCTGTTCCCTAGTTTAAAAGTAACATGATGGGCAGCTTCATTCAAGATTAAAGGAATTTCTTCTGGCTTCTTGCTGTAGCTTTAATTGTATTCTTTATACAATTTCATGTGTAAAAGCATTTTTTTTTATGGTTCTATTTCATATTCTATTTTATTGACATCATTTTGTATGTACATTTTTTCATTCAAAGTCATGGCCAGACTTCCAAACTAGACTCTCCTTACCAGTGTAGCACTGTCGTTTTCCTTGTCATGCTGAAGTACTGTATTGCAGTATTGCTTTGCAGACTCCAAGTTGTTTGAAGTCATCTCTAACTTTGCTAATGCAAGCAAAATCTGAAGGAGAAGACAATCCCAGAATTTATAGTATCATGCTTTTCCTGTTGTCATGCCTAGAAGACATAAAAAAAAAAAAAAAATCTTTCCATGGATTTATATATGTATACTCACAAACAACAGATAGCCTTTTTTATGGGGTTATTGAAACTGTTATAAATTACTTAGCAAACATTTGAACAAACTTAAGTTAGCATTGGAGACACTAGCATCATTTGTGTACTGAATAAAAAAAAAATGGACAATGCATATGATTAAACTAAGTTTAAACTCTCATCCTTTGAATATTCAATTCCGAGAAACGTGAAAAGTCTCAATCGGAAGAGACGGCACTATGATTGCCACTACCACCAGAGCAGCCGACAAGACACATGAAGCAACCATGTCCTGTGTATCGCATGCATGGAGTTTAAATTCAAAACTATAAATTGCTCCAGCAAGGCACAACACGGTGTGAATATAACGTTTATAGTTTGTCAAATACATAACTAATAGCAGCACTTCCTGGTGTGTGCACGGTTTCACATTAATCTTGCAGCACTCTTTTGGTATGTAGAATTTCACTCCTGTACTGCTTAATATCACAGTCATAATAAGCTTATCAGCCTACATAACCATCGTAAAACATACTGAAGTGCTTCTGGACACTTTAGCGAAGTGAGATGATATGTTTTGTGCATTAAATTTCATGTGCTACAGAAAAAAATTCATCCTTTAAATGGACTCGGCAAAAATATATTAATAAATGTGCAAAGTAAGTGGTTCACAAAATCCTGAGCAATCGTCGAAACAGTGCCCGAGGTTTTGGGGAAATGGGCAACCTACCTCCAAGTTGTTCTGATCGTAACTCAAAGCTTGCTTGTAAAAACGGGCAGCTGGAACATAGTCCCGCTTGAGTTCGTTATGCTCTGCCAGGCTTTTGCAGATTCTATGAATTCAGAAAACTGTTACTTTCCCTGTTGGTAGAATGTTCGAGGGCCATCAAAACGGCACAAGTGAGATACGTACGTGACTGCCAGCTGCTTTTGCTCATAAAGAGAGTCTGGCTGTTCTTGGGGGACTCGGATCATGACTCTGCAATGGTTACATCGAACGACACAGGACTCGGGTACCTGATGCAACCGTCACATGCACTACCGTACTTCAGGTAATTGAAATTGCTACTGGCATCCACAAGCAGGACATTTCACAATGCATTCCTTGGTACCCACTCATTTAAACTTTACCAGAGGCTCCAGCAAGAGGGTCGGATCATCTGTCATTCAAGAGGAACTCTAGATAGGACATGTGCTGTCAACTTTTCACTAAATATTTTAATCAGCACCGATTTTAATCCCCTCGAGTTTTGCAATGTAGCGTTTCTTAGATATAAAAAATGAAGACTGCCCTCACCTGCTCTGTGTTTCAAAAGCTTTGTTCAGGGCCTTTACAGCCAGGTCATCCTTGTTGTGTGTTTGTTGAACTTGAGCCAACAGCAGTTGGAACTTTGATTCCCACTGCAGGCTTGTCAGGTCACTATCTAGTGACATCCCACATTTTTAGCATAAAACCACCGTTTAGCTGATCATTGTACTATTTTTTTTTTTTTTAATAGTACTCTCAACTATTTACCTTTCTGAAGTCCCTCCAGAGCTGCATTGATAATGTCCTCAGCGTCTTGCAAGCGTTTAACCTTTGCTAATAACTCGGCCAAGTCATACCTGCGGAAGAGCACCAGGGGTTACCATGCATTAACTTGTGTAAATGAAAGCTTACACAATTTAATTCAGTGTGGAATATTAAAAACTCACTTCATCAAAGCTTGGCCTCCAGCTTTAATGGCAGCCTTGTAGTAGGTAATTGCCTTGTAAAATATTAGATAAGGTCAATATTTAAGATGAAAACATTTCTTATGTATTGTACATTTAAAGGGCAACTCCGCTTCATTTTTGGTTTTGAAAAAACAATGCAGTCCTCTTCAGTATCGCCTAGGAAGACCACACGTCAAATATTACGACGCAGTTCTGTCTAAATGTTTCTTAAACGGTCCGGCAAACTTTGCAACTCACCAAGTTGCCGAAATCGGCTGACTCGAGTGGGCGAATTCAGGCGCAACCAACAGCGCAGTCAAGGCTACGGCATGGGCGGAGCCAACATTGAGCTAAACGCCATCTACATGGCCCCCTTTTGCTTGTTTTTACTTCTCCGATCGAGCGTAGCGCGTGACGTCAGCAACGTTGCCTCTCGGCGCTCAGCGGTGTCCACGTGATTGACGTACGCGCCTGCGCAGCGCGCTTCTTGGGAGCAGACCAACCGCCCACCGTGGTCCCGCCGTTACCGCCGTCTTCCACGTCACAACCGCTGTCGTCGTCTCACCGTTTGTGATTATTGCCTCTCGGAGTTTCGTCCACACTATGGACACCACGTGCGCAGAGTCCCAGACTTATGCCGCAGTTGTGCAGACGTCGTCGAATGCCGTAGACACCAAAACGTGGCGAAGAGTGCGGTGCAGACGACACTCGCGCCTGCTGCACGCCCGCCCGCCCCCATCCCGCCCGTCGTTGGGCCGAGGATCACGTGACCTCTCGTACCACGTGACGGCCATGTACTTGGCGGCCCGAGGCCAATGTAGCCAGACGGAGCCGAAGTTTCGGTTTCGATATCTGCTCGTGTTTAAAATTAGATTTAAAAATATATATCCCATTTTTCGCGAAGCAAAAGACGTCGTGTCTTTTACTAGGGCTTTTTAATTCGAAATCACTCATTATCCCGAAATCTTCGGAATTGAGCGGAGTTGCCCTTTAAGCATGTCATAATTTTTCATTTCAGCAAAAACTATCTTAACATGCCATGCTATTCTATCAGAAGCTATTATACTGGTTGCAAACAACACAAACATTGCTTATCTTTCTTGTAGATAAGTGTGGCAATACATCTAGTCTATTACCAGAAAATACAAAGTATGCACCCACAGTCTGTTTTTTATGAATTAGCTGAAGTAGTGTAAACGACTCCATTTTCGCAAATTTCGCGAATCTCCTTCAATTTGCAAAATATAGGTCTCGCGGAAATTTTTGTAAAATGTAAACACGTTGGAATCTATATTGAGATCCCCCGCTTTGCGAAAATGGGAACTCGCAAATGATTCCAAAACTTCAACCTTGACCTAAATCACGAAATAATGAGCCTGCAAAAATAAGTCGTTTACAGTATTTAAAATTTATGAATCCATTTGTCTGAGGCAGGCACGCACCCCTAAATATTGTTGTAATTATCTCATGGTTTGGAATAGGTACTTGTTTGTTATCAGATATATGTAGTAGCAAGAGAAGGCTAGTGGTGGCAGCCAGGGACGGCGCCAGGCTTTTCATAGTGAGGGGGCAGTGGGGAGGCGCACGGCATTTCTGGGGAGGCATAGGGGGCTTTCGATCCCACTAAAAGAACAAATATTCAGGGACAATGACTTGGCGCTTCGGGAGTTTTTAATAGAAATCAGCTCAGTTTATTTTATTATTTTACAACCTCTCTACAACTCTGGTTAATGTAGCATTTCACGTGCAAAATATTCAGGCATGTTTACATTCCACAATACTAAATAAGCACGCTCACGCTTGTCGTGACTCATCATCTGCTCTTTAGACAGTCCCCTGCACCGCGGAAGACCGGAGCACGTCAGTGATCATGTAGATGTAGTGACAATTCTCCCGTCTTTGCTGAATATGCCTGGCAGAGGTACACCGCGACCGATTTAGCCGCGCCACTTTTCTTCATCTGCTTGAAGGAAGCCGATGATGTTTGGGACATCCTGCGTGCCGCACTGTTGGAGTGGTGTCGTAGTCCGCCTTCCTTTTGAAGTGCTTTCTTCCAGTTTCGACAGCCCTCTGTCAAAATACAGCACTTCCACTTTTTTACTCCCCCAGGGTAACTAATGATGGGAGCATGGCAGTTCTCGAACCGCCAGGCTCCGACTGTACCTTTTCCCGAGCACACACAGTCGCCGTCACTAAAGTTGCTTCGAGGACCCCATAGAGACTCGAAATAAGCAGGATGACTTATACACATCAAGGCCGCCCATTGGGAACTTGCCAGTCGGCCCGAGCACCTCAGTACCTTGCGAGATTTCCTCGGTCAGAACATGAACAGTGCCCTTGAGTTCCTTTGCCTGGCAGCTACGAAGCGACGGCGCAGAGCAGATGGGATTCCAGAACTTTCCGAGTATTCACTTGGGTGAAGCTACTTTTAGGAAGTCTTTTATGGTTGGCGACAGAGGAATTGAGTGGTAGACGAAGCTCCTTAGCTTCGGCAAGCCATACCGATATTCATGCATCGTTCTTCACGGGACGTAAAGAAAATAAAGCGGACGGCACGAAAAAGTTAAAAACGTCCGGCATGAGGCCTCTTTACGCTGGCTAGGCTTTGGCCTGGTTACCCTTCAAGCCCATGCCTTTTCGATGGGACGAGGAAATTAGGAAAATGATGAGCCATGTAGCGTCTGCAGTTAGGGTCAGGAGGGGGGGGGGGGGGGGGGGGGTGTAAAGGCTGGCATATTTTTGGGGTGGCAGGACAAATTTTAGGGGAGGCGCTCGCCACCCCTCGCCTCCCTTTGGCGCCGTCCCTGGTGGCAGCAAGCACCACCCCTGTAATTACAACATGAGATTAATGAATTAATGGAATCAGTGTTGCTACACCTTAGAAAATTCGGGGGGGGGGGGGGGGGGGGGCCTACATCATGCATCATGCCTTTGTGTCACAAATTGCGCCTCTGCACATAACTCACTCGGTCGAACTGGTGGGTCTTGATGAGCGCTTGTCCAATTTTGCGCGCCACCATGCTGTCTCTGGGATTTTTCCGAAGAGCTTGCTCATATGCTCCAATGGCATTGTCTGGCTGCAGTAGGGGAAAATGCATGCGAGCTCTATTGAGAACATGAGGCTTACCCCCAGTCAGTAGCTGAACATGCTTCAAAATCTCATTGATGTGCAAGTACAGTATACACTCAAATGTTCGTAATATAAAACATGCATTTTCAAACTTTTTTTTTAAATTTTATTTACGCAGTATTTACATCGCCACTGGGGCATTATTATAGGGGGTACATATTATAAAAAATAAAACAATTTGTCACTTAGAATAAGCATGAAGGAAGTGTAATAAGACTGTTTCAAACATTATAAAACAATGCAGTACATCAATATTAAAGCATGGGCAATACAGTGCAATCCACTTACAGTATAGACCACTTACAACGTAACTGCTTATAGTGCAGGACCGGGTATAACGCGGTTTTTTTAAACCACCGGTTCGCCTCCCATGGAACTCCATGTAATTACATACCGCTTAAAATGCAGGCGCGCGAAGGGAAATACCGGTTATAGTGCTGTTTTCGGCACAGCCCGCCGACTGCGCCGACAACTGGAGCAGCGAGCTCGCTTCCCTGTGCGACGCTAGATAACGGCGCTGACAGCGCGAGCCACAAGCTGCACTCGCGGGGCAAGGAGGTTGCTCGAAAACGCGGGGAGAAGCGAAGAGAGAGGCTTCAGTTGCCATAGCGACGGAGGGACGCACGCACGAGTCGTTCATGTGCGTGCGTCGCGTGCGTCCCTCCGCTGCTTTCGAAACAAAGAAATAAACAACCGCAACGACAGACCAATCGCAGTTCGAGGAGAAGTGTTTGCGCGTTGCATGCCGGTCGCGGGCCGTCGGTTGTGATCGTCGTCGTAGACGGCGTGCATCTCATCGTTCTGCGTAAAAGCGCTATCCTTGACTGTGAATTTTCGTTGTGTGTCGCTATGATAACCCAGCACGTACTAGAAGGGAAGATCCACCTACTCGTGCGGCGATGTCGTGGCGGCGCTCTCAAGACGGCAGAAACGCCCTTGTCGTCGTGTTTGTTTACTTCGACTACAGTGGTGATTTCTAAGCATTTGTGTCCTCGAACATCGCCTGGATTTCTTATTTGGCGCATTTCATGCGTGTGCTAAAGTTCAAGGTATTACTGGCGCGTACCGTATGAAATGCGAATTTTCACGCGTTTTCATCTCCGGAGAAAAGTGATTAGGGTTAGCAATCCTGAACGCTCGCAACGTCCGTCCGCAACCCGCAAAAGCCGCTCATATCTTTCAAAATGTGTGACACACTTGAGACAGAACTGTACTAGTCTGGTGAAATAAAGACTTTCCTCAAACTAAGCTTTATTTTTCATCTAACATAAAATAAATTCTTTTACTTGTCTCATGGCATGTATTTTGGCCTGAAAAATTGATGTTTTGGTTTTAGCGCGGTACCGCTTATAGTGCAGATTTTCGCGACTCCCGAGACATACGTTATATGCGGTCTACACTGTATAATGATAACAAGAAAACCCAGAAATACAATCGTTATAACCAATCATTGTAGTATCTGGATTAGAAACTGGTCGTTTCTAGTCCAGAAGTTCTATAAACTGATAGTTATAAGCGGTATATCATTATATGTGGTATGCAAACCTCACTCATGAGGGCCCTCACTTACCCTCATCTTCACAGGTGTGGTGAGGGTGAGAGAGTTTCTGAACCAAAAAAATTCATGAGTGGGAGGGTCAGTGAGGAGTGTGAGGATTGTGAGGGCGGTGAGTGTGTAAGGGCCATGATTGCGTGAAAACGGTGAGTGCGTGAGGGCCATGAGGACCGCGAGTGTGTGAGGGACGTAGGGGCACGAGGGGCGTGTGGGCGGTGAGTGCGTGAGGGCCATAAGTGTGTGAGGGCGGTGAGTGTTTGAGGGCTATGAGTGCGTGAGGGCGGTGAGTGCATGAGGGGTGTGAGGGCCATGAGTGCGTGAGGGCCATGAGTGTGTGAGGGCCATAAGTGTGTGAGGGCAATGAGTGTTTGAGGGCTATGAGTGTGTGAGGGCGGTTGAGTGCATGAGGGGTGTGAGGGTCATGAGTGCGTGAGGGCCATGAGTGTGTGAGGGCCATAAGTGTGTGGGCGGTGAGTGTTTGAGGGCTATGAGTGCGTGAGTGCGGTGAGTGCATGAGGGGTGTGAGGGCCCTGAGTGTGTGAGGGCCATAAGTGTGTGAGGGCGGTGAGTGTTTGAGGGCTATCAGTGCGTGAGGGCGGTGAGTGCATGAGGGGTGTGAGGGCCATGAGTGCGTGAGGGCCATGAGTGCGTGATGGACGTGAGTTCTTTGAGTGTGTGAGGGCCGTGAGGTTCAGTGAGGGTGAGTGAAGGGCTGAAGGTGAGTGTGACTGTGAGGATGAAGGTGAGTGAGGGGCTGAGGGTGAGTGTAGCTGTGAGGGTGAGGGAGGCCCTTAGGTGAGTGGCTGTAAGGGTGAGGGTGAGTGAGGGCGACCTAAAATCCCGACCTTTGGTGGTATCGTTATAAGTGGATTGCACTGTAGTCGGAAGATATCCAAGAAACCCTTGGTACTTGGGAACCATTAGTTATAAAATACCTTCCAAACTCTTAATCTTTTGCTGGCAGTATAAGAGCTAGGATGGAAGATGGGAACATTTGACTCAGCGGTGCATGCCGACAGGGCAGGTTCTCATGCCACACAATGTACACTTGCGTTCATAAACGCGTGATACCACCTGGGGGGAAGTTGAAAAATGGGTAAACACAATCCTATCACGCAGTTCGGGTAGGCTTCTACGGGGTTTTCTTCCACGTTCCTGTTTTACATTGTTCGCTCTACCCGCTAGATTCGTAAAATATTGTTTGCCACCACTGACCTCTTGTATCTTCATGTAGGCATCCCCGAGCATTAGGTAGGACTGTGGAACCGGGAATTTTTCTATCACCTCCCTGAAAGTATCTTTCTTCAGGTACTGTTATTGGCATCGAGTAAGCATTCAAGATGAAGAGAGTTGGAAACAAACGTGCTTACCTGTAGCAGCTGGCGTAGAGCCTTGGGTCCTTGCGGTGGGTGAGGTAGATGTCCGCCATTTTCACCCGTGCCTGTTGGAAATAAGGTTGATCCGGGCCGATGTTGCGAAGCAGGGCCAGAGCCTCCTCAGTGTTTCCCCTCAGTAGCGCGAGCTCCGAGCTGGCAATAGTCACTCGGACCTCCTCTGGCGTGTCACGGAATGTGCTGACCGCCTCCTGCATCACTTTCACCGCTTCGTCCTGGAACGGCCATGAGCAGTGGTCAGCGAGCAACGCATTGTTCTCAATTTCTAATTTGAGAATGCTTGCTCAAGTCTTGTATGGCGACTAAGAGTTGTTGCCTGTTCTTCCCGTTGCCAGAACTAAAAGGCAACAGAGCAACCTCAATATGAGGCTAAATAAAACAGCTTAAAATGGTATGTTTGATGATCCGTACCAAAACAGAGATCTGAGAGAGATAGAACACCCAGAAATCACAAAACTAGTGGTAAAATGCTTTTGGTTTCATTTTTACATCTTGCAAACATGACTTTGAACTGCCATGAAAAAAAAAATATATAACACTTCTAACTTGTGACGTAGCATCACTTGCATGTGTGTGGCCTTCAATAACCAATATATATATGCTATACTTAATTTTTTTCCGAATGAAATTTAATTGGACTGAATGGAACTGAACACGCTGATTTCACCAAGGGAAATGTACACGCACCAACTATGCTTACGGTTGCAATGAATTGAGTCGCTGCTGTTATCACTTTCGTGTGGAGAAAATAGTCAAGAAGCAAAGAGAGAATGGTGCAAAGTAGGAGCAGTGCCTCAGAGGTTGTTTTCAAGATTATTACATTCACAAGTTTGCTTTGTATCGAATGACGACACTCAGCCACTAGAGTCCAAGTGTCATTAATATGAGGTGGTGCATGCAACATGTTTTTGTTGACTTATGTATTGCTTCAGGTCTTTCATCCAAAAGTGGAAGATTATTCCCTTGTTTCTAGCAATCTTTACAGCACCTTCTTCAACATGATAGGCCAGGCAGTGGAAGTGAGGTTCTGCCACAGATGGTAAAATCAGTATACCAAGTTAAATTTCTTTTAGTGCATTGCAAAACATGCAATCGCTCTAAAAACAGGTCACCTTCTTGAAATTAATTTTCTGTGACTTTTAATTAGTACTGTCTTGCGATGATGCCTTCAGATGTTCCCTTATATAGTTTGCAAAAAGCACTATGAAGAGGTGTCAAAATATTTTCTTTCTTACCTGCTGGTCAAGTTTCCTGTACGTATCAGCAAGCTCCAGGTACAGCGAGACCCTGTCACTTGTGCCGAGCTCGTGCTTTGGTCTTTTCTGTGAGGTGCCTTGGAAAAATATTTTGCGGCTTTAATTGAAATATTTTTTTTTAACAGTTGAAACTGCAGGTTTGCAATGTGATGCAAATCATACTGAGAACTTCTCACTTGATGGTTTTGTTCCACTCAGGGTCATGGCAGCATTTAGCAGTTGCAAGGCTTCTTGAAATTCACCCTGGTGCTTCAAGATTTTTGCTTTAATCAGGTGGAACGTGGGCTGGTCTCTCACCTTGGGATAAATCACATCATTATGTTACGTGTAAAAAGAAACCAGTACATACAGTCACCGTAAAGTACTGGTGGAGCGCCCACCCGACTTTCACTGAAAACTGGGTTAATCTAGGCATGGGCACTTGTCCGGTCAAATCGGGCGCTTAATGTAAAATTTTTAGAATTCCCAAGTTTGGGAAACGTTAATAGTGGGCACTTGAACGAAGTGGGTGCTCCTGCGGTATTTTATGGTATGTCCCATGTATTCAACACTCTGCAAATTGAGTCTATATAACTAATCACCAATGATCTGAACCCATGATTTGAATATAGCAGTACTTGATTATTTAAATAGTACAGTTAGGGATCACAAGTGCTCTACTACATAAGCTTACTTTTCGGCTCCATGGTTCTAACGAAAATCTTTTATTTTCATTTGTGTATTACTATTTCACACATTGCTGTCACTCGGTAGTTTTATGCATGATATAAGTATATTGTGCTGAGAACCTTTGGAGGCTTACAAACCTGAATCCTCACTTGTGACGTTCTACCACAAAGAAACTGGAAAGTGAGCTTCACTAGGCTAGTACAATTAATATCAGTGAGAATTACACTAACTTCAAAGTTGTAGCTGAGTGCAGTTTCCAGCATTTGACTGGCACTTTTCACATTTCCCTGGTGAAGATGGATCTGAGCTAGCAGCATCTGGGCGTCGGCAAAGCTGGAGTACTGGTGCGAGCATTTCTCAAGTAGTCCCTGCGCTGCCACCAAATCACCTGTAACGTAAAAAAAAAAAAGAAGTCTAGGCAGCTGTGTAGACACAACAAACCTCCAGAGGACTCACTACCATAGAATATCGAGCATCCACCCATTCCACGACAAGCGCTCCCCCTCAATTTTGTAACATTTGGAGAATATACAAAGGACACCTTCACTTATTGTTGACCTAAGGTGTGCCCATCCCCCAGTTTTCACATGATTATCTCCAAATTTTGAGTGGGCGTTTGCTCAGGACTTTACGGCAATGCCAAATGAAGAAAAGGACGTCAGATATCATAAGGACGATTCTCACTCCTGTTGATTTCGATACAGACAAGAATTGTGCCAGCATGCATTCGTGTAACCCCTACTGCAAAACACATGCGGAAGAACTCTGGTTACCAGCCATACTGCACACAACAGATTTCCCCTTTAGAGCAGAGCCGTGATACGCACCCCGCCCCCCTTTTTCAGGATGACTTCCAGGTTTCTAAATATTTGTACACAAAATTTGGTTAGTTCGTGATAATGGCCACCGACTGCTATTCATCAGCGAGAAAGACCACTGAAATTAATTCTTCTATGCTTTGTTTATGTGTGATTATCAGTATTGGCCACACCTGAGAGGTACTTGAGTTTCCCCATCAGGTATATGGCCTCCACGCAGCCAGGACAGGATCGTGTGACAGGTTGCAGGATTGTCTGACTCTTCTTGAGCGACTCTGGAATCGTTTGTCCAGCTTCGATGGGCTGGAAATTGCAAGGAGTGTGTTCAGTTTTAATCAAAGTTACCTGGTACCACCTTTAAGTGAAAAAGTAATGGGTAATTTTTCAGTTTGTGCAACATGCTGACTTGCCTTGTCAGGAGAATATTGTAGGTAGAGGCTTACAATTTGAAATATGAAGTCGGGATTTAGCAGCAACAAATACTCCGACCCCAGTGACAGCCCCTGTTCAGACAACGAGCATTTTGACCAGGTTAAGAATTTTGGTGCATGCCCTTGAGCATGAAGAGAGAGAAAAGAAGTATACCACACATTTATGCAAGATGAAATATACCTCACCCATCCCCCTTTTCATGCCAAACCGTTGCATCTTGAGTCAAGCAACAGCATGAATAATTGGGAGTGCAGAATATAAATTTCTCTACAGTATCTCTATACTTATTTGCATAATGAGCTGCCTTGGTATGCACATATGCTTCAGAAGAAATGACACACACATAAATTTGCCTGCTTGCCCGAGAACTCCCCTTAGGTGTGCATAGTTTCACTGTACAGACCCCACAACTAGCTCTTTTTTCAAATTGCCCACCTATGTCGGAAGCATCTAAAACTTTTTCAGATTTTGTCCTGTATAATCTGCCTCTCCCAATGCTAAGGTATACCCATGCATTTGTTCAGTCCTATATAATCAACAATAATGTGAGATACCTCTATCTTGGCAAAGTGGGCATCAACACACTGACTCAGATGCTGCTGCAGTTCTTCTGGTTTTCCTTTGTGAACAGACAGGGCACACAAGTACAACAGCTCCTAGAGAACAAAGAAAGTATAATCTCGGACTGCCCCAATAGATAATGTGGTCATTGTATGGCATCTGGAGAGCTTTACATGCTCTGTAACATACTGGGGTCATGCTTGAGGTTTTATGGATTTCTTTCAGAAGCTCCAGCTGTTGACTTGCCACATCATATTGCCCTTCCAGTAGCTGACACCAAATAATACCTGGGGGAAAAAAAAAGGCATGTTTCAGAAGTGCAATGCAGCTGCCAGGTAAAGCTTTTTTTTTTTAGATTGCTTGTCAATAGTGCAATCGCGGCAGGTTAGACCCGTTGAGCGCGCTTGTTACCAAGCACCGGCGCACTACGGGTAAGCAACACCCGCAGAGCTCGCTTCCGCGGGTGTGGCTTCTCCGCAGTGCAATGGTGCTTCGTAAGAAGTGCATTCAACGGGGGCTCACCTGCCGCGATCAACACTTCAAGAAGTACAAATATCGCAGCCGCGAACTCAGGAGAAAAGCTCATTTCCAAAGGGGGACAGTGCACGCGTGCGCATAATGCATTTAAAAAGAAACGGAAACTTTTTGAATATTGATATCTACATATGTAGCAGTAAAATTTTCAAAATTAAGCTGGCATGCATGAGTAAATGTTAAGCAGAGATGTCCTGACACGATTGAAGAAAATATATTTTAATATAGCAAGAATAATTATAAATCCTCTTGATTAGGTATAGCTCCATAGGTTTCATTTTATGTTAAATGATTCGTTTACTTGCCAACCCAATGTAGGCATTGGACTTTCAGGAGGCCACAGTACAGTTAGATTCGAATTAACTTGCCGTCAAATACCGGGGAAGCGCCCACTCCACTTTCACTGAAAACTGGACCACTGTAGGCAGGGGCGCTTGTCCGGTCAAAATGGGCGCTTAACGTATAATTAGCAGAATTCACAAGTTTGGAGCGCGTTAATAGTGGGCGCTTAAACGAATTTGGCGCTTCCGTGGTATTTTACGGTAGCATCTTAAGAATGGACAAGTGGAAGATTAACAACGACCTTCAGAAGTTCAGCTGGGATTTCATTCGAACATGTTGCAGTAGTAAAAGGCTTAGAGAAACTATTCAATATTTGATTTGAAAATATTTGGCCAAACTACTACCTATTCGCTTCGAACTCAAAATCCGCTATTTGCACATGCCTACTTGTCAAGCAACTTGCCTGTGAGTGCTGTAATGCTAGCTTCGTCCATCTTGAGTGCTGCACGATAATGCTTTGCAGCATCTTTCAGTTTGCCCTGCAGAATGCGCTGATAGCCAAGCTCGGACATGTAGTCTGCATTGCTGGGCTCCAGTGAGCAAGCTTTTTCCGCTATCATATACGTGTGCTGCAGTATCGTGTCCTGCCTCGAGCACTGCAGCAGAACAAACCCATTCTTTTACGACGCTTCTGGAACTTTGGAGCTTGCGCAACGAGCCCACTCACCGTGCGTGACAGAAGCTGGGCAATCTTGTGGTATAGGCCTCCATTTTTGGGCTCAACCTTTTCCAAATTTAGTAGCAGTTCAGACAACCTGTCGGAGCCCTAACAAGGATGGTTACACGGTTCAAGCAATGCAAGGTACATACACTTCATACAAAGCACGAAAAAAGTGAAACTGGCAGGGTGAACTTGAAAGTAAGCTCCTGAAAGTCTCAGTGCGGCAGATGACATTTTGCCGAGCGTCTTACCGCCACCGTTCTGAAGCTTCTACAAGATTCTGTTCAAAAACAGCGCAGCAAATTTTTATGGTGGTCATTACTGCAGTCACAGACTGCCCAGTGATACATAAACTGATTGGGGCTGGTCATAGCCCGCTGTCAACGACCACGGAGAGTGACAGGCAAAAAAAAAATGGGTTGCGAACCACCAGCACAACACCAGTTGATGGCTCACTTCTTTGTAGTCCCCGTTCTTGCAGACCAGGTGAAGAACAATGTGGACGAGGGCTTCGATGCAGTTTGCATCCTGGGATAACGCCCTGTGGGGTTGAGTCTTTAAAAAGTGTGCCATATTGATTGCTTCGCATAATTAAAAATTTGCGGTCAACAAACCTGTTGCAAGAGTCTAGCATCTGGTCCCAGTCAGACATAGCAAGGTGTATCTTCATTTTCTCGAGCAGTGCAGGCACAAATCCAGAGTAGAGTACCACAGCTTGGTTGATCACTTCTAAGGCCTTTGTGAGCTCCGAACTGCACTCGAAACATTTTGCCTTTCCAAAGAGTGCTTCTGGCATAGCCCTAAAAAGATGGATTGCAAATTTTTAACTCGCAACAGCGTTTTGAGATAGAACAGTGCCTTTTCACGGAAAAGACTGTAGCATAATGTGGGAACGTAGCTTCCACCTGTTTAGTATAGTGTGGGAATCACTTACGCTCCCGTTGATTCAAAGTATTGAATTGCCGATTTTTTATCCTTCGTGTTGAGGATTTCGTTCCATCCCTTCAGGATCAATCCCTGAAATTTATTTGTGTTTTACGAACAAATTACTGCCCCCCCAAAACCAGCCCTTTACCCTTCAATACAAACCACTGCTGTTTCCTGTCAAATGTTCTCTTTGTAAAAAAAAAAAAAAAATCAAGAGTTAATTTTTTTTTTTTTTTTTTCTGGTTTTGGATGATTTATGCAACAGAATAAACGCGGGACTTTCAAAGGCGACAGCAACAGCTGCTTCGACAACTCGCCGCAAAATACAGAGCGTGCCCTTGTGTCACGATAGGCACTCGCCCGCCATTTTTAAATGTTTGAAAACTAAGCAAAGGTCACATCAAGTGCCCGCCCCCGACTACTGAGCCCGCCCACCCAGCTGACCGAGGTGCACCTTTTCCTCGGCCGCTCCTCTAAGCGCCCTGGTGCAAAGTGGTGAAGCCCACCCTGGTGTACGCCCTTTTTTTGCGTTTCTGTTCTCGGACCTAAAGGCTGGTTTGCACGCCCGCGACTGCTAACGACAGGGTGCGTTAAAACCTCTCAAAATCTCTTACCACGAGAAAAGACACTGGTGCCATCTATTCGGCAGCTGCGGAACACTCGGCATTTCCGTATGTTTCCTATTTTTTTCCGCCCATCGTTCTTTTTGTCTTGGCTCGGAAAAACTTTTGACAACGTTATACCCAACTATTTCTCGTAGGTTATAGTATGTACACATGATCTCGCAAAAATACCGAAAGAGCCTTTGCTTTAGTGAAATGCAGTTCCAGCATCGCCTCACGGAAGGCGACGGTGTGTTGTCTCGTCGTAAGAGACAAGTAGAACTCGCCTGTAGGCGGTCGCCCCCAGTTTCTTGAGGCTATCTACGAAATTAGGATGGGCAAATGCGGGATATTGCATGGTAAAAGCGTATAAGCAATGCTCATTCGTTATCTTCCGAGTGATGTACCGTGAAATACCGTGCATTCACCCATGTCACAGTAAGCGCCCACCCCTAAATTTTGTAACATTCATAGAATACATGAAACAGATATCGTTACACATTATTGGCCTAAAAAGAGCCCATCTCGTTTTACACGATTATCTCCAAATTTTGAGTGGGCACTTTCTCAAGATTTTTTATTTATTTTTTTGTCTATAGAAAATAATGTACATTTATACAGAAGCTGGTGAGCATCCAGGCTGAGCAAGGTTTTCAAACTTTATGAGCGGTACACCAAGAGCATACAACCTTTTTTTTTTTATGACCTGGTTTGTTTTTTGAGACAATTGGGCTATCCTTCGAGATATGGTAGCATGCCTGTTGTGATTCCAGCCAGGAATGACGAACGTAACGCAGTCAAACAGATCAGTAATTCCAGCCAACCGCCGAGGAAACCCACCCAGTAAAATGGACTTCGACAAATTACCTCCGCTCATATGTCTAGGTTGACTTCAGATTGATTTCACGACCTAAAGAAATTTCGGTCATGATATATATAGCATTCAATTCTGCAGGAAATAATTTAACTGGTTGGCACATATACCTCTCTAGTTGGTGGCGAAACCTTCAGCATGCGATCAATATATTCTTTTGCCTTGTCGTATCTTCTTGTCAAGAATAGAAACAGCCCAGCATAATACAGCATCTGAAGAAAGACATTAGAAAAAAATTAGTTTAGTTCAAATAAAATTGCAAAAAACACACAAACACTGATGCCTCCTTAGAGTAAGTGAATATTCAAAGTGAGAGCATCTAACCGAGTGCACTTAACCCACCATAGGTACTTGGGCATAATTAGAGCTTTGCATTTTTTAAGTTTATTTTTGACAAAACTCAACGCTTTCCTAACTTTTTGACATCTATTGAAGTTTTTCCTGCATTGACTCAGTTTTTTAGTTCCCAAGGAAACACACTGCTCATAAAATCATTTGACTGCCTCACTCTGCACACTTGACAGCTTATTTCTAAAAAAAGACATGCTTAAATTAGAAGATAAAACATAAACTGTCATTGATTGATTCTTTAAAATTGATGATATTCCCAAACAAAATTACTGTTTGCCCTATTATGACTTGTTGCGCTAAGACTGTCCCGTAAAGCGCCGTTCACACACTTGCAACCGAGTAAGACCGAGAAACTAGAGTTGTTAAGCCCCTTGCAACGTCTTAGGACCGGATGCGCTGCTGCAGAGCAGGTCCTATGGCGTCGTAAGAGGCCTAAAATCCGGTCTTGTCTATCTCAGTCATACTCGGTTGCACGTGTGTGAGCGGGCCTTAATATTCTCATCATGTCAGGGTAAGGATAAAACGTAACCGAAAAACGTCAAACGAGGACACTTGTAAGAAAGACGTTTCGTAAGTCAAAATTACGAAATCTTGGGCTTTATGAATTAATCGTATCATAGAAAAGCGTCACATTTATCTAAAAATTTACGAAAATTGATACACTAAACATTTGCTGCTTGAAGTCATTTTCGAATGCTAGTTTTGTTACGATATAATAACCGTATCAGTTAGGACGGTTCGACTTTACCTTCTCTCCTGCCTGCTTCCTTGTCTCCTTGAGTTGCGCGTCAAGTTGTGCCACTGCTTCTTTATCTGCATGCGACAAAAAAAAAAAAGATGTTCCGACTGATTAGTGCTTCATCCTTGAGCGCTCCTTCGTAACTTACCTACAATGCTGCATTTTTTGTGAGCCAGTATCAATGCCAGGATGCCTCCCAAGGCGACGTCTTTGCTTTCTTTGACAACGTCCAATTCTCGTATCCCTTCCTGAAGGCGACCTTTGAATTCGGAACTATGTTTCAGTGATTCCTGAATGGAAGCTTAAAGATTGGTTCACGGACTTGTGAGATCTTACGACCGAGTGCCTTAAAACCTCTTGGGATTCCTTACGACGAGAGAAAATACTGGCACCATATCTACCGGGTAGCCGTGGAACATTTGGCATTTCGATCCGTATATAGGGTGTCCCGAGCGGACCTTCCGCTCTAAAACGAGATGAAAAAAGCGGCCCCTGCACATAGGAAGCTCAAACTTGCACCGAACGTGCAGCGAGCCGGTCAGTTTTACCGCACGAAATTTTAAGGTGCGGTTCTCTTTCTGCGAAAAATGAGATAAAGAAACTTGGCAAAGTCAAGGTTGGGCTCGTTCGCAGACAAAAGAGTTAGCAACGCACCTATGTATAGTATATGTATATGTACATACATCTGTGGTGCAATCTCTCTGCATCGAGAGTCTAATATTAGACATGCCAGACTCTGGAAAAAAATACAAATTAAAAGGGAAGACGGGCAACACGTGTCGGTGGCAATTGTTTGGTTATTTCTTCAGGTTATGACCGTGAATTGCTTGGGTCCCATTTTTTTTTACCTTGCAGGGGCCAAATGTGGTTGTTGGAGGGGAACTCGCACCACATTGTGTCGAACGAACACGTCTGTGCAGGTGTCGAGATATGTTCTGACGTAATCGTCTCGACGAGCCGTTCGAGGTGGGGTAGAGCGTAGTCCCTCTATGACCTCTTTCAGGCGGATCACATAGCTTGTGGGGTCGAACAAGTCTCTGTTGCTTGCTGGTGTGAAAAATTCGCCAGGTAATCGGATTGTGATGCCATAAACCAACTCTGCTGTTGTGCACGAGAGGTCTCCCTTAAGTGTTGTCCTGACACCAAGAAGGACGAAGAACAGAACGTCGGTCTAGTCGCTGTGCTGGTGTGCTTTGAAGGCTGCCTTCATTAGCCGATGGAACCGCTCAATGATATCGTTGGAAATCGGATGATAGGCGGTTAGTATTTTAGCTTGCTTGGATCCGAGCAGGCGCGTCAGTTGAGTGAAGAGCGACGATTCAAATTGGCGTCCGCATCGGTCGTGATGATAGACGGTACTCCGAAACGTGAAATCCAAACCGACACAAAAGTGTGAGCAACGGTTTTGGCCGTAATGTCCGAGATGGGAATAGCTCCCGGCCAGCATGTGAACCGATCGATGCACGTGAGGATGTACCGCTGGCCTTGTGATGGTGATTGTGGTCCGACAATGTGTGCACAAAGCCTTGGTCAAACCTTGCATCAGGAGTGGTAAAGGTGAAGAGGGGCGTAATGGTGTGTCGCTGGATCTTAGCCCGCTGACAGGATATGCACTCTACAGCCCACTGACGAACATCGCAATTCATGCCGGGCCAAACGAAGCGAGAAGTGAAGAGATGCTGTGTACCCAGTATGGCCCGGCTGCGACAGCAAGTGCAGTTTCTCGAACACCAGTTGACAGAAGGGAGCGGGAAGAAAGGGACGAGGTGTTCACGTCGACATGTCGCACCATAAAGTTGCGTCATACATGAGTAGTGGTACCTCGTACAGCTCCGTTGAGTGCGTATCTGTGTGAAAATGACCGAGATTGGTGTTTGTTTTCTGGGCAGCAGCAAGGGCAGCTAAGTCCAGCACTGATGATGGAGAGACGTGACAAGGCTTCCACCACCGGGTTGTTGCGGTTGTTCACGTGTCGCACGTCCGTCGTGAGCTCCGAGATATACGACATTTGGCGAACATCAGGAGTTGTGTGGGGATGACTATCCGACTTCAGTGACCGCATTGCGAAGGTCAGTGGTTTATGGTCAGTCAGGATGAAGAAGCTTCTTCCCTCCAAGAGAAAGCAAAAGGGGCGAAGCGTGACTCAGATACGCGGCAAGAAGCTCTCGTCCGAAGGTGCTGTATCTGCGCTCGGTGGGTGACAATGTCTTGGAGAAGGAGATAGGGTTCCAGGTGTCATTTTGCCATTGCTGAAGGACCGCCCCAATCGCGACGTCCGAAGCATTCATCATGACACACGGGAGCATTGTCCTCAAGAAACACCAAACGGGTTGCGTCGGCGATGTCTGCCTTGATTTTAGTGATTGTGCGCTTCGCTGTGGCATCTGAGGTCAAAGTGGTTGCCTCGCCGTGGCTCTTTTTGAACAATTCTTGCAGCAGTTGGAGGGCTGTCGCACAGTGGGGGACAAAATGCAGACAACAATTGATGATTTTGAGGAACTTCCGCAACTAGCGTAGTGCTGAAGGGCGAGGAAAGTTCCGGATCACCTCAACCTTAGCGGGAATTGGACAGGGTGCATTGGTGGTCAATGTGGTGTCCCAAGAACTCCAGCTCACTTACTCCGAACTGACACTTGGCAGTGTTCATGATGATCCCGTAGCTCTTGAGACGCTCGAGCACAGCTTGGAGGTGTTGTTCGTACTCAGCGGGTGAGGAGCTTGCGATGAGAAGGTCGTCAACATAGACACGGCAGAAGGTTAGTCCCCGGAGTACCCTGTCAATAAGAGTAAAGCTATATGCACTCCGTAGTGCGCTTCGGCCGGAAATGGCTATACGCACTACGCAGAACTCGTATAAAACGAATGGTTACAACGAGCTTTCTAAGCGGTGGCATAGCATAGTGGTAAGGTGTGTGCTTCATACGCAAGTGGACGCGGGTTCAATTCGCGGTGGGTCTACCTTTTTTCTTTTTTCGAACACATTGGTTTGGCGAGGCATTTGGCGGTATTTACGACATTTCTTTTTTACGATCAGCACTAAAAAAAAATAAGGAAAAAGCACGAATGTTGTGGATGAAACTTCGCAGAACTAAATGGCATGGGACACCCTTTCTGGAGGTGCAATCGGGGACAACGGGGCTTGGGTTGCGGCTGGACGCCGCGAAACGGCGTGTACGGGTGAAGTTTCGTAATTAGCAGCCGCACACTGTCGCCGCGAAGTGGCGTGAACGCAGGCAGGGGGGGTGTGTAAAACAGCCCCCCAGTGATACACGCACCGTTCGAAAAGAGTGACCCAAGCGGCATGAGCTCTCCGCCTAGTGCATATAGCCATTTTTGGCCGAAGTGCACTATGCAGTGCATATAGCTTTACTCTGTCAATAGACCTCTGGAAGGTTTGGGCGGCGTTCCGAAGACCCAACGGCATCCAGACGAATTCGTATATAGTTTGAATGGCGTGATGATCGCGGTCTTCGGCACATTGTCCGAGGCGACGAGGATCTGGTGATAAGTGCGCACTAAGTCAGTCTTTGAAAAGATGCATGCTCCATTGAGGCCGGATGTTATGTCTTGGATGTGGGTATTGGATAACAGTCGGGAGCTGTGACGCGGTTTGATGCGCAGTAGTCACCGCATAGTCTCCAGTCTCCGGTAGTTTTCTTTTGTACCATGTGCAGTAGTGATGCCCATGAGCTAGATGACGGGTTGCACGATGCCTATTTCAAGCATGTGCTGGAACTCCTGTTGAGCAATTTGCAGCCTGTCAGGGGCAAGACGATGCAGTCGAGCATGGACGGGTGCTCCGGTGGTTTCAATATGGTGAGAAATGCTGTGCTACACAGGGTGCTCGTCACAGCCAATGCGCATCAATTCCGGGAATGCACGCAAGATTGTTGTGAATTGTGCTGGGGCGACAGGAACGACATGCGGTGAAGTTGGAGAGGGTATTGCGGATGGTACACCAAACACAAAGAGGTTAGTTTTCGTGTCGAGCTGACGCCTTCGTCCTATGTCCACCAAAAGGCTGAAGTGACAGAGGAAGTCGGCACCAATGATGGCAGGCTGCACGTCCGTGACGACTAACACCCAGTGGAAGGTCCATCGGAGACCGAGATTCAAGGTTAGCGAATGCTCACCGTAAATGGGAATTGGCGTCCCGTTCATGGCTTGGAGCTGTGAGGTGCTGGACATCCGCTTGTCTTTAGGTGTCGCCAGTAGTATGCTGAACTTGGCACCGGTATTCGCAAGGAAGCAGAGCCTGGTGTCGCGATCGGGGATGTAAAAGAGGCGTTGGCGGCTAGAGGCGGCAAGTGGCCGAGGCACTTGCCCCCTATAGTACTCCGCCATTCTGTTTCCCAAGTACTGGCACGGTGTGGTGCACTTAGTGGCATTATCGGCAAAGTGGTGGTGGTACCAACAGATGTCAGGTCGTGCTGATGATAGGGATGGGCAGTGCCATTGGGACCACAACTGGCTACGTCCGTGATGTTGTTGCAGGGACATGACGGCGATCGTCAAGCGGGAGATCTCCGCGTGAAGCTGTTGTATTTCATCAGTAAGAGTTTGGACGGCCGATACAACCGGTGTCGAAGTCTCCATCAGCTTGTCGGCGAACTCTGTTAGCTGTTAAATCCCAAGGTCTCGAACGGATGCCAAGATCATGCGCACGATGTGGGGATGACACTAGATGAACAGGTTTCGTAGGAATGAAGCATTGATTGTAGATGCCTCCATCAGCTGCTGCATGCGGTGCAAGAACTGGGTAGGTCGGCAGAAACCACAGCTGGGAATCCGCAGGCCAGTACGGTGGGAGCTTGAGGACGATGGCGGAGATGCCTTCCACAGGGGGCGCGGAGGTTGAGGATTTGGCAGAGCATTTTCTACTTCCAAGTTCATTGCAGCGTTTGAGGTTGGCTTTTTTGTTTATCCGGGTCACCAATGTAGGTATGAATAATGTTCTACTGAATACATTATATTTTTTGAAGGATTACATAAGAATAATGAGATTAAAACTGCAAGCAATGTTCATGCGTCCTAACCAGGCACTGCTCATAATCATCTGCTCTCTTCTCTCCTCTCCTGCAAGGGGGGGGGGGGGCAACTTGAGTTGTCTAGTCTACCCTCACAGAGGTCTGACAGTCTTGCCCGCGTCCGGGCCTGAGCTGGTGTTGGGTATCCCCGATGGGTGCCAGCCTCCTTTGCGGCTCGGGAGATTGTGTTGCGGGAAAGGAGGTGTCATCGCTACAAGCCTCTACAAATCCAACAGTCCCTCTCGAGAGTCCTCACTTGGTCCTGCACTGTAGCCACCCATTCTCTTTTAGTCTCGAGTTCGGTGTCGAAGGAGAAGATGCCAAACTTCATGCTGAGCCAAGTAACTCACTTCCTCCAAGTTGAGTTGACATTCTTCGGGTGAATGTAGACGAAGAGACGCCCAGCCGAGCAGTCTCCATCCATGTACCTGAGACGCGTATGGTATTCCAACTTGCTTCTGGCCTCTTGTGCCTCAAAGGACGACCAGCCGACATCGCCTTCCACAAGTTTGTCTGCTATTGCTACTTGTCCATGGCACCCCAATGCTTGACGTCCTACTGCCCTTTGGCACCGTTCAAGGTATTCACAGAGCTCGCTGGGATTGCAGATGACAGTGTTTCCAAATGTCAGCCCGGGCACAGCGACAGCCATCCAAAGTTCTCAGGTGACCGCGTAACGCTCGTAGCTCCACAGGCCTCCGCTTTCGCAGTCGTTACGCTTTCACACTGAAGATGTCCTAAGGCCCTGGTGGTACTCAGCCAGGTACTCCTCCACAGCCAACAGTGTCACCTCGAAGTATTTGTAGTTGATTGACACAGGAATTGCTGTACTTTGCAGGGTGAGTGATCCAAGGCTACGTTCCCCGCCAGAGAAAACTACTGTAGCTGACTTCTCAGAAAGCAGTCGGAAATGGTTTGCTTTTATTTCACATATGCGACCAGCAATCGCCTCATATCCTCCACACTGACAGCCATCAGCACGAGATCGTCAGCATAGGCAAGTCGTAGTCGCCATGACACTACATCGCCATCAATTCCGATTGGCGCATCGAGCAGACAACAGAGTGCGTCGTCTGCTCGCTGCGCCTGCTGCGCCTATCGGAAGATGGCGCCGGAAGTAAATAGCGTCGCTAGCTCGGCTGTCTGCGAACGCTCCCAGCCTTGACTTTGGCAAGTTGTTTGCTCTCATTTGTTACAAGGAGAGAACTGCACCTTGCAATTTCACACGGTAAAACTGACCTGTTCAGTGCACATTTGGTGAAAGTTTGAGCTTTTTATGTGCAGGCGCCGGTTTTTCCAGCTCGTCTTCCAGCGGCACCATACTTTTCTTTTTTTTTCTTGCATTGAAAAAATATTTTTGACAATGCTATAAACGACCGTTTATCGTGGATAGTATGTACATTTGATCTCGCAAATCCTGCAAAACATTCCCGCTGGGGAAATGCAGTTCCAGGGTCGCCCCTCATAAATGGCGCCAGCGTGTCATATGTAAGAAATCAAGAACTCGGTCGAAAGCAAACGCAAGTGCGTGAGGGGCCTTAACCGGGAGAAAGGTGGTCAGCCAAGGAAGTTGGACCCACCTTCAAAGATGAGGGAGATGCCAAAATACAAGCGGTACACCGGGTCTCCGGAGTACCGTTTGATGCCTTCCACGGCCACTCGCTGCATGCTGTAATAGTATTTTTCTCGGCAGTAGTAGTGAATCTTGGTCTGAAATCGAGCCGCGAAAGCGCCTGTAAAGCTCGTTCATCGAACCACCAAGTCGGGGGAAAAGCATCACCTTGAGGAGTAGCTCAGACTCCGTCATCGTTCCGGGGCTGCTCGGAACGCCGGATCAGAAACCACCAGAAACTTCACGCGTGTTTGTTTACGTCCTCGTGTTGCCATGACGACAGTCGGTAGCGCGTGCAGTCTAGAGCGCGGCCAGGTGCGGCAGTCTTTGCTTCAGGTAAGAAACGTTCCTCTTCCCGTCCTTGTTTTTTTTTTAACTAAACTCTCGTATAATTTTGTTATGACTGTTAGTTATAAAACAACTAGATTTTTAGATTTTAATTACCTCTAAAGTCGTTTTCAAAAGCTCCACGACTCCACGTTGTCTATCCCAATCCAATCCAAATCCATTTTAAGCCTGTTTCTTTTTCCCGCCGGTTGCCCGCCAGTCACCCTTGACACCAGCGGTTTTTGTGGTTTTGGAGAGTTTTGAACGCTTTGAACAACAAGTGGCAATCAATAGAAACGTCTTCATTACATCCCGGGTACCGGCAGTACATCTCGCGGTGCAGAGGCGAGTAAGTTTTGTTAGACTCGGTGTCAACTTTACTTCTTTGTCAAGCTTGTCAAGTGTATTGTAGTTTGCGCGGTTTGCACTGTGCTGCAGCTGCAACCCCACACTTCATACTTTATTGCGCTTAACAAAAAAAAAAAAAAAAAAAAAATGGAAGTGCGCTTACGAGAGAACGTGGCCTCGTCTCGCTCCTCGTTCGCGCAAGTAGACGTTGGAGCACTGCGGGAACTACGCTAGCCTCGACACTGTGCTACAAAAAGTTTGACGCCGAGTACAGAAAGCAGGGCGTCTCTTTCGAACACCCGGCCTCCTGCACGCACTCGTTGCCTTCCGCCGTGCTCTGACTGTGCGTGCACGGTCGAGAATCACGAGACGCCTAAGCATTGTCGAAGATCAGAAACTCGCACTGGAGGCGGTACAACTGAAACACTGCTCCCTGCCGTTGTCATCCTGTCAGTGAATATAACGGTGCAAGGAAAACACCTCCCTAACCTTTGCCATACCCCCCCCCCCCCCCCCCTCCCCTCCCTGTATAATTTTTCCTTTTTTCCGCATACCACATGGTTGTGTTGGTTTTGTGATATGCCCACCAACCGACAGTTCAGGCGAAATTTAAGTGATATCGACTAGGACATCTTCTCCATGTGCAACCTCTCATTGCAGATCTGCTAAGGTACGGCGTTTCGTGCCATGAAGTCGATCCAGAGGGGCCTCTTCGTCGTGTTCGAGGGCTGCGACCGAACCGGCAAGACGACGCAAATCAAGCTGCTCTCCGAGAGCTTGAGCAAGCTCGGCCACAAGACTGAGACAATTGCTTTTCCGAACCGGTCGACCACCACTGGTACGCTGCTGGACAGCTACCTGAAGGCAAGCACCGACCTGGACGACCACGCGGTGCATCTCCTGTTTTCGGCAAACCGCTGGGAAGCCGCGCCGTCGCTTCTTTCCACCTTAGCTCGGAACACGACCGTGATCGCCGACCGTTACGCCTACTCCGGTGTCGCCTTTTCGGCGGCCAAGTCCCTCGAATTCCGGTGGTGCCAGCAGTGCGACGTGGGACTCCCCGAACCGGACCTCATCTTGTACATGAGCGTGCCCCCAGAGACGCTCGCCGCCCGAGGTGGTTTCGGCGAAGAGCGCTACGAGAACAGCTCGTTTCAAGAGAAGGTCCGTGCAAACTACAATCGCCTGGCTTCACTGGAGGCAAAGGGAGGCCGCTGGATCGAGGTTGATTGTTCCAAGAATGTGCAAGAGGTTCACCAAATTATTGAGAGCGTGGTTCTCGAAGCATTGACAAAGGAACGTGCAGATGTGGGGAAGTTGTGGTCTGAGTGACTTGTGAGCATTGATCCGGCTCTTCTTTAAAAAGATAGTTGATGCATTTGGTTCATCGTGTTTTCATAATGTTAGAGGGTATGTGGGTGAAGTGTGCCTGCATGCAGATGCGGGGCTAAAGAGATTACAACCTGTTGGACTGTGCTGGGGTTCGACATTAGCAGTCAATTGACGAGCAAACGTTGGCATCCATAGAGTAGGTCAAGAGCATTCAGACTTTTTCTCCTTGGGTATGCCTCAACAATTTAAGGACAGCAACAACACAGTCATGTTTTGTACGCTGTCCAAGAATTCTCTATTGTGTAAAAGCATTTTATATTTTTAGCACTTATTTGTCGCATAGATTTTGTGCCTTTGCACTTTTCCCTATGTTATTGTTGATGATTCAATTATTTTAGTGCACCCTGATGATTTACCGTGAGTTTGCAGTTGTGCCGAGCACATGGAGAAATTTTATGCACATTCACTTGTCAATCCTGATCTAGGCCAAAACTTGTCGGTGGCCCATTCATCTAGTAGGCCAATTCGTCGTAAAGCAACTCATCGAAGAGACCAACTGGTCGCCGCTTTTTCAAAGCTAAGATATGTAATTATTGTCCTGAAATTTGAAAGCAAATACTGCCCTATAGACCAACACGCGTCCCTTACGTCGTACAGCTGCGGTGGCGCTTTCGACAGCACTGCGCATGCGCAGACGCTTCACTTCACTCGAATTCTGTTTCTGTGCACGCGCAGTGCCCACATCTGGTGTGGGCAAATGCAGGCTTGTTTGTAAACAGCGTGTCGGTCTATAGTAATCCGTAAAATCGCCACACTGTAATTGACCTCCAGTGTGCTCTTGTTGAAGATAACAACTTGCCGCTTTCACGGTGCAGTGGGGGACGGTCACTACGTCGCATGTAAACCTACCCGGCCCACCCTTTTCTGCGGCTGCTCATTACAAAAAGTGATGAAGAAAAGGAACAAAAAGACGATCCCGAGATGACACAGTTCTCAATTTGCGTCAAGGTTCTGTCCTGTCTTTACCCTCTTGTGATTTGTCTTTCAGTCTTGTAACCTAACAAGAGTCCATACACACATAAAAATTTAGGTCAAAAGATAACAAGAAACCACAACTTTTACCCCGGTCCGTCAATGAATGAATCGTCCTTCGACAAGTTACCCTTGGACGAATTGGCCATCAACGAGTTGGCCGGTTCCCATCAATGCTCTATGACATTGCGTCTTAAAATTACAAAGTACCGACTGTCAATGTCTGTCTTTCTTTTCCTTCCCTGTCTCGGGTCAAGTTATGTCAACTTTCCAGCAGCTGTCCAGCTCGCCTGTGCGCTCGCCCTTCTGTCACTTTTACTGAGCCTGTTTAAATTTTAATTACTAAAAGAGAATAAGAGATGTAAAGAAAGAGGAATTAGATTTTCAGAAAACACTGAAGTGACGAGACAAAAACCAGGACAAAATTTTGTGACTATTGTCAGTGACTGGTTAAGGGGAAACTCCTTCACCCCTTTCCACTTTAATAGAGCAAACGGTGGAGGAGGTCACCTCCTCTGCTAAAGTGGAAAGAGATGGGAGGAGCTTCCCCTGAATTCTTAACCTGTTACCGACTGTAGTAAAAAGTCGGAAATATGTCGCATGTGTACAGCGATACCGGTGAAGGCGCAAGCGAGCTGGTGTAAGTTTACCATTTTGTGAAAACACCTGACGCTGGGCGTGGTCTTGTGCACATTTCATATCGAAAGCAGTCGAAGGGAAATGTGAAAGGCTGAGCCGCTTGGGATGCGGAGAATATTTCATTAGGAGGCAGGTGAGTAGAATGAGCGGGGCAAGAAAAGAGACAAAAAGAAATCGAAAAAATTCCGAGGACACCTAAGCACTTCTTATGCGTTGTGAATGTGAAAGAGTGAATGTCATTCTCTTTCGGGGACGACGAGAGAGCCCCCCCTCCACTCCCCGCCGCCGGAGCACCCACAAGAAGAAACGGCGGGGAAAAAAAATTACACCATCTTCCCGAGGGGAACCATGGGGGCAGGGCCGTACCCAGAAAAAAATTTCGGGGGGGGGGGGGGGGGGGGGGGGGGGGGGGGTCAGAACCCCCTATCACCCCCCTGGTTACGGCCCTGCATGGGGGTGTTGCGGAGCATCGCGGAGTTTCCAACAACGTTCACGCGATTTGTGGTAACCAACGCAAGCTAACAACGAATAACACGCAAGTTAACAACGTTACTAACACCGTTAACGATCCGCGATGCTCCACATCACCCCATGGTTCCCCTCGGGAAGATGCTGTAATTTTACTACAGTGTGAAATGCGGGACATTTTGAAGATTGGGAATTTCTCGCGGGACGCGAGACACGCGAGACACGAGCCTCCAATGCGGGACAGTCCCGCGGGCCGCGACTGCGGGCCGTGCGGGTCGCGGGACGTGTGGTCACCCTAATGGTGTGTTTACCGCGTCTAAAAAAGTGGTCCCTTGATTTCCGCCTGCTGACGTCATACAAGTAACATGCTCCCGCCGGTTGCGATCCTGGCGGTGTTCCAGCAGCGGTAGTGGGTGTGGCAGACGCCTGTTCTGCTGCAGGTCGCTCTCTGGTGTGACAGTCCACGGAAACTCCCTCAGCCAGAAACTATGGCCAGAAATCGGGACGCTATGACGACCACAAAAAGGGTGGCGTGGCCTCGTCAGGCACGTCAACGTGCCTTTATGGATGTCCCTTGAGACTTTTTGTAAGTTTTTCTCAAACAAACAAACACTCGAGTTTGCTCGCACTTTTCGCCAACATTTCTACTACCAACCGCCAGGATCGCGACAACATAACATAACACCGACAACACTCCGGTTGCTGCGCCCCATTTCCGCGCTAAAGACATCATAGCCGGAAGAGCCGCCGCCTTTCTTATCTGGAAAAACGAAGTTTTGAAGCTCTAGAGATGGATGAGTTGACGAAAGCTCTTATAGAAACAGTAAACTTCGCAGCGGTAAAGCACAGAGATCAACAGAGAGACGACGGCCACACGCCTTACATCAACCATCCAATCGGTAAGCTATGCAAGTAAGCTAGATAACTGGACAACCTGACGAGCTGAGGGGGAGGACTTTGCGCCACAGTTCCTCACTGCTCCCAGCTTTTTGAAACTTCCCCTTTGTGTGCGCAGCCTTCTGCCGTCAAACGGGGCAGAGTCACGAGACTTGTTTCCCACAATCTTTTCTTTCCTTTGCATGTTCTTTCTCTATTCTGTATTCTGTATATTCTGTATTCTGTATATTCTGTACATATATAGGTCATATGTTTTTTTCACATGTGGTGGCGGGCTGGCAGGCGCTCTGCGTAAGGGTTTTTCACCTATCTGCCTAGCCCCGCACACCACCACATGTGCCCATTGCAGTATGTGCAAATAAAATTATTAATATTATTATTATTATTATTATGCTAGAGGGTAGTTGAATATTCACATAGTCTCTCCCTTCAATGTAGGCGTGGCCAGGATATTGACGCACGAAGCGGGAATTTACGATCTTATGACGATACAGGTGAGTCAACATGACGCTGCATTATCAGGAAAAACAAAGCGATAGAGATATTGATAGTCGATACATGGGTTGCGCGTGAGGTCATTCAAAGAGCGCTCTGATGTCCATCAGAGACGAAGGCAAGGAGGAGCTCGCCTCTAATCAGGGCCCTCTTTTGCGACTCCCAGATTTGCCCAGGCATCGTTATTCTCCTCCCAGAAGATTATGGAAGATTAACCCGTCAATCAAAATTCATACAAAAGCAGCTTCCCTCTCCTCTTACATGGTGGTCAAAAGTATCCGATGTGACGTCAGTGCAACCCATGTATATGCCAAAAAGAAAAACAATTTTTTTTTTTTTTTTTTGAATTTAGTTTTAGTTGAACCTAGAACTCTAGGTTCAGCTAGAGTTCTGTGCAACATTATCGAAGGCAAGGGCAAATCGCTTCGTATTTTGCTTTTGAGTTTAGTTCTTGCATTTGTGGGAGAGAATGGCTTCTTTATTTGCATGCAACAAGCTCTATACATACCCTTTACCTCAAGACGAAAATCTTGGCCATTTGCAGATTCTTCATGGGAATATTGCTTTGCATAATGCATCCGAGTCAAATTCATGCTCTTTCTGGCATTCATAAGAGAGTACAGTTCCATTTGTTTGCATGCAGCAAAGCTTTACACATAACCCTTACCTTAACACCATGGTGATCATTCACATCTTAATGCATGCCCAAAACATTCAGGCTGCGATTCTGCACGATACAGTGGAGGACACCGACACCACCCCAGAAGAGATTGAAAAGCACTTTGGGAGCAGGGTGAGGGCAATTGTGGACGAGGTGACCGATGACAAGCGGCTGCCATCCGAGGTCAGGAAGCGGCTCCAGATCGAGCACGCGCCCCACTGCAGTCATGAGGCCAAGCTGGTGAAGCTGGCAGACAAACTGTACAACCTCAGGGACCTCTCCACGACCACTCCCCTGGGCTGGAACGAGCAGAGGGTCCAGGCGTACTTTGAGTGGTCCGAGAAGGTAGTGTTTGGACTGAGGGGCACCAACAAACCCATGGAACTAGCCCTGGACCAAGTGTTCGAGGCAAGACGTGTGCTCAACGACAAAATCCCCGAATCAAAGTGAAATTGATTGCATTTTCTTTTCAATAAAATTATCCTCCAAAGGTTTTTAGTCCGTCTCATTTGACTCGAGAACAACTTTTACTTTTTTAACGCACAATGGGTTATTTGGCTCGCACCTAACCATTTCCGTTCCAAAACAAGGGACAGAAGTCGATGAGCTGACTGCCAGCCGAACACCGACGCAGCGCTCATCTCCTCACTGACCAGTGCCAGCCGAACGTCTTCCTCGAGTGCATCCGCGTTACTCACGGTGGGAGGAAACATGTTCAGATGCGCTCTGCTTCGTGAAACTCACATGCTCCGAGCTTCCCCAAAGGAAGATGGTAGCAGAAAAACCGAGAAAAAAGGCAGACACTACGTAGACATGCTCCCTTTGCTGCAACGGGTTGAGGTAGTTCACAGTGTTTGGTTCTCTTCTGCTGCAAGTCAGGGCTCTGCCCGGTGCTGCTGCGTTCCAATTGTTAAGTTTTCCGCACGCTCAGTCCATTGCATCCCACACTCCAACAGGCTTTGAAAAAGTCTCCTTTACATTGCCATCGCAGAAAATGGCACCCGCAAGTAGGACATCCACAGGGCGACCCCGCACTTGCCGTGCACGACACGGGGCTGCTTTGTGCCATCCACAGTGATGGAAGCAGCATTGGACCTTTTCTAGCAGCTTTTAAAGCGGGCGAAATATTGGTCTGGAGCAGCCACCGACGTTTTTGGAGCAGATTCCAAAATCTGTTACCATGTCATACGGATATGAAAATGTGACTGGGCGTCACTAAAAGAGTCCACATCTGCAAATGATTGATGGTTCCTTTTTAATACTGAGCCATTTACTTTTTATATTTGCTAGCAAGAATAGATTGGATGCAAAAAGAATGCGCTTTTTCAGAATTATGGCCGAGGTCAGAGTAGGTTTCATTTACAATAGGTATTAAAAATAATTGAAAAACTATGCATAGCACAACACTTCAGCTGAGATAGAGCCTCTCTCCTTCCCTTTTTTACACTTGGTAGTTAATTTAGCACAATTCCTGTAAAATGTTGGCAAAAATTCCGCATATCTGCTAAAACGTTAATTAATAAAAATATTCGTCCTAGAGGTCAACCTACAGGCCAACCTAGAGAGAAAATTAGAGGTCAACCTACAGTCAAGACCAACAAAGTCAACCTATAATAAGACAGCATAATTTCCGAGCCCATAGCGCTAACCCATGACAGCCGCTGCTTCTAGCACTCCGGTGCAAAGCGGCGGAGCTCGACGCGTGCGCTGGTGTGAGGCCGTATTGGTAGAAGCGAGCGGTGCAAGATCCACAATACCACATGCCATGGAGGCATCTGGCAGACACGGTATACTCAAGTTATATAATCACGAGTAAAAACACCTGCATCTGTCTTATTACAGTAGCCGCCATCCCACCATTTCGCAAATTCCTCTTGTGCCTGTTAGCTCCCGACATCGTGTGGAAATTCATACGATGATGGGGTCAGTGCGGTTGGAGAGCAATATCTACACTTTGTTTCAATTTGAATTAAAGCGTAGGCGACAAAGCAATGGGACCAATCGAGCGTCAAAAGCGCAAAATCATGGCATTCGTCATCCATTTGTGTGTGCTCTTTCATTGGTTAAACCAATCGGGTGCTGCAAATTCCCTGTGACTTGCGCTTTTAGTATGTCTGTTCGCGACTATGTGTTCAAGTTTTCGAATCTGCTCTGACCCAAGCTGGAACAAATTATACAGTGGGTAGAGACATGAAATCTACATTTGTTTCTTTTTACTTCTCAAACTATTAGAATGGACCATTAATAAAATATTTTCATTTTTTGCTTTTGTTCAAGCTTACCTCGATGCAGGTTTGGCGCAATTCTTAGCGAAAACGGCGCTTTGGCGCAGGATCTAGCAGACTGGTGCCTTTGCCACGTTTATGTAGGGAAGGGGATACTTTTTTCCCCTCTGGTCACCGACAAAATGAAAATGGCAGGATGAGTCTTTTAAACCTCCAGCCTCCAGCTTGCGCGCCACGTCTTGTGGAACACACGCTGGAGGCTGTAGTGTACGTGTTCTCAAACTGGCTTCCCAAGAACCCAGCGGTTCTCCAGAGTACTCTCGTGGGCTCCTTAAGCTCTTAATTTTCCTCAACTGTCTTTGCCCCCCAAGTGTCTTTCCAGTTTAGACACTATCTTAGCAGAGCCACCCAATGATGCATAATTTCCCCAGTATGTGCATTATTGTTTACGAGGTCTGTAGGCTTCTGCATTGCCTCGTCACATTAATGCCGAGACCAAGAAAGGTTCCTCGGTCGCCATTCCAGGCAGAGGGGGGAGGGGGGGGGGGGGAGGGGTCCACACCGAGATCAGAGTTTGAGAACCCCAGACCTAGGGGTCACATAATGTGGTCCTACTGAGTGGTTCAGTGAATTTAAGTGTTGCAAAAGCAGGAGCAAACTTTATTTTTGTTGTAAAATTGCAACATAATAAAGGCACGTGGCGAGTTAGAGGTAAAGGCGTAAAGGCACTTTACAAGTATTGCTGTGCTGACGGGTAAAGGAGCATAAAACAAACAGCCTGAGCAAGATGACTTCTAAAGATAGTAGATTGCCGACTAAAGGAATGGGAACTGTCTTTTAGTGATGGAATGAAGCTCCTCTTCTCTTCACCCCTGGATAAATCTTTCCCATTTTACTTGCGATGTTCTCCTTCGAATTCCTTGGCAAACTGCAAGAATGGAGCAATGGCTTCCACGCTCATGGCATTGAAGACTGAAACGCGGATGCCTCCGACGGACCTGCAAGGAACACGTGCAGTAATGTATTTGGAAATTGTTTGGGCAGCCTAGATTCCAGTAAACTTTTCTAGTTTACTGGAATCAAAACAACCAGTTGCAGGACCAGTGTCTGCAGGAGAAAAATGGGGCATAATTTAAAGAAAATGTGGTGGGAGAGAAGTTGAGTGGGAAGAGAACCAATGCTGACTTGCGCATGGCAGGAAGGGGAGATACATTTTTAATGGCCCTCAAGTGTCCTGTTAGCAATTCTGATTGCAAATTAAGCTGACCGGTCTGCATTCCACTGCTTTTCCATAGCCTACTGCAGTCTAAGAGGGTATTCCTTTGATTGCCAGATGCACATACAATATAATGTGAGAGGTAGCTGGGGTAGCTTTTTTCCCCCTCGCAGCTCTTTAATTTTCGAAACATTTGAGAACAGGGTTCCTGGTTCTGAGATTCTACAAGGTTGGCATCTATACAGGACTGTTCTGGGCATGATCATCTACAGAATTGCACTGAGATATGTAATTTACATCCATAAAGTCTTTAAAAGAAGGGGTGGGGCTCAAAAGGCCCACAAAAAGGTTTCAACATTCAAAGAATTCTGCTACTTTCATTTTGGTTATCATGGCACGTCTAAAAAAAAACACTGCAAAACCCATTTAGTTGAAATTCGACCGCACTATCCCAAAGCCAGAGATAGACTTCCTCTCGACTTGTGGCTACCTGTTACCATGAGATGAAGCATGCAAGCAGAGACTTCCAAGTTAGTAAGTTCGCCAAGCACATGCTGGCAAAGGCCTACTGTAGACAAGGTTTTATTAAAGGGGTACTAAAATGCTTTTTGAGATGCTGGTTTTATGGTCATAACCCAATTTACGAGCTCTAATTATCCTAAAAAACTAATTTACATTCATGCGAGGCCGATTTGCATATTAAGAAAGTGATAAAAGGTCCCGGCACTTACCATTGGCGCAGTACGACAGATGGCGCTACCGAGCCTTGCTGAATATGGTTGAACGACGGACGGCGCATGTCAGCCACTCACAAGCAGTGGGTTCCCGCGTAAACGAGCGGGACTGGTCAGTTGCTTGTCCACACAGGAACCCACCACTTGCAAGCGGCTGACACGCACCGTCCGTCGTTTGACCATATTCAGCAAGGTTAGGTAGCGCCATCTGTCATTCTGCGCCAATGGTAAGTGCTGGGATGTTCAATCACTTTTTTAATATACAAATCGGCCGCGCATAAATGTAACTTCGGATTTTTAAGATGTTTAGATCTCGCACATTGAGTTATAATCATAAAACAAGGATCTAAAAAAGCACTTTAGTGCCCCTTTAAGACTAAAGTTTTGTGGTGCCACCTACTTGAAGCCACAAAACAATCGCTTTCACTCAGATCAAAGCTCGCACATGCTGGATGTTTTACCAATCCTCCTCGCGAAGGAACAAAGTGAACATCAGGACGATGGCGGGGGTTTAGCCCGGCTTTTAGAAAGCATATTCGAGGTTTAAAAGGAGGGTGAAGCCAAATTTTGACTGAATGCTGAGCGTCCCGTTATTGAATGGAACATTGATCTCCGTGACGTTTGTAGGCGCATAAAACCCAAACTGGCTTTGGCGTTCACCTGTGTCCTTTGAGTTGGATCATGCCGCGTTTGGTGGCCTCCTTCAGGAACAGTTTTTCAAGCTCGTCGTCTCCTTCGGCCCCTCCGATGCGGAACGGAATGTTAACCCTGCTCCTGTTTGCCGGATTCACATTGCACCTACAATGAAGCGGAACAGAGTGTCAAACAAGACGGATGAAACGCTGGATGTGCACTTGCTCTTTTTGTCGATTTCTCTGCACCGCTGAGAAAAAGGAACCATTTGTATAGCCCCAGAACCCCCCATTCCTTCCCCCTTCCTTGAGTGGCAGCCAAAGAACCCTTCCCCATGTCGATATTGATGCAATAAAGCAGTGCAGAAGTTTACAGATGTTGTAAAGCAAGAATTTGAATAATAGAAAGTGTCTGGCCCACGAATATGCGCAGCTTAGATCCGCTAAATCAATGCTTAAACTGGAAATGCACTTCGGGGCAGGGGCGGTCGAGAACAGTGGAGAGCTTGGGGAACCTTTGAGGGCACTCTGGAGAACCTCTAGGTTCCTAGGAACAAAGTTTGGGAACCCACGGTATAGCCCATCTTATCTCGGTCCGTCAGTACCCCAAAAAATTTCTACCAAGGCTCGCACTCCGATGCCGGGAGCGGCAAAACTCACACATAGAAGTTGTTTGACATGTCAAACAGGTTGTAGATAAGCCTGGATTTCTCGGCCGACCTCCTGGCCATACCCTCGACTCCGCCGTTCCGCTTGACCCACTTCATGACGAGCCCCAGGATGTAGATGCTGTTGAGGACATAGGTATGAAACGACGACGGAGTCTTGCACAAACCATGCAAGGAAATGAAAGGCAATGACAATTCTTTGCGCACTTGTTCTCTATAAAATGGTTAGCTCTCACCAATCCAAGGATGAAGAATTCCAAAAATTCTTTTCAGTTATTAAAATATACCTACCTGCCTACATATATATATGCATGCATGCATGCATGCCAGTATAGGTGGGGTTTTGAGTTCCTGGATAAATCCAAAAAAATCTGAAGAAGACTCGCTGGTGAAAATACCGTAAAATTCTAATTTGGGGCTGCCAGCTGTGAAAACCAGACCAATCTTTATTTTTCCCTGAAATTCTGGGACAACCTAGGCAATAGACTTTTTGCTTCCATTTTTGTTAGTAAAGGTCACGAAAGAATGTCTTGACTGCTTATAAGAAAAAGGGAAGCTACCTTCCTATGATAATAGTCGAACAGATATATCTTTCCCTGCAGCTTCACTCGGTCTTCCTCCCCTAGTTAATTGCAACTCAAGAACGTAGGGCAAGGGAAAGGAAGGCCGAGGAGGAGGAAGCAGGCGGAATGCTAGACAGAGGAGGAGGTTTCCCCCCCCCCCCCCCTCCTCCCCCCCCTCTCCAGCATTCCGTCTGCTTCCTCCCCCCCGGCCTTCCTTTCCCTCGCCCTACCTTCTCGAGTTGCAACGGACTACAGGTATGTCTCTTTCCTAGCCATTAATAGACCATTTGCCATATTTCCAAGCGCCCCGGCCCGCACTCAAAGAATCGTGGGAACGGTGTTCCTTCAGCTCCGTAGTGATTGCTAATTTTCGACCAACTCCAGGGTTACACAGTTTTGGAACGTAATTCAGTCACCCTGAACAAGCGCCTGATATACCCCAAGGACCTGTCATGTCACTTTTAAAATTTTTCGTCAATGTCAGCATTTTTGATGCTGCGCATGCGATCCACTTTTCAACCTGGCCTGAGCTGCAGAAATCTCTTACAATATTATCATTCTTGCGATTGTTGTTTAAGCAAGAATTACTTAAAAAGCCGAGAATTCACAACAACAAAAACCAGGATTTAGCTCGGAGTCAGTGGGGCTGTTTACCGTGAAATACCGGGCAAGTGCCCACTCAAACTTTGGAGAGAATCGCAAAAAAATGGGGGATGGGCGCTTGTCTGGTCATCAATTTTACATATAAATCTGTGCGTATTTTCTTAGATCTCGTAAATTTGGTAGTGGGCGCTTAATGTGGAATGGGCGGATGCGCGGTATTCTACGGTATAGCATTTTTAGCGTTTTTAACTTAATATCAGCGTCTTTGAAGCTATACGAGTGGTGTAGTAGGGCGTAGGGCATAGTCATGGTTGTAGCTGGTGTAGTAGGGCGACATTACCAACTGCTTGGAAAAGATCTCCCGCCGCTCCCAGAACTTGATCGTCGGTCTGCCGAGTATGAAGTGGGCGCTTTACCACAGAGCTGCGCCACGGCTTCGACAATCCGTTTTATATATGCTATTTGAGGAACAAACATGTGGACATGAGTCTTGTGTAGTTCCCGTTAGATGATCACAGTTGCTGTGACATTGCGATAAGAAATTCTGTCATTCTTAATTTTAAATTTAATCCGAGTTACCGTAATTGTTGCCATTAAAAGCTTTGGCTAGGTAACGCAAGCCGCCGCCCGATTAAAAGGGTTTAGCTGTATACATCTATGTAGTATTACCACCTAAACTTTGTTTCAGTTTTATTAAGTCCAGACGCAACGGACACTGAGTTAATAGGACCAATAAAGCAGCGTCAAAAGAGCAAGTCACTGGAGGTTTTCTGTTTATGATTGGTTCGGCGATGATAGAACACATACAAAAACATGAACACCACAATGGTGCGCTTTTGATGTTGTACGATTGGTTCCATCAGCTCCTGGCGCTGGCCAAGTCGGCATTTCGGGTGAAACAAAGTATATAAGATGGGCCTGTACATTGCATCGTTGTCAGTGGATCCCCAATCCACCCCAAGCGGCAAAGGAACTGAATGGAGATTGATAAGAAAGACGCGCTGGCGGCGATGCCAACCGAGATAACGTCGAGAGTTTGGCCAGTTGGTATTCATTGATCACAATGTAGAAACGATCCGAGACATCGCCGCCAAGACCCCACAGTGTGTGAACGCGACACCGATGCCCAACGACTTCGCCGTGACGTGTCGCGGCTATCGCTGTGCTTGTGCTGTGGATTAACGTGAGACTGCTAATTTCTTTTTCCCTCTTCTAACGTTCTAACGTGCCGAAGATCATTCAAGAAGCATGCAAAACCTCCGTTCACGTGACCAGCACCAACTCGCCCAGCGTGTTATTTTCTCGCAATACATGCGTCAATCTGTTACAGATACCGTTTCCCCACCACCAACTTTTCACAAGTAACCAACATCTGCTATACTTTTTTCGGGAAGTTATTGTTCTTGGTTTCTACACACTGCACTAAAGGAATACTACTTAAACGAAATTTGAAATATACCTGTCGTGTTCACAAATGGGCTGAGTATGATCTACAATATCCGCACGTTTAAATTTTGCAATCGCACGTTTAAATTTTGAGCCCGACGGCTGTATTTCTCGTTATAGACGGCCCAGTCTGGCAAGCCCTCGGAAAGCAGCCAGCGGAGAACATGTGACATCCAGTGCAATCGTGACATAGATTGTCTCGGGACAAGCAAAGCTGAGGCGAGGCTGATGTCGAGAGGGTGGTCTAGCCGTTCCAGTCGCCGATGCGGCCGAAGCACGCCAGCGATCTGGCCACCGCAACTAACTGCATAGCTGCTTTTGTACGATTTTTGAGTCACAATCTTCTGTAATCTTGTAGAGGGACAATATTGAAGGCTGGGACACACAAAAGAAAGTCCCTGTGAGAGGGGAGTTGCTCCTTCCCCTCTTCTCTTGTGCTGGCCAAAGAGCTGTCGAAATGACGTCAGGTGCAAGGCATGTATAATTTAAGGCGAGACAGGCATTTTCACTATCCGTCAATGTTCTTAGACAGGCATTACAAACGAGGCTTTAACGACATCCACCAGGTGCCCTGGGCTAAACATTTAATTTGTTTTAAAAGTCCTTTTCAAGTCTTTTTCAACAAGAGATTGGCGTGTCCAATGTGACACTGCTCCTTTGAACATGTATAGACCAAGACATAAGCGCCTAAATTTCGTTGTAGTATCCCTTTAAAGACAGGCTACAGCAATACTTTCTAAAAGTTAAATTTGTTGCTTGGAGCTTTAGATGGCGAGAAGCTAGATTAACTTAAGATTGCGTCTGTAATCGCCACTGTATAAATGGGCAATTTAGCCAGTGCAGTACAACTGTCAACGGTCTTTAACACGCATCGTGCAATAGTGATCTACACTACCGCCTGCCGGCGCAATGCTTATCCAGATCGAAACCTGGACGTTGGAGTTTCCAGTCATGCCTGCTCAATCATGTTCAGTGGGTCAAATGATAGAGAAAGCCTTTTGACAAAGGCAAAGTCTTACGCATAAGTGGGAGGAGTGTTGTAGAGGGACTTGTTTTCGGCGTTGATCTTGTAGCTGAGCACGGAGGGGCAGCACCCAGCAGGCTGCCCAACCAGATCCTCCCGTACTATGACCACCGTAACACCGGCCATTCCCAGATTCTTCTGCGCTCCAGCAAAGATGAGGCCATACTGGAAAAGAGAATTGCACGGTTACACACGTCACGCACGCGCAACTCTTGGGCATTAGCAGTGGTGGAACCAGAGTTCAGTCAGAGTTTGATGCCCTCTCGATTGACCAATGCATGGGAGCCAACTTGACTACTACAGGGGTGGAACGGCTGCACCATTTGCGCCATCTTGCGCCAGACACATTTGTTTGTGCCCTCCTGCGGCATGTTGCGGAAACTGCGCCACAGCCAATACCTCGTGCCATTATGCGCCAAATTGCAAAATGTGAGCCAAAAAATTTTATTTTGTCTTGGTTTCGGTTTTTATCGACTCGATTGGCAACAATGAGCGCATTTAGCTTGGTCGGCATTGCAATCCTTTGTTCTCTGTATTCTACCTGTGTATCCCGAGTCGGAAGTGCGCGAAAAAACTCGGCGATCGAATTTTAAGCGCTACACCACCTGCGACTGGATTGTTATTCTTCAACCATCAGCAGTTAAGCAAGTTGGCCGAGAGAGGTGAGGTCGAGTCCTTAAGCATTAGTTTGCCTGAGGCTCTGCAGCCCGGGATCCGGACGTCGGCCAGCTTAAAACAAATGGGCAAAATATTCTTTTTAGTACTTCATCGTTAGAAATTGGAACCGCATTCCCGCAAGATAAATTGTGTTTTGGTTGAAATGAAACGTGGTCCGATCCGAAACCTTGCCGGCCAGCAGCTCTCACGCGAGCGGTAGATCTGGTCGGCGTACTTTAACCTTGCTCCTGCTTATTGCTTCGAATACGATAACTCCATTGATCGTAGTCTGCTGCTTCGATATTGAGTTGCACAATAGGATAAACTCGAAATTTGTTGCCCTGTTCCTCCGCGCTACTGCACGTCCGTTGCTTACGCACATCACATGGTTCGCACATATAATTACTATGTCGAGCACGTGTGGGTTGTGCGATAAGCAGAGCTGGTTTGCACTTTAAGCAGCTAAAAGCCACTCAGAAAATAACAAGGGCACTATCTTCAGAAACATATGGTACTGACTTTTTGGCTCTCATTAAGGCTCACAAAGTTTCAAGTTTTCTCATCTGTTACACTGTTATCCCATCTACCCAGGTCCCTAACCACTCATGTTCATATGTGCTGCTAAGCACGATTGAAATTGCTCCCATGCTTGTCCAAGACACAAGCTAAAGTGCAACGAAAACTGCTTTTAGCTGCTCCTAGCCTGCTCCAGAGCGTAATTTTAGCTGCTCCCAACCTGCTCCAAAACAGCTGTTTCAGCTGCTCCTATGGCTGCTCCCAAGTACATTTCATGAGTTCCATCCCTGTACTAGTACCATAGTTATTCCAATATACCATATTTATTTAAATATAAGTCGACCTTTTTTTTTTTTTTTCGGAAATGTTGTCAAAAATTATGAATTGACCCATAATTGTGACCGGAAACTTTTGACCTACGTTCGTGACCAAATTTCGGGACTCTACCGAGCGCATGGAGCTATCGAGTCGCCGAGCCGACACACTGCTTCTTGTTTCAGAGAGCTTTTGGTGCATCAAAACAACTGAAACAGCAGCAGCCGGCGGCCCGCCGTGGCCACCGCTCGCACGCATTCCTCGGGTGTCAGCAGACTTGGAAGTAATCCGTTGCAAGTAACGGAATTACTTGTAATTAATTACTTTTCTAGTAATCTTGTAATTAATTACTTTTCTAGTAATCTTGTAATTAATCCATTACTTTTTTGAAAATGTAATTGGTAATCTAATTTCATTACTTTTTCAGTAACGCGTGCGTTACTGAAATCACTTGTTACAATTCTTCCGCCCCGTCAAAGGGAAAAAACAGAGAGGAAGGAGGGCGATGCAACGGCCTTCGCGCTTTTAGCATAGTAACACAAGACGGGGGTTCGCTCGCGAAGAGATCTAGTGCTGGCGAAGGAAAGGAATTCACGAAAACCGCGACAGCCCAGCCAGAGCCCGTTTCTGGACTTGTTCGTACGGTCAGTCAGACTGGGAGGATTCGATTGTCTACATGAAGGCAACGAGCTTCGACTTGGAAAATGAACAAACTGCTTCGAGCGCACAAAAGAGCAGAAAACTAATGGCCCATAAAACCATCGAGCGGGAGTCGTGAAGAGTATGAACGTGGACACTGTGACCGTGGTGCAGATGTCCGCTCACCCTTCCCCCCCCCCCCCCCCCCCCCCCCCCCTCCTTTCTGCCCCATCCCCTGCGTGTTGTCCCCCAAAAACCAATCAGCATTTTTTTTCTGTCACACGAGACCTTCCTTTGCTTGTCGATGTTCTGCCTACACACACCCACCCCGCAGACAAAAAAAAGAAAAAAAAATTGTAACGAAATCTTGACCCTGTTTATCTTTGACAGTGCTGTGAAAGCTAAATACTGGCTGGACCAACCAGCTTAACTTACTCCGACAATTTAGGGAAAGGGAACACAGCCCGAGTTTTCTGAGAATAAACAGTGGCTGAAGGCGGCTGTAAACGCGTGAGAGGCATAGAAGCCTGCTTTTCACTGACAACTGTGTTTTTTTTAATATTTTCTAAACGGAAAAATTAGCTTAGCTGAAAGATTGTGGAAGAATATTTCGTGTGAAGTTTCAGTTTTGATTAGTTTGATGACCAAGAAAAAAGATCAAGTGCATCAAGGCCGGATAACAACCTTCAACAAGCGGTACTCTGAAATCTGCCCAAACGCAAGTACCGCATGTATGTCTTACAGCCAGTTGCTTTTAGTGCTTAAGCCAGCCCCTATTCAGGCAATATATAGCAACCGTAGAAAAACCACTACGTACTTCAGGAGAGTCGTGTTCTAAAGTTTGCCGTTGCCATATTTTGAATGGTGTGCGTGCCTCCGCCACCCAAGTGCATTCGTCGCATGTTCATGGGATTCAGTTCTGTCCCGGGTGGACAGCGCTAGATTCGTTTATATCGAACACCCGTTCCAGTCATTTAGAGCTTTATAGATCCATCCTCGTAAAATTATTTTTCTAAAATAATCGGTGGATATAGTACTGAATCTGTTTTATTTTTGATGGGGCCCGAAATTCTCCCCACAAACACGCAGTAGATATTGCAAGTACTTGGCGTGTTTCTTTAAAGTAGCGCAAAAGTAATTGAGTAAAGTAAAGCTGTAATTAATCAGTTACTTTTTACGAGGAGTAATTTGTAACGGTAATCCACTAGTTTTTAGGCCAAGTAATTGTAATTGTAATTAATTACTTTTTTGGAGTAACGGGCACAAGTCTGGGTGTCAGGTTTTGCCTAGGAGGTTATAAGTACTAGGAGGGGGCACGTTGCAATATTGGTGAAGCCTAGTCATAAAAAGTTTAAATGATGTTGTGGCCAACGCGACCGTACATCTCTCTGGCAAAAGACCTATTGCTATATTACCCAAGCATCAAGGAGAATGCAGGGATTGGTGTTCCACGCGTTGCACATGCTGGCGTCAGCAACTTTTCTAAAGCGAATACCTAAAACAAATTGTATCTTGCACGTGCGTTCGTCAATGCTTTATTTTCGTTATTTACTTCGAATCTTTTAAACGGGGAAGGCGTGCGCATGTGGAACACCAATCCCTGCATTCTCCTTGGTGCTTGGGTAATATAGCAAATGGTCTATTGGTGCGCGTGACATGTCACGTGTGAGATGGATGGTCAATTGTAGAAGAATTCCTCGCAGGCTTGCACGCGCTCCGTCCGGTAGGTTTTATCAGATCGAAGGCTACACTGTGGTGTATTCTAGTACCCCATAGCTAGATGGATACTAGCTACGGTCACGTGATGTGGTCATGTTGGGCTGATAAATGAGGAGAGTAAGGAGGAAAATGAGAAAGAGGCGAGGCGTCAAGGGAGCATGGCTTGTGGAGGCTATGCGGCTGACGTCATGCCATCTCCTACCCTTCTATCCTACTTGGGTTTCGCCGACACTCTTTTGTCACTTCGCCCGTCTCCACCTTCTTTTGTTTCACATTGTCACCATTTTGCAACGGTGTCAGTGAGGATGACGACGTAGCGGACAAAGTTTCCGATGAGGATGACATCTCCGGAAGGTCTGACCATGATTAAGTTTCTGGCATCGCGCTGTGATTTAGCTGAAAATGCTGTAAATAAAGATTTGTTTCTTTCTTTTGCCCAAACTTTCTTCTGTTTTTAAAAAATAAAAATAAACCTATATTTGAATTTTTTTTTTTGGCTAGTTTAATATAAAAGCATCGACCTATACTTGTGATCAGTAAATACTGTAGGTCCACATTTACCTTCCTTTCTTGACACATTTTTTTAAAGTTAGGGGTTGACTAATTTCTGCACCCGGCGAGCTAATGCAGGTGCTCCCTTGCATCATCCGCCACTTTCAGCATGCCAGTGCAAAGCGTTAAAGGTCGACACAATGCACCGGTGCGAAACAGACTGATGCAAGTGCCACAATGTGGAGGCACATGGCTAACATGATAATCACGTGATCTCATCAAGAATACGAGACCAAGACTGATTTATCGCTGCAGCCGCCATCCTACCATGCTACGAATATTCTCTCAAGTTTCAGCTCTGTGGCGTCGCAATAATGGTGCAATCATCGTCTGGTAATTTACGAAGTGACTGTTCAGTGTGATCAATGAGCAAATTTTAGCTAGGGCGACTGGGGACGCTGTGAAATAAATGCTTATATCAATTCCTTCCTTTTCCACTTCTAAGCACGTCGGGCTTTAACAATATTACAAACATTTTTTTTTTGTTCTTGACAAGGGTGGGGAGGTCAATCGACCTACGAGTTAAGTTGGAAACTTAAAAAAATGCCTTTGACGTCCACACGTGCTGGCTTGTCTTGACCGCTTGGTTTAGTTTCAAACCAAGCCGTACAATCGGTTACAGTTGCTGTGCGTGCGGTACCTCAATACATTCCTATCCGAGGGATTTCTTTTCACTTTTTTTTTTTTGCTTAGCTTATATGGTTCAACTTTTAGCAAAAATAGCATTTTAGTGTGACAGACTCATTCCCATGGTGGAACTTAACACAAGTGGTGTAACACTTCCATCACTGCTAGCCATTCTAAACTTGCTGGTGATAATGGTAATGTGCAAACAGAGTGATAACAGAAAGCACACCTTGGACACATCCACAGGTTTGGTGAGGATGTTTGAAGACATGTCGCAAACCAAAGGCACAGATCCAGAGTCCGGGACGAAGTTGAATTCAACACCTGAAAAATAAGACGCAGAAACACCACTGAAGCTCCATCTACTGCTTACAGTTGCAGTTAATACTACATGTTTCTGCACATTGCAGAATAAATATTGTGCATATGCATAGGAAAAATGAATGCTCTTCAACAATGGGTCAGGACTGATAGCTGAAGATCTGAAAACCAACAAATTACTAACCGTGTATTGTTTCGTTGTCACAGTAGTAGAGATAGGAAGCATCCGAGCTAAGTTTCCATTCACTCTGTGGTGGAATACCTGCAACATCAAATACACGACTGTGAATGCATTAAACTTGTAATTGGCAAATAAAAAACTTTCAGCCTTTCCACTCTGGTGGAGAAGGAAGACCAGCGAAGCTGTACTATGGTGGGATAGAAGTAATGGCCGGCCGCAAATCTGCGAGCCTGAGTGGAAAGGCTGGACAGTTACCAGTATCAATGAGCAACGGCGGCAACTAAACAACCGGCAAGCCGGTTGTCTGGTTGTCACTGTCGCTCATAGATGGCGGCAGCTGTCCAAAGTTTCGTGTCATCATTTGTTTGCCGACAGACACGATACTGGGGAAACTAGCCCTTAACAGCTTCGCTGTAAAAGCTGGTAGAACATTACAACACTCTACAGAACTTGCATACCACCGTTCAGGTTCAACAAGAAATGGTACACTGAACTTCCAAGGTTGAAAAGCTGGTTTATGGTCCAAAATTCACAATGTACCAAACTGACCAATTAAGTGCTCCTGCCTGGCCGATGTGTTTGATCTTGCTTTTTTACCGAGAACTGTTGGAGAGTGAAATAGGCCGCCTAAAGATGTATTCTCAACACATTCTCAAAATAGTGTTCTGAATAGTTCTTTCGCTCGTTTGATAGATAGCACTTCAATTGTTTTTTTATAGTGCCTCATATTCCAACAGTACCAATAGATTTTTTTTTTCAATTTGAGAGATGTTTTTGTGATTACTTCTTTGCACATTAGCTTTTATACCAGTTATGTTTTCGTATATTTTACAAGTATATTCCAGTATATTTTACAAGTATATTCCAGTGATGCTTTATTAATGTGTTTGTAAAACCCACCCCCTGCTAAAATGCTTCCTGGCAATGCAGGCTTCTTTGTAAATAAATAAATTATAAAAAGATCTTACAGGTGTGCTTGTCAACCTTGGGCAGGACCTTGTTGACTTGAATGAAAGCCTCGGCTTCCTTGGCTGCTTTAGCAGACCAGGTGCCGGTCACAACGTAATCCGCCTTCTGCTCCTTCAGTTTGGGGCACAGGTTGAGGGGCACTGCACTGAATTGTCCGGTGCCACCACCTTGCAGAAAGATAACCTTGTAGTTGGATGGAATGCCCCTGCGCAAGACCAGTTCCGACTAAAAATAAACTCAACTGATAAAAACAACGAACTGTGACATTGATTATGGTAGGCAAATTATTCGGGCAGGGACGAATGAAATGTGATGCTTCAAAAAACGAGAAGTCTCTGAATAATCATTGTAGTGCCCAGTCAACAAAATGGATGTTGTCCCATTTTTTGTATTTAATATGTTTAGTTTATGTAACTCTTCTCTCCTATCCTAATAGAATTAATGAAGCATCTCATAAAAAAAACATTGTTGTAAAAAAACAAAGTACTCATGCCCAAAGAAAAGGTATTGTTTTGTATTTATTATACAGAAGGTCAACAAGTTTGTTGGCAATCTGTGTCGCCCAGTATCGCAACATAACTTTGATCACTTGATAGCTTATTCTGTGAATGAATCTCAGCTGAAACGTCTTAGATCTTGCAGTAGAGATTTCTCTAAATGCTCCCTGCTGAAACATCCGAAATAACTTGAATATTTCCAGATGCTCTCAATAACAATATAGGCAATTTTTTCAAAAGGCTTGCATGATGGAAGGAATTTTATTTTTAGTGTTGCCTTAAGTAGCTCGGTTGTGATCTGAATATTGGAATGAATATTTGGAATTTTATGAGTATAACTTGAAATATTTATTTCTTTAGAAACTCCTTTGCTTTCCAGTCCCACCAACATATTGAAAGCAGAGTTTAACATGAAACTAAAGGTAAATTCTGATCTGGTGCTTCCAACTTTTTGGCAGCGGTGCACAATAGGCGCACATAAAAAAAATCCTGGTTTCTGCTCGCAAGTGAGAATTTGCTTTCACACCTCAATAATTTTGTCTTGTGCACTGCTGCTGAACACAGCTCATCGTCTGTATGTGTGTGTGTCTTTCTTATCTTTTGTACGAACACCATGACCAAGGATGGAAAGGAGTCCAAAGAATTTGCGAAAGCTCTTGGTCTCTGCCGCGAACTAAGGGCAGATGTACGAAACTTAAAAGACAGCACAAAGTTCTGTAGCAACACTTGAGATAAAGTGGACGCGATCAGGAATGAAGTAAAGCACCTAAGAAAAGAAATTAAGGAACTCATGAAACAGAACACAGAGCTACAAAACGAAAGTCAAAGACTGAGTCAGTGCATGGAAGAACCGGAGCAATACCAACACTCAAACCTTGAGATAAAATGAGTGCCTCTCGAAGGCGATCCCTATGACCGTGCAATAAAGGCTGGTGACTCACTGAATTAGCCTATCAAAGTCTCTGATGTCGATGTCTGCCACAGAATGCCAACCAACAGGCCAGGCGAAAAAAAAAACATTGTCGTGCATTTCGTGCAATGCACAAAAAGAGACGCGGTACTTGTGAAAGCAAAAAAGAAGAGGGTCCCTGCTGATGTATGACAAACATTATGTATCAGATGTAAATAAAAGTTAAACCGTTTTTTCTCTTCATCGTTTGTTTCTATTCGCAATTTTTCCGTCGACAAACGCCGTTATAAGCGTCTGCACGAGACAATTCACCAAAATACACCGGTATTTTGGAAAGAAATAAACAGAGGAAAACATCCGTTTTTTTACATATATAAACACCGGAAAGTATACAAACTACTTATAGGATGATGCTTTCCAGATGCTTTTTAAAATTTTTATTCATGCTTGATTTTATGAAGAAGAATGAATGCGCGGATTGAATTACAAAGTTTATGGATGCGGATACGAAGTCTGCAGATCAGATGCAGATTACAATTATCTAAGAACATTGCGGATGCAGTTCAAATGCAGATGCGAAGTCTGCGGATGCTGATCCGACACGGATGACCATACTGTTATCCGTGCAGGGCTCTACTTATAAGCAATGTTGACAAAATGCTGCAATACTGCAAGTTTATCTTTTAAAAAGAAATAATTGAAGGGTTTACAAGCCATGCCAACTAAATGGCTTTGGGCTCGTCCCAGTGGAGAAGTGTGTATCAATTCAGACTGCCTAGAATTCATTAAAGTACAATAAAAACCTCATTTGCATGGCGCTTTCTCTGCAACAAGCCGACAACGGAATGCAGGCCTCTCGGCGGGGATTCAAGAAGTAGAGATCCGTAGACAGACACATTGCCTCTGTCACCGAAGCGGCTGCTTATCTCGGGTCTGCGAGTTATATCTGTCTGGACGATGCGATGAGATGCAATAACAATCTTTTTCACTGTGATGGGCCGGAAGTTATGCAGTCCAAACACTTACATGAGTTCTCTGAGGTCAGCCTCTGCAGTTTCCACAATTCCAGCGAATTCTGGGGAACGATGACTAAGCTCTGGAAAAGAAGGCAACGGTTTGTCCTTTATAAGTCATGGCATGTGGCAAGGGCTCCCCCAAAATAGATGTAAAGCTGGCAGGTTCTCCTTTTGCAAGTTAGTTCTTTGCTAAAATATTTTTTTTTAAAGGGGGGGAGGAATGAAATTTGAACATTATTTATCAAGTTAAATTGGCAAATTCAGTTTTTAAGTCACCTTGAAGATTTCATTTTTAAATGTATAATTTCTTCCCACTAAAGGCCAGTGTAGATTTACACAAACAAGTATTACCTCACTGATATGATCTTCATGAATGGTTGCTTCTACTGAAAATTTGTGACTCCTGTTACAAGTGCTTTTACTGCTGAACTAGGGTATACCTTTCAATGTCCAAATCAGAACTCTAGCTCCAATACTAAAAAGATTAGTTTAGTCCAGAGGATTCGCACTGCTCGCTATTGGGAAGAGTTCCCGCTTAATACGACTTTTAAAGAGAAAACGTCCAGGTAAAATTCGGCCCATCTTTGTAAAATATTAAGACCAACACAACCTTTGACTTAACAGCTAGTTGCCAAAAATGTGAGGCGTCTCTTTAATATGAAGCTATAGACATTACCGGTGAGCACACCTACTACAGGTGAACACACCTACAGGTTCACACTACAGGTGAACACACCTACTACATGTGAACACACCTACTACAGGTGAACACACCTTCGAGTATATTTTCAGGAAGTGTTCATTGGCATATGTGTAGAAATTAATGGAATTAATGCTCAATCTATGGAATATAGCAAGCAATAATTTAAAGCACAAAAGAATGAAAATTGCAGGAGCTTGGTGTAACTGCAGCACTCACTGTAGCAGTCTATCCATCTTGGTATTCAAATGCAGTTTAGATATAATGACGACCAACACACCTAATTTTTGAAGCCCCCAACTAATTAAATCAGTTGATTTAATTTAAGTTTGCGCAACTTAGAACTCTTCATACCATAAAACAGATATACATTGTCTTTTTTTGTTTACGGGCATTTTCACTCTAAACAAGTTTATTCATGCAAACTCAATCGTCATAAATTAGAAATGTTATCCAGTTTTTCATGAGACTGACAGAATGTTTCACTCCAAGGGTCATGGAAAGTAAAAAAAAAGAGTGCAAGTTTGTATCCTTCTTTTGCAGGGGTTGTGGCGATGTCAGAATGCCGAGCTCCAATTGAAAGGATAGAGGGTAGGCATCAAAGCAAGCTGCCTTGTGGTCTACCCACTATCCTTCAATCAAAGCTCAGCGTTCTGACATCACCACAACCCCTGCAAAAAAAAAAGGAGACAAACTTGCACTCCATGTGAGAAAAAGAAAAAAACACTGCAAGAAATCTAGGCTTTTTGCACTTGTCAACCAGGCGAAAAATGTTGTGCCCCTGGGCAGTGGATGAATGAGCTGCATCCAATATTCTGCAGAACAGAGCAATTGGGCATGCTCAGAACACATATCCCACAGCCCAGTAGACAAACATGGCAGGAATGGTTAGAGTAGGAGAGGCCCATTCCTACCATAACCCTTTCTATAGAATAGCCTTCGGTGCACTGCCATAGAACACAACCTGAATGTGTGCAGTAGATCTCGTGTAGAATACGAGACTCCCATGTGTGCCTCCACAGCCCAGACACTGGGCATTTTTCGCCTGGTGCAGTGCAAGTGCTGCAAAGGGTTTGCAAGAAATTGCCTAGAGAGAATATAGACGCATGCATGCATTCAGCTTTTGTCTCGTGCAAATAGTGAATTTCGTATGGGGAAATTAAAAAAAGGTTGGAACATGACAACGTTACCAGAGATTAGGGTCCTCTAAAGGACGACTTCTCTGTTTGCGTCAGTCTTCAGAAAACCCCAGTTTCGGGTGAAGTCCCTCCCGTGTTTACCTTCACCCTTGCTCTCTCGCTTTTTGTTTGTTGAATAAAGTACTTGCCCATGACACTGGCACCACAGCCATGGTAGTCCAGCATTTCTTTTTGAGCAATCTCGAGCACCTGAAGAAGAAAAACAAGAGAAGTGACAAATGTAACAACCCGGCTTCTTCCACGAGAAGGTTCTGATCGAGGCCGGACTTATTATACACCCGATAAATAAAACAACTTTTTTTCCACTATTTTTACAGCTGACACGAACTGCTTATAAAACGGCGTGCAAGAACAAAATAAGCAAACAGGAACGAAACGGATCAAATTATCCGCTCAAGACTGAACAGCAACGCTTAATACGTGCCGAGGCACAGGTTTAAAAGTTGGGTACCGGTAGAGAAACTCGAGCACATTCTGCGCATACCTCGAGTGGCAGTGCGGACGGACCGGCGGAGAAGTTGAGCTTGCGGTTTCCTGCCATTTCTTTCTTTTTCCAAGAGTGCGTCGCTGTGGCTACGGGTCGGCGCAAGTGACACGAGTGAACGGCAAAGTGACGGTCGTCGTAGTACCGCTCTACGAGATGTTTTCGTGCAGACCGGAGTCACACAATCCTTGCAATGACGTCGGTGAATCCGCTTCAATCACGCGACGAGGGAGAGCAGGGGCACACCAGTTTGTGACGGAGGCAACGGAGGGACGATACGTGAGCTGCGCGAGCCTACTTATCTGAGAGAGAGGAGGCTCGAGAAGAAATGGACGATAGCCCAAGTGGGAGACAATAAATAGACAATAAAATGTCTCTCGAGGCACGCCCACTTGGCCGCTCACTGCCACACGTGGTCGGTGGTCGCTCCTGCCCGCTCGCAAAGTTCCCGCGGCTCCATGTTCTTGATTGAGATAAGATTATGGACATTAACCTGAGACATCTGTGACGGTCGCTGCTTGACGGGTGGAGCAAGTGGAACGCGTTTATTTTTTGTCGAAGCTTACAACGAAGCAGTCTTTGCGCAGTGTCGTCAGACAGACAGTATACGTTGTTTCATGCTCTTGGTAAGTGCGTAGTATATACTATCGCGCACAAACTATACCAAAACGCATCTGTGCCGACAAAATTTGAGAGTCCAAAGGCAGCTGAGGCAGCGGCCAACGTTACGTAGCGGGTAAGGTAAGCACGCACAAGGTAAACAAAACGCAGACAAAACGTGTAAAGAGCTGCCATCTTTATTCGTACTCTCGTCTCTCGTTCCCAGGGAGCATGCATGGAAAATACAAAGCTGAAAAACTAAAACAAACGTTACAAAAAAAAAACTAACTTTAATTATAGAAAGAAGGATTTTTGCAGTTTCATTTGCCAAATAAACTTAAAAAATAAACAAATGTTTACAACTGTTTTGTAGCGCCATCTAGAAAGCGGAGAAAGAACAAAGAAAACACAAGACAGGACGCAAAAACAATAACAAAACAATTACGATTCCTGTCGCACATTTTATCCCGCGTCGGGCCCGCCGCAGTCGACAAGCCAGTCAAGCCAGTCCGCTCTCGCCGATTCTTCGCAGTCTTACGTAACCTGCCACTCGGAAGGTCACCTCGTTGGACAGGAAGCCGGCCAGTAGTCCGATACGACGTTGGGCAAGAGTCTCCGATAAGAGCCATTTGACTGTTCTACGCTAATCTGCTGATAAAAAGTGAGTATCGTCGAACTCGTTTTCGCAGCTCCACGCCGCTGTCTGAGGTACTGAGCACCCGACACATTACTATGAATACTGTTTGCGTACAGCGGTACAGTTCCAAAGAGAGTAGGAACATTGCAATATTAAAATGCTTCTTCGACCGCCGGAAACGGTTTGCGGCTGAGCCCCGCTTTACTTTACTAGCATTCCCTGAAAGGAAATTGTCGACGCGTCCGTTGTCTCGTCTCCTTGAAGCTCGGTGACAAGGTCGCCGAGAGTTGTCTTGCCAAGTGTTCGTTTTTCGGAACAATCTCCAACTTTGTCTCTTCGCTGACCGTTGCGGCACTCAGCAGCCAAGGAAACGTTCGATTAACCGAGAGGAGCCGGTCGCTTTTGCGACTATTCGTTCGACTAATCCTGCTGCGTGAGGCGCGGTTGTCTGCCCTGTCACTGCCCTGTCATTGTTAAGATTCGTTGTGTCCTGTTTTGTTTTATTCCTACCCCACAGGTATCGCGTCACTTTTTTTAACGATGTATAAATTCCCGTTACTCGGTGACTGTGAGGGTAGAGCAGCTAGAGGTCATTCGGCGACCTTCGCAAACGCTTGAATGAATCGCTGCAATGAATGGCCGTGCGGCGTGCTACATCAGTGATAGTAAAGCTTTCGTGCTTTCACTTTCTTGGGCATTTTTCACTGCATCTTATTTTTGTTTTTCGTGCGAGTTCACTGACAATACTTGGGGATTTTAACCGGAGCGCGCTTTACGACGTTTTGGGCTCGAGCGATATTTATTTCTTTTCGGTTGATGGTTTTGCGCCAAGATGGCGTCTCAAGGGGGAGGCACTCACTTGATCGAATGACGTTTTAGCGAACGCCCACGTTTGATCGAACGACACTTTAGCGAATAGTCGGACGCCGCGAAGCGGCGTTTTCGGGTGGGCCAAGTGAGTTCATATTTTTGTAATGAGTTGCCGTAGACTGTCGCCGCGAAGCGGCGTAAAGCGCAGCGCGACGGATGGGTTAACGCGCGCCCCCGTTATTCGCTAAAACGACCATTCGCTCAAATGTCGCCGTTCGCTAAAATGTCATTCGCTCTTGTGATATGGACCCGTCTCAAGGTATGTTTGGTGCTCTGTGTTTGGTCAGGATGATGGTTTAGCGTTTAGCAGGGTCAGTGCTTTGGCCCACAAGTTCGATCGTTCTTTGCGCCACGTGGTCCAAACACAGTACAACTCAGTGTGCGATTTCGACGCCTGGGGAACAGAATGTCGGCTTCACACATAGTTTATTTTTCTTCTCAGTTGTAATCCACAGCCTTTTTAATGCAGCATGGTTTCTTGAGATTTCTTGCTGTGTGTGATACTTTGCTGAATTCATTCTTATTGACACAGAAATAATACAAAAGGTAACCGAAGTCCATGTCCCTAAACGGGATGCCATGGCTGCGCTTTGCAAGCTTGTTGAAGCCATTTGGGACGGTATCTTCGGAAGTTTGGCCCACTGTCCAGGTCCTCCGGCAGCATTTCCGTATAATCGATTTTATCTTCTCGACCTGCCACCTCACTGAGCACCATACCCAATAACAACTAAAAAATTAAAGACAATCTAACTCGTTGGAATAGTTGAGTGGTCTAGCTGTCCTGTCGGTTCTATTCCTTCAACTTACACTCCACGTGTGACGTTTGTGTGTGCTTGAAGCACGGCATGTTAGGTGCAGGCTAACCAGGAGCATCGCCCTTGAATTTTTTTTTTTTTTTAGCCTAGACATTTGTGCGCTTGCCAATCGTTTACTGTGTTTACTTTCTTCCTTGGCAGCTGCAATTCTTTTTCCGGATGACAAGGGGGAAGGGGCCCCGAGATACTATTTTTATCCTTCCAGTTCCCCTCCTCGCTGTCGTGATTTAGCGGACACGATCTGTACTGTGTACGTCAGAGTGTACGCCAGTCACGCCACGAACGTGCCAAGGATCTTTAAATCGAAAGGGCAGTCGATAGGTGTACTAACAGGTTTTCCGTGGACACGGGATGTTGCGGCGTGCGTTCCCCTCAAAATCTGACAACCCCATCCATCCTACCGCATTTTTTTTATACCGACTCTTTCAACAGTTTGAAAACGAAATTTGAGCATATATGTACTCAAAATTCGGAAGAACGAAACGTGTAGGGTATCTATGCTCGCAATGCAAGCGCGATCCATGTGCTCGTTTGTCTAACTTGATTGAGAAACATGCATGGCGGCGAGGGCGCACCTGTAGCGCGTTAACGATTTCGTAACGAAATGATTACATAATTGCGAAATAAATTTTTGCAGTTTCGAATTTCTTTGGCGCTTTCTGAGACGTGTTCATACATCACAAAAGCCCGTGGCTGCATTTTTGGCGGCAAAGTGCGTCCTCTTTTAATCGGAGCGTACTATAAATATTCATTGCATGCACGTGGCGACCGGGAGGCACTCACTTGATCGAATGACGTTTTAGCGAACGCCCACGTTTCATCGAACGACACTTTAGCGAATAGTCGGACGCCGCGAAGCGGCGTTTTCGGGTGGGCCAAGTGAGTTCGTATTTTTGTAATTAGTTGCCGCAGACTGTCGCCGCGAAGCGGCGTAAAGCGCAGCGCGACGGATGGGTTAACGCGCGCCCCCGTTATTCGCTAAAACGACCATTCGCTCAAATGTCGCCGTTCGCTAAAATGTCATTCGCTCTCGTGATATGGACCCAATATCTGTTATTATCGCGACCTTTCCTCCGGATAGAGATAAGCTGTTGATATACCGAGCGAACGAAACTCCACGATCTCGCGCTCGTTTGTCACCTTACTGTTGTCGCAGCCGTCGTATGCGTATTCCATTTACTTAAAACTGTCCCCATAAAGATTATTGCTTAATTAGTAAGTGTAATTTGTACATTTGAGTGACAGATGCCATATCTCGTACAGTTTGTTTTGTCGGATCTGTTATTCGTTCACAGAGCGTCGTCTTCGCTTGTGCGCCGTCAAGGCCCTTCGTCTCGGGAAGTTTCTCTCGCGACATTTGACTGTTTGTCGCGTTTACGTTTGTAATTATTATTATTTTTAAAATCTTTTTTTACGTTACCTCATTTTATCTGAGCGAGCTATATTCCATTTCATGAACATCTGTAAGCGCTGGCACAATTCCCACCAAATACGGCGCCGCGTGCTCCGAGGCACGCGCTGCGCAAGCAAGAGCGTTCGTCGGGCTCCCTCAGTTCTTGAAGAGCCAGGAGCACTATCGCGTTCTCTCGGAGTGCATACTTTTGTCGGGCGGGGTTTTCTGCGAGGGCGGCGGCTTTGCGGCGCTGCGGGCACTACACTCGGACCGCGCTCGCTTTCGCAGAAGCAGCCATGTCTCAGGAAGTGGCCAAGCCGGCCCAGGTGCACGCCATCCACGCCAACACCCTGCTAGAGCACCTGAGCACCTTGGACATCAACCAGGCGCCGTCTTTCGTGCGACTCACGGGCATCATATGCACCATCGGTGAGGACCCTTTGCCTCGCTCACACCGATTCATTCATTTCGTTTTTCGGGTGTCTCTCGTATTGCGTTGCCGAATCGTTAAAAATTTATCGTAAATCTAGCTTTAAAAAAAAAAAGTGAAAACGTGTAAGTTAGATTAAAATTATATTGTTCTTCACATTTTACGAAAGTTCAAATTAAGTTAAGCTTTGGCCTTTGGAGCTAGGTTTCCCCCATGATGCGGCAGCACAGCTCTCACATTTTCAGGTAATGGATCACTTGCGCATCTCTTGCTTTTAGTAGCCTGTAGCCTTTACCTGAACTGCAAGAAAATATTTTGAGATGCTATAGGGTAATATCCCTCATAAGCACCGGCCAACTGTTATTATTATGAGAGTTTGCTTGGGCGGAGCTAACTAATCGGGCGTTTAGCATTAACCCTGTGCTGCTTGGATTAGTTGTGCAAAAGGCATTTAATAGGCTGTTTGTTTCAGCTTTTAGAGGTCTTGTAGCTGTGGTAGCTCTTGGTGAAGAGAAGATTTGAACCTCTCACTCAAATCTTATATTGTAGAAGAACCTGTGGTTGGGCTGATTGGTGAACGTTGGAAATCAGTCTGTTCATTTCCAGCGCCTGTATGTCTGTTTTCTCTCTTGTGCCCATTGTTTTTTGCACCTTACACCATGATTTCCAAATCTTATATTGTGAACCTGAGGGATGCATTTTTTTACTTAAATAGTTCTTCCAATATATATATTTTTTATAAAAACTTTGGAACTTCTTTTTATAGCCTTTTTTGGTATTTCAAGTGGCAGCATGAAAACATAATTTCTGGAATTCCAGGCCCTGCTTCGAAGGATGTGCCGGTGCTGGTTAACATGATGAAGGCTGGCATGAACATTGCCAGGTTGAATTTCTCCCATGGTACTTATGAGGTATGTTTCTGCTTGCCCTTCTATGATGCCAAGTACAGTGGAAACCACTTAGAGCTACACTGCTTGTCATAATCCAGTTGTAGTCACATTCCTGAAACCAACAAAGTCTTTCACATACTGTTGCATTCAAAAGTCTGGTTATTGTCACATAAAATAGAGCCTATAGCTACGGGGCTACATTTTTGCATTTATTTCTGACAGTAACTGCAGAGACCTTCTTCGTCGAATGAATTGGAGGTGTTATTTTCAAGTCCACGGAGACTCTTTCCAGGTGTAAAAATAGATTTTAACTTGATTCAACCTACTGTGTTGAAATATAAGTTTTGTTATTTAATTTGAGCATAGTGCTTGTTGGTAGGTTCGTTGAAAATAAGGACACCCTTGAGTTTGAATTGGAGCAATCTGAGTGTGTCTGAATGCAAAACTGTTTGCAAAACATCAGCTCATTGTTGCAAAGAAAATGTCCACTTACCGTGTACAAAGGTGATGAAGGAGCCAGTACCACATCTTTTATTTATTTTTTTCTTAAAAATCCAAACCTTTAGGACAAAGGGTGAGGAAATAAACTTCCAAGTCAAATTTTTTGTGCTGCAATCATTCATAGTAGCACTTCGATTGTAGGCACATTTGTTTACCAGAATGATTGTGTTGACTACGGTCAACGTTCGAGAGGTCGCTCCGTTGAACTTTCATCACCTTGCTGGCATTTTACCCTTACTTTGCATCTTTTAATTGTTGATATAAATAAATCTTAAGTTGGAATTCTTAAGGAGACAGAGTAGCTTGTTTATGGCAATATTGCTTTCTGTGTGACCTGTGCAACAGAGCGAAAGCAGAGGTCAAACTATCAGTTTTGCTCGTTCAATTGTGGTTTTCAGTATCGAGGGAGTTGCGAGACATTGAATTGACAATCCTCATTTGCCTCGGGCATTTCATGGCTGTGGATGTGTACATTCCTTTGTTCCCCACGTGTAAACGAGCAAGTATGTGTAGCCGCCAGCATTTGTTTTTACTTTAGATTGACAGACTAGTAAACCCGGTGTAGCTCCTCCATATTGTGAGCATTGGACAGTTCTTTGGATTCTCTTAAAGGCCAACGAACGGGGGATTTTTTGGATCAGCAGAGAAGCTCTCTTCCACATTCCCACTCATTTTTCTTCATGCCACAGTGAAGAAAGAAAGGGAGGATCACTTTGTTTCAGAAAACAGAAGGGGAGCAAGACTGGTTTCTTGTTTCCTGGCTGTGTGTCAGGCTTTAAATCAACTCTTCACATATGTTATGTTTTAGACATACTGTGCCCCTCTGATAGGCCAGCTGATCAGGCACGGAGCCAGGGGGGGGGGGGGGGGGGGGCGGGCCCCCCCCCCTTTTCTTGAAGTCGTAAATTTTGCTGGGACCTCCTCTTCCCTCTCCCTCTCATACAGCATTTTGTCATAAGTGCCCCCCCCCCCCCCCCACCCGAAACAAAATCCGGGCTCCGTGCCTGGAGCTCATCCCTTGGTTATGTGTGTTGATGGTAGGCAATGTTGTCTGGTCCCAGTACCACGCAGGCACCATCAAGAATGTGCGGGAGGCAGAGCGTTTGCTGAATGAGGAGGTGAAACCTGATACGCGCCATGTTGCAATCGCCCTCGATACCAAGGGCCCAGAGATCCGCACCGGGCTTCTCAAAGGGGTGAGTATCTCCATTCACCGGTGCAATCTTGTTTTATTGGGCAGTTATCTGCCCACTTGCACACTCCGGTATCCAGGGGTGGCAGTGTTCCCACGCAAGGATACATGAAAGAAATTTTCCTGGCAATAAATGAAATAGGATTACAGTAAAGTAAATTGTGTAATATTAGACATGAATGTGCTATTTATTCGAATGAGGAGCGTTGAGATATGAGAGTTAGTTGGACGATACGCTGAAGGTTGTTTTCCTTGTTGGAATTGAATCTGCAATTACTGCAACATTTTTAATAAGCTTGTTTAAGAAAGGTCAAGATGTAGTATATAGAGCCTTATCGGGGACGTTTTTCAGTCCAGATTACTGAGTTGTTGACCTGGTTAGATTATTAACACTTTGACAATCGTTGCCGTTCATGTACTATGGCGATTAGATATATGAAAGCGCCCGCCTGAATGCGAAATGGTGCTCGCTGCGGAATGTTTTGCCATTTGTTTTGCCTTTGTAAATGTTTTCTTAGCACGGTGTTTAGCTTTTCTGGGGGTATTTATGATTTTGAACTTAGATGCTTGGCACGCGTGACACGCGCGAAATCTTCGCTTCAAATGTCGGCTGCTCTGGCGGTACTGGCAATTGGAGTGCCGGCTCTTCCAATTCAGATTTTTAACGCTTCTCAGAACTGATCTCAGGGGATGAGTGTGTACCATCCGTCCGAATCTGAAACCGGCAGAATGTTGCGGAATCGGACGGGTCAAAATAAAACCGAAGGAAAGAAAGGTTACAAGCACTGTGCATGCTCCCCCTAGATTATTAAGAAGAAAACTGCGCATTGACCTTTTATTTGCACTATTCCTTTGGAAACAAATCCCAACCACTGGAAGCATGTTTGGAAAAAAAAAAACTTGGCCGTCGAAGGGTCGATAAATTGTTTGTCATTGCAGTCTTTTGTTCTTACTGGATTTAACGGCGGTTCACGCTACCGTGGTGTAACCAGGCCTAGACAGCATTGAAAAACGACCTGGTGTAATTAGAGTGAGAGGTCATCACTCTATTTTTTTGGCTGGCAGGACTGGCATGAAACAGAGCCAGTAAGCTGATGTTTGGAGATGTGGAGTATTCAACACACTCTTGTCACACTTAAAAGTACAAGCATAGACTGAGTAACTGGAACTAATTCTCTGGTTAGTTTTTGTTTCCATAATAGAGCCCAAGTCTCCATAACAAAATATGCTTAACAACAAAATATACTAATATGGGAGTGACCTACAGGCATGCTCAAACAAACGCTTGGCTGTAATGCTTGCACAAAAGCCTGCCCCCGTCAGACATAAGCATGCAACGTGCCAGTTTGGCATCTGAATGATTTCCTAAATCGAACCTATCTGAGGGGGTGCTGGCACTAACGGTCATTGTAGATCTTTTCGTTCAGTCTTGTAAAACGGAGACTCTGGCGGGCCAGTTGAGGAGTGCATGCTGAATTGTATTGGAACTTTGCAGGGGCCATCAGCAGAAGTGGAGCTTGTGAAGGGGGAGATGATTACCATCACGACAGACCCATCATTCAAGGAGTCCTGCGATGAAAAGACACTTTACGTCGACTACGAGAACATCACCAAGGTTCTGAATGTAAACAGCAAGATTTTTATCGACGACGGCCTTATTTCAGTGGTGGTAAAGCAAGTTGGTGAGTCCCCGCCTTCACTTGTCCTCGTGGCTTCGCAGCCGTACTTGCAAGATGTAAATATCTATTTCGGAGACGATTTCTCGAAATAGCACGTTTCAGAATCGCTCGCAATTCAGAGTGGGTCTCCCAGCTTAAATATTGTGCTAAAACTTTTTTTTGGGGGAGGGGGGGTTACTTTTTAACATACATGTCCTATCTGTTTAGTGTTGATTTAGTGTCCATAATGAGTTGCACACATTCTTTCCACGAGCCAGTAGCCGCCGGTGTGTGCGAGCATGCGCAAGGAAATTGACGTCAAGTCCCTTGTTCGTGCTTAAGATGACACTGAAATGTATGGGCTTCGGGCCAAAGAATAAAGACGGGGTTGTCATCTCCACAAGTGAAAGCTACGTGCTTGTTAAAACAATCAATCGCTCACCTTTTACACCAGACCCCACTGTGGAGATGAAGAGCTTGTCTCTATTCTCCTTTTCCCTGGATCCCACACATTTCACGATCATCTTAACCCCTTAAGTGCCTTGGACGAGCTGAGCTCGTCGGCCATTTTTGGGCTAAAAATGCCATGGACGAGCTCAGCTCGTCCAGTGGTTTTTTCGGTAGCCCTCCATTCTACGAACGAGCAGGGCTCGTCTGTGTAGTTTTGCGGCACTGATCATAGATGGCAGCACTCGTATTAGTTGGAAAATATTTGTTCCGCCTCCGCTAATTTTTTCATTTTAAACTTTTCAAATTATATGTGTAATACGAGAAAATAAAAATTCCAAATAAAAAAAAAAATATATGGCACTTTTAGGGTACTTTTGGGAAAAAAATGTGGCACTTAAGGGGCTAAGCGTGAATCGGGGACGATGACGTCATTCCGTCGCATGTGTTCGCACACACCGTTGGCTGCTGGCTCGTGGAAAGATTGTGCACCACTTACTATAGACCATTCCATTTAGCGCTCTCTGGGCGGCACCATTTTGTTCAACAGCAGCGCCCTCTCCCTACATCCGGGAAATTCAGCGGGTTCGGCGGGGTAAAACGAGAGAGAGGGCACGCGCCCGACTCCGCTAGCAGACGACAAAACGGGAGGTAGCCATTCTCCATCTTTGGGCTATATCGGCGGGCTGTACGGAACATCAAACTCTCGCTCGTGGCTGCCGTTGTGAAGTGGTTCGCGTTCTTAAAATAGTTATGGCTACTCCAAAATCAGCCTTGAGCTGTCTGTTGTTCTACTTCGGTAAATGATCAACTAGCGTATCTTTTTTCCGTTACTTAAATAGCAAATGAGTCAGCCGGCTGTACTACCCTCAACTACTGCATGTATTGCGGCAGGAGAACACGTTTTTAGTTATTATTTCGGACATCCACTCGTGGTCGCTAAAGGCCTACACCAGTACAAACTTTGTATAGTAAAAAAGGTACACCCACCGGATTCACTTTTTGCCGGAGGGACCGGCCAGTCTGACACAGTTTTCCCTAATTTTGTTTTCTTTGCACGCAGATAACAGCGCAATTGGACTCTGTTAGTGTTTTTTTATCTAGCATAGTAATACACAATAATAGGCATACCAAAATTTGAGCATCTGCGCTTGAAATTCCCAAAATGGCGCGATTTTAAACAGTTTGTACGCCAGCCGGATGCTAGGTACTGCCCGCTTGGCGGAGCAGACGACGTACGGGTGAGAGGGGGAGGGTATTTTTTCCTCTTTTTACCCTCTCTGCTATGACCCTAGTGGAACGGTCTATAGACACTGAAATGTTTGGTTCAGCATCCCTTTAAAAATAATTAAGAAAAGATTGTTCTTCCCGTTACCGCCCCCCCCCCCCCTCCCAAGCAGAAATAGTCTTCCGTGACTGCCACGGATGCTTCTGGCTCTGGCTTTCGAAAGAATTCTACTTTACGTGGACTTTACTTGTGCAGGCATTATAGGAACAAAACATGCGCTATCGCCACCTCCGCTCTCTAAGAGTCCCCCCTTTCCTAAAGAAAAAAAATTTGCAGTGCCAGTTTTGGGAGTTTTTGCTGGAGTTGTGCCTTGAACGTTGTGCAGGGCCCGTGTCCCTGGAGTGCTTCATTGAGAATGGAGGCATGCTGGGCAGCAAGAAGGGGGTGAACCTGCCGGGGGCACTGGTCGACCTGCCAGCAGTGTCAGAGAAGGACAAGCAAGACCTCCTCTTCGGCGTGGAGCAAGGGGTGGGTTCCCTTTCTCCTTTCTGGCCCCTTTATCTAACACCGAACGACATGTGTGCTCCACCTTGCCTATACTCGTTTTCACCCCAAAAACTTTGCTGCAAAGTGTCAGTCGCCTCGCCAAGCATCACTAATTTCTCTCTATGTGGAAAATTAGAATATATATGTAGTGCCTTTTAGAATAGATATATATCTTATAAAGACATACACGTTTGAAGTGCCGAAAGCTTAGCTTTTTCCTCCGATAACCAAAACTTGTAATAAAAACTGTACTTTGTACGGCGTATAGGCCAACATGCTGTTTACAAACAAGCCCTCTCGAGGTGTGGGAAAACACTCGGTTCCCGCACGAACCAGATTCGCGTGAAGTGGCGTCTGCACATGCATCTGCGCTTACGCCCTGCCAAAAGCAGCACCACTGCAGCGGCGTGACATAGGTGCCAAGTGTTTGTGTATAATTGATGCACACAACTTGCCTTTTCCTTTCCTTTAGGTGACAAGTATAGATATACTAAGCGTTTCTGTAAAGACTTTAAAAAACAAATTCCTACCTATAGGGTAGTTGAGGAAACAAGATACTGTTTTAGGAGCAAAGTGCCAGCCATGGCAGATGTGAGGGAATCGCCTGGCCACGTTACGGGTCTTTAGTAGAACAAACTCTTTTGAAGGATTGGCGAATCGACGCACGCTGATAGGTGCAAGTTTGTGAGCTGATTGGCCCATTCTTTAAAGGAGTAATCCCTCTTCTCTCGATCAGCAAGGACAAGCGTGCGCATGAACATTATTTGATGTCCGATAATGTCTAGTACATGTGTGTGGCCATATTAATGAACAGCTATTTGGAGCCATGCAATTTTATTTTTACTCTTCACGTGGATGTTTATGCACCCCAATTGTGCAGGTAAGCTAGCGTTGGGATGAACTTGCACAGCAAAACTCCCCTGATCGTTAGTGACCCCTTTGTCCCTCTCTGGCAATGGTCTCCAGCAATGTTTGGAAATATGAGACTAGTTTGTCAGATAGGAATGTCTGGGGGAAGGCATTACTTGCGTTACAAGCAGAGAAGGGAAAGCACTTAGAAGCAGTTGCATAAAGAGTTGCTCTTACGGTTTCAGGTGGACATGATCTTTGCATCCTTCATCCGAAATGCAGCTGGTGTGAAAGAAATTCGCAGCGTGCTCGGAGAAAAGGGAAAGGATATCAAGATCATATGCAAGATCGAAAACGATGAGGGCGTTCGAAAGTGAGTGATCCGTAATGGTTGCTTCTTGTCTAACGTTCTTTCTGAAGACTCTGACCTTTTTGTGTTCTCGCTTTTTTTAAAATGATTAAGCAAAAAAAAAAAAAGTTTAGAATTTATTGGAGAACGTCGTCAGTGCTATTTTTACGGTAAGCTTCAAAAGAAAACTTGTACAGTCCAAGAAAATTTAGCTGCCAGCAGGGCTTCGAATAGGCTAATTCAAGGATCACTGAAAAGTTTTTTTTTAACCCATTCGCTTCCAAAGCCGGCGATCCGCCGGCCGCTTCTGCCAAGGCCAAAGTGCGAGAAGCCGGCGAATCGCCGTCCTCTTAAAAACACATTGTTTTTAAAAAGCACCAATAGATGGCGCTTCCCTGCACACTGATTTCTTGTTGTTTTGTCTTTTTCACACCAGATGGACATAGTTGTCCACTATTTTTGAGCTTTGGTTGTATAAAAAAAGAAAAAGTTCGCAGCTTTGTTTTCTCTGTCGATTCTTTCGCCGTGTCGGAATCGGAAGCATGGCGTCGCGAAAGAAGAGAGCGCTCACATGTGAGGAAATCCTCGAGCTGGTGTTCGAGAGTGATGATGAAAGTGACTGTGGCGACGATCTAGAAGATGTATCGGACCAAGAAAGTAGCGACGACGAGAGTGACGGTGAGAGCGGCAGTGACTGTGAAGGCGATGTGTGTGTATCACAAGACACCTCTATTTCCTCCCCACCACCGTCAAAGAAGCCTAGACGTGAAGATTGGCAGTGGGAGGAAGAAGACAGTTCAGAGAACATCATCAAACTGTCCTTTAGTGGAAACCCAGGTGTCAAGCGAGCTATCCGACTGAAAGTGGGTGAAAGCCCCAGTCCTTTGGGCATCTTCAACGCTCTCCTCGAAGACGATTTTTGGGACATGATTGCAAGGCACACCAACGCTTATGCAAAGGAGAAGCAGTCTTCCAAGCCGGACCCTACATGGCATGACACGACACCGGCGGAGATGAAAGCCTACTTTGCGCTGTGTGTGCTAATGAGCCAAGTAAAGAAGAGCAGTATCCAGGCATATTGGTCAAAGAGAAGTGTCATCAGCACACCATTTTTCGGGACGGTGATGCCCAGGCAACGTTTCTGGGCACTCTCCCGATATCTACATCTTTCTGACAACAACCTTCCAGCAAGTGATGACAAGCTGAGGAAGCTACGGCCTGTACTGGACTACATCATCAAGTCCATTGGCAGTGCCTACTCTCCAGAAGAAGGTCTCGCTGTCGATGAAAGTTTGATGAAATTTCGTGGTCGGCTCTCATACGTCCAGTTCAACCCCTCAAAACGAGCACGTTTTGGCGTGAAATTTTACAAGCTATGTGAATCTGGCAGTGGCTACTGTCTGAAGTTCTCTGTCTACACAGGAAAAAGTGAGCAAACCCCTGCTACCATCGGAATGTTGTGCAGTGAGGCCGTCGTCATCAACCTTGTCGGCGATCGTCTTGCAGACGGCCACACAGTCTATATGGATAATTGGTACTCCTCACCGCTCCTGTTCCTTCACATACACCAAGCTGGATCAAACGCGGTGGGTACTGTTAGGGTGCACCGCAAGAACATGCCCAAGGAGGTAAAAAATATCAAGCTGAAAAAAGGCGAGTGCAAGACCTTCTTCTCGCACGGCGTTATGGCCCTGACATGGCAGGACAAGAAGCCTGTCAACCTTCTTTCAACGTGTCACACCACTGCCAATGTGACTGACACTGGCAAGAAACAGCGCCAGAGTGACCTGCCTGTTTTGAAGCCCCAGGTTGTCCAGGACTACAACCGAGGAATGGGAGGTGTGGATCGGGAAGACCAACAGTTGGCTTCCTTTCCTATAATGCGAAGGTACGCAAAGGGCTACAAGAAGATATTTTTTTACATCATGGACATCGCTGTTTATAACAGCTACATCCTCTCCGCCAAGATTACAGGCAAGCGAATGAGCTATACGGACTGGAAAGTGGACCTGGCGGAACAACTGATCGAAGAGGCTGTGTTGCCGGGATACCGGCGACGAGGCAAACCGCCCGTTGGTCCCTCACCGATGCGGCTAGAGGCCTGCGAGTGGGCTCACTTCCCTCGCCAGATCCCGCCGAATGCGATCAAGCAGAATCCATCCAGACAATGTCATGTATGTAAGGCCCAGGGGAAGAAGAGCGAGAGCCGCTGGGAGTGCGAGAAATGTGAAGTGGCACTTCACATGCCCGTCTGCTTCAAGACCTTCCACACCCGCAAGGTACTCTGAGTGAATCGCTTCCGGAAATCATTCCCGAACAAAATAAAGTAAAAAGTGTTCACCTGCGAGTTATATGGCAGAAGTTACAGCGCTTTCTTTGCGACGCCGCACACGGCAGTCCGCTTGGGGGAAAATTGCGCGGTACAGCTCGCGGGAACGGGTGTGGATGCCGCGGAAGCGAAAGGGTTAAACAGTCTGGTTAGGACACAAATAACAAAAATAAATTCTATTGAAAAAAAAAAAAAAAAATGGGGGCAAGACTGACGGCACGAGGTTTATTTTAAATTCTGCACGCAAAGTTCATGACGTCACAGAACAGTAATATTCTTTCCACCTCTCCTCCACGTGGAGAGCGGGAGAAAAATTGAAAAGGAGGTGACTACCAACTAAATGTGTCTGTCGCCGTAAATATTGCTCTAAACAAGATTTCTTTTTTTTTTTTTTCTTTTTTTTGTAACAATAATTTTTTGATTTGTGTGTCCCAACCAGTCAGTAGCTCTTTGAGGAAACGAAAAGCAAATCTTACTCTGTGCGCACATTTTTACTTTTTTTCATGGTCTGTCCTGTTTTTTGTTTTTGTCGGTGATGAGAGTGTAAAACAGGCAGTTCGGATACAGTGCATTTTTCCGTCGCCATGGAGGTGGGAAGCTTCTGGAGGCGACATGACGCCACCAATAATGCCCAAAACCAAGAAACTCTATTAGACGAAAGAGAGAGCTTTCTCTTTTTTGTCCAATAGCGTCCCTTGGTTTTGGCCATCGTTGGGGGCATCTCTCCACACTTCTTGTTTAACCTCTGGCAACCTGATACAGCCTCCAGAAGCTCCCTACCTCCATGCTATATGCCCAATGTTTTGCGGGGCGACAATCCAGAGCCAGAAGGCTAAACAGGGAGACACTTTTGATTTGTAACTCTAAAACAGGCTACATGAATTTATAAATTATCTAAAATGTTTTTTCACGAGTTACGCTGCTGGACAACAGTATAAAACTTTTTTTTTTTTTAGTAGCTCATTGGTTGGTTTTTAGAGCTAATAGACATACTCTGGGGTTTGTTCGGTGCAGAATTTGTTTTCCGACAGAATTCTAGGTCCGTCAAAGACAGGTCTGGAATGCTGCGTGTTTTCTCTCATTTCTCCACAAAAATACCTCTCCGAATCTGATATTGATTCTGAAATTTTATGCATAATCTGGAGCAGCCTCCGTTTCTTTTTACCCGGCCGGTTTTAGGATCGACGAGATCATCGACGAAACAGACGGCATCATGGTGGCTCGAGGCGACCTGGGCATCGAGATTCCCCCCGAGAAGGTGTTCCTGGCTCAGAAGATGATGATCGCAAAGTGCAACATGGTCGGCAAGCCAGTCATTTGCGCCACTCAGGTAGGATCGCGGGACCGTTTGAAGTGCTCGGTTTGGTTGTGAGATGTCACGAAGCCTGGGCCAAGATAAGTGCCGAGAACTTAACATTAGCGCCCAAAACCTCGCACGCCCGTTGTCGAGCTGCCTTGGCAGCTACGAGTAGGGTGTAGTCTTTCCCGTAAATACCTATAAACCCCAAAAATTACCGAGCCAGTTATATCGAAAGTGGGGAAAATCGAAAAAACTCCAAATTAAGTCTGTCCTTGAACAAAAAAAAATCCTAGCCTAACGGGGAAAATTACAGCTTAATTTTTTTGTTGGCCAAGAACACAGTCTATCCGTGAAGCTGCTTCTTCGTATGGGAACCACACCACTTGTCTCGATTCTCTTTCTGATCGCTACCGGGACGTGTTTCGGGTATTTAGGTCGCACACAAGTTCCCGCGAGTTTGGGGGGTCCTGTGCCCCTTTCCCGTTTTCTCGCAAGCCCCGATAAAATGCCCACTTTAGTCCAACACCGAAAAAATTGCACCAGAAAGCATTGAATCGGTGGTGCAAAATAAACCCGCATAAAACTCTAGAATTATTATGAAAAAAAAAACCTACAAAACACAAGACCCTATTTATACCGAAGTGTGCTCATGCCGTGTGCAGATGCTGGAGAGCATGGTGAAGAAGCCTCGGCCCACGCGTGCCGAGGCCTCTGACGTGGCCAATGCGGTGCTGGACGGCGCCGACTGCGTGATGCTCTCCGGCGAGACAGCCAAGGGGGACTACCCGCTGGAGACGGTGCAGATCATGCACGCCATCTGCGTGGAGGCCGAGGCGGCCTTCTACCAGAAGGACGTCTTCATCCACCTGTCGCACATCGCCCCGTGCCCCACGGACGGCACCCACACCATTGCCATCGCTGCCGTCAGCGCCTCTATCAAGTGCCTCGCCTCGGCCATCGTGGTCATCACCACCACTGGGAGGTGAGGCACATGCCGTTGCTACCGCTTGTTGGGGCTTTCCTCACAGCTGGGGCCACTAACTAAGCTGCGCTTCGTGTAACGAGAGCCGATAAATGAGCTGCTAATGCAGAATGTGTTTTATCAGCTGATTTCCATGGAGTTTCCCGACGGCTGACTGTAACAAAAAATCAACAGCGAACCCTATAAGATTTCCCTGCCAGGATATTGAACTCGCCTCCTTGAGACTGAGCCAAGTGCTTTGCCAACTGAGCTATCCAGGGGTAGGGGTCTGAGCATTCAAGGAAAAGTCATTCGCGTGAATGCGCTTCGCGACCTTTCCTGTCGTGCTGCGCCATCTCTCAGCGTACATCAGAAATGAGAGCGAATCTTCGTTAGGTGCTGCCGTTCAAGTGCCCTTCTCTTCTTCCCTGGAAGGCGTATCGTACGTTCTGTGCTTACCAGTCCTTGTCAGCATGATCAAGCTCGTATATTTTTTATATTTTTTATAATTTTTATATTTTTATATTTTATATTCTTAAACTGAGCTATGAACCTAGAGTTCCCCTGGGCACTCTAATGGCCTCCCCAGGGTATATACCCTTAGGGGTTTTCCAGGGCAGTCAACCTCAGGGGTCCCCCATCTCCCAAATTTCCTCAACTATTCAGGAGCAAAGTCTTTGTCCTGTTTAAGTAGTATTGTAGAGATCTGGGCCATCCATTGAGGCATAACTATATGTCAAATACTCTGTAATATGTTGAATATTGTTTGCACAATCTGTAGGTTTCTGTGCTGCTTTGTTGTAATAATACCCAAACAGGGAGGGGTTCATCTGCCATCGGTCAAGAGATGGGCGTTCCTCGGGATTGAGAAGTTTGAGAACTCCTACTTTAGAGTGACGGCAGTTTGGCCACCGGATGGATGCTGATGGCTGTGCCCTTTATGGCGGGCGGCAGTTTGCACCACCTGGCCTAAAAACCTTGGTGCTTAAAATCATTGTTGTAAGTTATTGTGGGAGACACTCTTCCGTCATCCAGAAATGCTGAAACTGTCCGTGACTAAGCAGAGCAAGATCGCTTGAGCTTCCCGACATTGCTTCAAAGGCTTGGAGAATTGTATTTTCTAAATGTAACTATCGCCACTTGCACCCGCTCTGCACCAACACATCGATATTGGCACCCGCGGAAAAGTTGGGAATCGGAATGCCGATACTCCATTCGCGTAGCTTATTTAGCGACTCTATCCGCAGCGTTGTGGAGACTGGCGCATGCAAAAATGTAATGGGCAGTGGGTTCTGGGTTCGTCCCCAGAGGATGGTACGTTTCTTTCCTTCTCGTAGCCACATTTTGGCGTTTCGGAAATGTTTATGTACTTTTCCGCCCGTTACCGGGTGCTGTGCAACTCGAGTGAATGAACGAGTCTTTATTCGAATAGCTTGAGCGAGGTATGCGACTCCGATGATGCAATGGCCCTTGATGTATTGTGCTCAAATTTACTACAGAGGTGCCGCTGGTCGAGAAGAGAGGGATAGGGGAAGCCTTTTTCCTTCTCTCAACCACTGCAAAAGGAGGAAGAGATCGAGAACCAAATACTGCCATACCTGTATTTCTGAAAAAGTGTATTGGGGAGAACACAAAAAAGATGCTCTACTGTAGTCTCTGACTCTGTGAACTGTACTGGCTTTTTAACATTTAGCTCAGTTTTCCAATGCTTTAGGTTTGGTCGCTCCTTTTCAGCACAGGCAATCTTTACGCACATACTTGTTTGCGCGATCACCTCCTTCGTCTCATTGAATGTAGCATTTCCTCGGGTTTGTGTGGGCTTCGTGCCGTTGTACGATTTGTTGTACCCCGTGCATTTTTTTGGGTACAATGTAGGTAATTAGTCTGGGCTGTGGTTGCACTTACCAAGTATATAAATCACAAGTTTAAATAGAAATTGAGCACGTAGTACCTTCCTGTATGTAGCTGTCCCAAGCTTCGCATAATTGCGCGTCCTTCATTCGTAATTTGCATCAGTGATTTTCTCGAGTGTGTTGCGGTTTCGTCTGATCTGCACGGTTGAGGGCAGGAGCCGGTGTCCGCCGTTAACGGGTGGGGTGTGCCCATGCAGGACGGCCCACCTGATAGCCAAGTACCGGCCACGCTGTCCCATCTTGGCCATCTCGAGGGTTGAACAGACCATCCGCCAGTCCCACCTCTACAGGGGTATCCTGCCTCTGCTCTATTCAGGTGAGAAGGGGTCCTTCCTCCCGTTCCTTGCAAAGCACATGGACACTTCTCTATGCGTGAGATGCAGCGGCCAAACCACAGCCGCGGCACCGTGGTTGGTTAGTCGGCCCCATTGGGCGTCTCGGCCGTCTTGGCCATAGACGAAAGACTTAGCCACTTCTGGTCTGGGGTCTCTTTATTCTGCGCCACGCAGTAGACTCGCGACACATGCGCAGATTGAAACGGGCAGGGGTGGGGACTTAAGACAGGATCCCACTCTGCCACCAAACCCCCCCCTGGATTTATGAAGTTCTATACAAATGCGTCTAAATAGTAGCCAGTCAACCAAATATTTAGGATTTGGTTGAATTAGCTGGAAGTGTGAATGATCAGTTTGAATTGGAAGCGTACAGTTACCAACAGGATGAGATTGGCAGGGAGGAGTTTCAGTTGTCTTGTCTCCAGCGTAATGATGCTTGGCTGTCTCATGGTCCTCGAGACAGCCAAAGCACGGGGAGAAGCAACGAGTGCTTGCTGGAGGCTGGGCATTCGAAGAACACTCCCTGCCATTCACAGCCTGTTGGCGACAACACCACTGTACTGTAACATCCCGGGTCATCGCCCACCCCCTGGTGCTGCCAGAACTTCGTTAAAAAAGTTGGTTGGCCCATGCCTCAATAGGTAAGCGCAAAAAGATAAAAGATGAAAATGACAATTTTTCTGTACGTAATTAGCGCGGTTTCATTGTTTTGTGGAAGAAATGCTCATGAAAGAATGTCCTGCTATTGCGAAGTTCGTTGCTTGCATGTCTCTACAAATAGTGCAGACTTTCAGGTCGTGCAGGTAGTCTTGAACATAGTCTAGCATTTTTTTCCTGTGTCCCAGTCATTGAATTTCTAAGCATTCTTTTCCTCTCATCAAACGTCTTATGACCAGTTGGGAACGTGGTTTACTGCCCTCTTCGTACCATTTTTCTCATCACACTTCAGTGTTGCCAGTAGGGGCTCTCTGTTTGAGATATGCAACGAGAACAAAATTAGGAAATTCAGTAACTTTGTGACACTTTTTTTCTTTTCACACAATACTTGAGAGACTGGTACAGCCGTGTCTCGATCTGGTGAGCAAAGCTTGAGTCAAATCAACGACCATAAAAAAATAGTTGGAGTACCCCTTTAAACATTGCGACCACAGCTGGTAAGGTTGTGCAATGTTCCAGGAAGAGGAGCGGGTTCGCAGTGACTTTACCTCTATGGAGACATACTTTGACATTACACTTGCGGTTGCATTCCAGGATATGGAACGTTCCCTAACCTCGCGATCCCTGGATGGGTTACTGCTTGTGTTATCTTTCCAACTTCTTTTTTTTTTTTTTGAACAAACTTTATTGTAAGCAAAAGTTTCATTCTGTTATCGCCATCGTTTTCCTTTCGCACGGTATGTACTAAGACTTCGGGGTCGTGAAAATCGGGGAGGGAATGCATAAACAAAGAGAAATGTCTTTCCGTCCCTCGTTTTACTTTGTCACGGACGTCCTCCAACTGTAAAGGCCCGTTCACACTCTTGTGACAGAGTATGACCGAGAGACGAAATGAGATCTGTTAAAACTTCTTAAAATTTCTTATGACGAGGGAACATACTGACATTCTGGCGCCATATATGCGGTGACCCTGGAACTGCATTTAACAAGAGCGAAGGTTTTGCGGGATTTCCGAGGTCAAATGTGCGTAATACCTATGAGAAAGGTTTGTTTATAACGTTGACAAGTTTTTCGAGCCAAGAAAGAAAGGATAATGCGTGAGAGAAATAGAAAATATGCCGAACCGTCAAGTTTCCACTGCTACCCGATAGATGGCGCCAGTGTGTCCTCTGGTTGTAAGAGGTTTTAAGAAACCCAGTTTTAAGATATCGTAAGAGTATGAACGTGCCTTAAGGTCCGTGGCCGTGTCGTTAAAGGGATACTTCAACGAAATTTGAAATATTCCCGTCGTGTTCAAAAATAGGTTGAATATGATCCACAATACCCGTAAATGACAATCGCACGTTTGTATTTTAATCCTGGTGGCTGTATTTTTCGTTATAAACGGCTCACTCTGGCAAGCGCTCGGAGAAGGCCCAGCTTAGAGCACGTGACATCCAACGCAATCGTGACGTAGGTCGTCTCAAGACGAGCAAAGCTACGGCGAGGCTGACGTCGAGCGGACGGCCTAGTCGTTCCAGCCACCGAAGCGGCTGCTTTTGTACAAACTTTGAGTGACGGGTTAATCTTCTATAATCTTCTAGGGGGACAATAGCGACTTCTGCGACACACAAAAGGAATTCTCGGGAAGAAGGGAGTTCCTCCTTCCCCCCTTCTCTCGTCGTGGCCGGAGACGAGACAACCTCCGTCACTAGCTGTCAAGGTTCCTAGACGGGCATTACAAACGAGGCGTTAGCGACATCCACCAGGTGCTCTTTGCTAATCGTTTAATTCGTTTTAAAATTCCTTTTCGAGACTTTTTTAACAAGATATTGGTACGTTCCATGTGATACTGCTCTTTTGAACACATATAGACCAAAAAATGAGCGCCGAAATTTCGTTGTAGTATCCCTTTAAAGTAGGACGAATGTTTGCGGATCGTGGTGGGCAGTCGCACAGTGTTTTTTGGGGGGAAATCTATATTCTCCCGAAATGTGGGATGTGCAATTACTTGGGACGTTGTGGTATTATAATATTTTTTGCAAGCATATACTTCTTTTTGATCCAGATTGGTCCTCAAAAAAAAACTGTGAGGCTGGTAGTGAGTCCTTATGTTTGCTAGCATACTTTTTCTACATTTGTGGCTCATTTTATACTCTTTCGTCAGCTTCTAAAGTCTTTGCCGTGGGCAAGGAAGTTTTTATTGGCATCTGTTGTTTTAGAAAAAGGCTTCGAAGCGTGATCTTTCTGCAAGACACGTTCAGACGTACAGTTTAGGCCTCGGTGCACCAGTTAGGTTGCCTTACCGTAGCGATTGAAATAGCAAGTCTACTAATTCTCTTAAAACTTTTGAGTACTGTCACGTTTTCGAGGCTTGGTTTAGACCATTCCATTTAGCGCTCTCTGGGCGGCACCATTTTGTTCGACAGCAGCGCCCTCTCTTTACATCCGGGAAATTCAGCAGGTACAGCGGGGTAAAACGAGAGATAGGGCATGCGCCCGACTCTGCTAGCAGACGACAAAACGGGAGGTTGCCATTCTCCATCTTTGGGCTGTATCGGCGGGCTGTACGGAACATCGAACTCTCGTTCTTGGCTGCCGTTGTGAAGTGGTTTGCGTTCTTAGAATAGTTATGGCTACTCCAAAATCAGCCTAGAGCTCTCTGTTGTTCTACCTCGGTTAACGGTCAACTGACATATCTTTTTTCCGTTACTTAAATAGCAGTTGAGTCAGCCGGCAGTACTACCCCCAACTACTGCGTGTATTGCGGCAGGAGAGCACGTTTTTATTTATTATTTCAGACATCCACTCATGGTTGCTAAAGTACGAACTTTGTATAGTAAAAAAGGTACAGCCACCAGATTCACTTTTCGCCGGAGAGACCGGCCAGTCTGACACAGTTTTTCCTTTTTTTTTTGCACGCAGATAACAGCGCAATTGGACTCTGGTAGTCTTTTTTATCTAGCATAGTAATACACGATAACTGGCATACCAAAATCTGCGCATCTGCGCTTGAAATTCCCAAAATGACGCGATTTTAAACAGAGTTTGTACGCCAGCCGGATGCTAGGTACTGCCCACTCGGCGGAGCAGACGACATGCGGGTGAGAGGGGGAGGGCATTTTTTCTCTTTTTACCCTCTGCTATGACCCTAATGGAATGGTCTATAGGCTGTAATTTTCCAGAGAAACAGATAGGGCAAAATTCAAGCTAAAAAGTCCAAGTTCAGTTGTGTTTGTTTTGCAGTTGTGGATAAAAGCTTTCTTTTCGCCCCTAGAATAAGGACAAAGATAACAAGCTGCTGCAGCAGCAAGTTTTTAATGAAAGAGGATATAAAGGACAAGGCAAAAAGCAGGAGTAAAACTGTTTGATGGACTTTTCAATTTTATTTTATTTTTTAAAGGGGCGGTGCAATGATTTTAACACTGAACGAATGTGCAGCTTGTATTTTTTATATTGTTTACTTCGGCATAAGTAAGAGAAAAAGTGCCACCATACCCCAAAATACCTCTATTTCGCTGCGCAATCGCAAAATAAAACACTTTTTTCCCCAACCTGTGGCCACATGGTGGCCGCAAATGGAACCTGTGGTGTGACGTCATTCGGAGTGGTTTTTGTAAGTGACAGTATTAGGCAATTGTAAGCTTGATTTAAGGTTAAGTTTATAAAATCTTGTTGTTTAGGCATGCAGAAACGCTTCAAAAGCCTAATATTGCCGCTAAAAGATTTGTGGCGCCATCTACTGCAAGTCAACCAAACCTGCCGTCGCCGTCATCCGTCGACGCCCGAGGCGCCTATGGCGGCTACACAAGCAACCCGGACATTTTTTCTTTCCCTCGCTCGACGGAGTGCGTTGGTCGTGGTCCGTAGTATCGTGGCATCGTTATTGTTCCTGGTGTCTCGACCTCGACTTCTGCCCGCCGCACAAGTCGAACTGACTTACTATACGCAAGCGTTTTGCGCTCGACGTCGCTCAGGCCGTCCGTCCATGCCGCCATGTTGGTCGGGAATCGACGGAAGAGCGGGAAATCGGCGAGCCGGCGAGCGCTGGGGAAACGGAAGCCAGATGCACCCAACCGGAAACCAACGCCACTCCGAATGACGTCACAAGCGAAGCTGGTGCCGCTTCAATGTTGAGTTGAGGGGTGCCAGAGATACCAATTTTTTTTTTTTTTTTTTATGAAAATTAGGGCAAGCAGGAAAGAATAGTTTTCGGTCCTTCGTTTTATATGTGGCCGGGATCAATTCCCGTAATTAATTAGCCAAAGTCCGCAAATTGTTTTCCTTTTGGTCTATCAAACCAACTCTGCTAAATGGCTAACCTCGCCATCTAATAAAAAAAATTTCTTTCTCTTTCTACAATGTCTGAGTTGTGAAATGTAATATGTAGCAGAGCCCCATTTCAGTATGCTCACCCTCTACAGAACACTTGAGGAGGGGTAATGGAAATTTTCCGACGTTACGATGTGGAGAGTAACATTCAATTTTACCATTTGTTTTTCCATGGAAAGGCGACTCATATTTAAAGATGTGATAATGATATCGCTGTATTCTTCCCTGTCATTTGACACTTCTAAGGAAGTCTTAATTTTGGGGTATTGTAGGTCCTTTATTACTTCAAAACACTAGGGAGCAAGCATTTGATTACTATAAGGTTCCTTTTCTTTTTTTTAAACCTTCTCTGATGGACTGTGATCTCTGGTGAGTAAGCATGGGTTATCTCTGCTGAAAGCTATGCTGGTGAACTACAACTGTACACAGAGTATAAAAGGCACTTGTAACTAGAGTTTGGTGTTATCAGTCTTTCTATTCATATTTGTATGCACGTGCAAATGGTAGATTTTGAGTTTGAAGCGACTACGTAGTGATTTTGGCAGGATATTTTCTAATAGAGTATCAAATGGTTTTTCCGAACCTTTCCCAATTGCGCCGTGCTTAAACTAAAGCCCAGCTGAACTCATGAAGGTTGTTCCCAAGCTATCACTTGTCCATTTCTAAACAAAGTTATTTTTAATTTAACTATATCTATGTACTGCAGCCTCAGAAAGTCCAATGCCTACATTGGGACAGCAAGTAAGAGACAGATTCGTCATAAAATTAAATTTACAGAAATGCATGCATTCTTGTACTTTTGCTGTTTATAGAATGAGGAAAGGCATCTTCAGTGGGCGATAAAAACGTACCTGAGCTTGCACCAGATACGGGTATGGTAGTACTTTGGCGACGTAAAACAAACAAGCGTCCCAAAGTAAACACGAACTATAAGTTGCGCAAATTTGGACTCTTGGAGAAAGGCTTCGCAAGTGCGGCAATTGGGTGAATGCACACCTTTTGGGGTGTTGTCCTTGAGTGCCTCGGTCAAATACTTTGGAGGGAGACAGCACAAACGAAAGTATGGACGACACATAGCCTTTTCTCATGCTCTCGGACAGCTGTTACGCCTTCAGCACTCTACCGGACTGCTCATTGAGTTGGTTCAAACAACCCTTTTCAAACGGTAGCTCAGACAGGAGCATTGCCTGAGCTACCATTTCGTTTTGCGAAATTGCATGTCAAATATTACCAGCATTTTTGCGTGACTGGCCCGGTGATAAGGTGCGAATTATGACATAGTAATGTGTTTTTCCTTTTCTTTTTCCCCTAGTGTTTCAGTTTGACATGCAGAGACTTGCGATTTTACATTCACGATTTGATGTGTGAATAACGTACAATGTATGTATTTTGTGCTCCTTCCTGGGTTGGGTAGTATTTCCAAACAAATGAATGAATTTCTTCTCGCAGGCGACCGCCACCCAGACTGGCCCATGGACGTGGACTCCCGCATCGAGTACGCCCTCGAGATCGGCAAGAGCCGCGGCTTCCTGCGCAAGGACGATGCCGTCATCGTGGTGACAGGGTGGCGCAAGGGCGCCGGAGCCACCAACACCCTGCGCATTGTGTACGTCTAGAGCTCGGGAGCTGGGACGCGGCTAGGGCCTGTCGGCGTCACTAGAGTGTGCCGCGAATTGTCAAAGGGTCTCCCCAATGCGGAGGATGTGCAGAAAAATCCAAACGAAGCGCGAATCAGAGTGTTGGGTCGTAGGACCTGCGCAGGAGTCGGATAGCAGTCTTTCATAGCCCTTGCGGTTCAAAACTAAATTATAGGACCTTTGGTCGGTCTCTGCACAAAACTAAATTATTTGACCTTCGGTCGGTCTCTGCACCGAGAAGGCTGTAAATTTTGTTGCATTGATATTTATTTGGGCCAGGATTGCTGTGCACGAGCACATAGTAGTTGCCGCACTTTTGCGGACCTTTCTCTGTATGGTTCATATGTTTCGAACTCCTGGCTGTCTGTAAGAGAATAGAGCGCATTAGTCTGGGCACATTTAAGCGGCTCTGGAAGCGGTAGCACGTCCCAGATACTGTGGCTTCTTCCGCAAAACTTGCTTCGTGCAAGCCTCATTTCATTGTTCCGACGACAAGAGGGAATTCTTTTGGACATGTTTTAGCGGATATTGCCAGCTCGTTTGCAAGGAGGGAAACTTGCGAGCCTTCGTTACAATCGTGTTACCTCGAGTAATTTTTTGATGGCCCCTTCCCCAAACATAGTATTTGTGAGACCTGTGGAAAAGCTGTACATAATGAAGTAATTGAGGTCTGCATCATGCAGTTGCCACTGAAGTGAGGTAGCCTGCATACATATACCCTTACGACCCGAATATGATGTAGAATGTATACCTGTTGTGAAAAAACGGTCTCTGGACGCCCGACGGGGGTGGGGGGCGATGGGCCAGGCTACCTTTGACTGCCGCTGTATTTGTTGTGGAGTGAACACGTGCTCTGTAACCACTGCCTTCACAATCTGTGGCGGTTGCATTTTGCTCTTTGTGGTGTTAATTTTAGGCATCTTTAAAACTGGATAGCCATTACAGATTTTTGTTTAGGTATGTCCGCACCCATCCACTAGAAGAAAAACAATGTTATGCTTGCTTTTTACAAGCTTTGGAGGTTGTCTTATTGAATCAACATTGCGCTTAATTTGATACCTTGCAGCTGTCTTATTTCAGTCTGTGATAGCTTTTTTTTGATGGAGGTCAACATAGGCATACCTCCGTGTTGCTTTTTCTCTAGTCCTATTGCACAATTTTGGCTTCTATTTATTACACACTGATGTAGCAGTTTAGATTCTTTTTTTTTTCTTTCTGCAAAATATATTTAATGTACAACTGTTGCAGAGCTTCTATGCGCACTTTACATTGTTGTCTTTGGGGCTTTTTTTTTTTTTTTTTCCTTTTTGGGCTACATAGGGCTTATATGCACTCTGAACATACATATGTTGCGGCTCTATACACGTCTAATTTTACTCAATTTTCAAAGTGGTGTTAAGTTATGCGGCTTTATAATACTGTAAAACGTCTTGAATGTTACTTGTTTCATTTCCCTGAATAATAAAGTTTTCCCGTCCTGAAAAGGAGGGAGACAAGGGCTTGTCTGCTGTACATCTTCGGGATTGCAACATCATCGGGCTAAATACTTGTTTTAGCCTCGAAAACCATAGTAAATTGGGGACAGTTTCTAATTTATACTAGTGTGCACATTCAAGATACCATATTTGGATTATGGTCAGTATCTGGTGGATAGTTTGCGCATTGTACATTGTCCACGCATAAAACAATTCTACACAATACATCTTAAAAATTTCTGCTCTATTAGTGCACGAAGAAGCTTGTATCGTACAGAAATCAACATAATCTATCCTTCACAAAATCAACGTCTCGTCGTAACGGGGAGTTTTAGAATAGCGTACGCGAAGAACGGCGTCGTCACCACTGCGCATGCACCGAACACTTACCGCGTTTTGCGTGCACTTTTTTTCGGAAATTGCGTGTGTATGCAAAGAGTCTTTGCGCTCCTTCAAGGAGGATTTGTGATGCGCGAGAAGTTGGCTAAAGCCAGGACGACTTCAGCCAACCGCAGCTGCGGCCATTGTGAGCACGACATAGGATATCCTTGCGACTGCGATTTTCCAAACTGAATGACATTGCTCTTCTACGAGAGGTGCACGTTGCAAATGGTTCAGAAGAGCCAACAAGGCAGGCAATGCAACGCATGAACATTTCCCGGCAAAGGTCGGCATACGAGACCTCTCTTGCCGAGGCAATGCAAGTGAACACGACCGGCCGACGGCTCCTGTTACATTCTCATATTCGAATCTAAAATGCTACTCTGGACCAAAATTATTGTTTTTGCTCTAGTTACAGCATGTGTGTGAAATAAAGTGTTACTGTATCTCGGGTGGTGTTGCAAGTGTGAGATGCTTGGGGTTTTGCGATGCTGGGGAGAAATGCCCCTCTAAAACTCTTGCGTGGTGTTTGCTAATGCAAGTGTTCAATTTGGGGCTAGCATGCGTCAAAATTGCATATGGTATTCTAAAATTCCCTAATGAACGATATTGAAAAACATATCCTTGCGTAGTCTGCACAGCTTAAAATTTCAACTTAACATGTAGTCCGAAAATATGGTAAGTTTTGCCGTGCTCTCAAAACATGCATGTTAATGCAAAAGCACTTTTCTTTTCTTTGACAAGCGAATAAAAACAACTCCGAGGAGCATATTGACTATTGTGCAAAGCTTATTTCTTGAGGTGACGGCAAGTATATAGCTCTGTGATTACTTTCCCTAATTTACAATTCCAGTTCATTATCTTGGCATTCTGAGATCTAGAAAGACTTGTGATCTTATGGCACGGATAGGATTGCACATTCCTTGCCATGATTACTGTATGCCAATCGCTTTAGTTATCGCAGAAATGCTGATATGGGGGGATCTTGCCCTTGCGGTTACATTGCCAGCTGCGATGAAGTGAAAGTTACTGGGGCAATCGTAGCCACCTGGAAGCTGGAGTAACAGTAATTTTTTGCTTGCAGGTATGTCCCAGATACAAGCTTTGTCGATGTCAATGCAGGGGATGCCTTTTAAAAGAAACAAAAGAATTTTTTTTTATGCATGTCTAAATGTTTGAGAAATAAATGCATGTCATTTGCAAGCTTCAGCACTCTTTCTGCACATCTGAATGACGCTGTACAAGGCAGGTTGTTTTCACTGCACTTTGGTTTGCCTAATATGAGTAGTATGTTTTAATAGTTTATTATAGTGGCTTTCCCAATTTCATCTAGTATGTAGTATCATACTGGATGAAATTTCCAATATATTTTTTTTTTTCATTTGTGGACTGCTATAAATTCAAACCATTTGACTTTAATTCAGTTTGACCTGGCTGGCTGCTTCCAGATTTGTGTAGAAACCGATCTTTGGGTAAAGTAACAAGAATATTTTCGAACTTCGTATTGTGTATAATTAGTTTTAGGTCAGATTCAGTTCACAAATATAAAATGCCAAGTCCATCAAGAACATCATCACTGGGGGTGCTAGGATTGTTTCCCAATCTTTATATTTTGTCCTATGATAGTTGCACACTAGGGGGTTTCAGAACAGCGTAGGCAAAGTATAGCATCGTCGCCACTGTGCATGCGCCAAACGCTAACTGCATTTTACGCCTTGTGAGTGCAGCATTTCATATCCAATAAAAATTGTTACTGTATTTGGGCAGCGCTGCAAGTGCGAGATGCTTGGGCTTTTGCGTCGTGGCGGAGAAACGCCATTCTAAAGCTCTTGCACAGCATGCGCTAACACAGGTGCTAAACTTAGTGCTAGAGTGCATTAAGATTGCATACATTATTCTAAAGCTTGTTGTGTCGCATCCTTCCACAACAAGCTGGCTGCAGCTGAACAAAAATTCAGTAAAATACTGCAAAAGCACGCACTCAACATTTGGAGATAACCTTGTGAAAGCTGGGGGATGGGTTAGAAAATTTATGCCGAATTGCTGGGAAATTGTGCAGCACACGTTCAACGTTCTAAGCATCACAAGCATTTAGCGATACTCTTAAAGGGAGCAGAAATCAATTTTCGGCTGGGATAAATTGGGATTTTACTGATCTCGCATCGTCTAGTGCGCCAAACCAAAACTAGTGCACGAGCGTAGAAAGCCTAAAGCCTGCTTTTGCAATACAAAAATTTGAAAATATAGCGGACTATTTCGTACCTCCTCTCTTTCCAAAGTTCTCCACCTTTTCACTGCGATTCATCCGCGGTGCCCGTTGGACACGAGCACTGCGTCACTCGGAGGTATGCACTCGTCAACAATCAATCTGTCGACGTATATTTGAAGTTCCTTTCATAGCCAATGAGTACCGTGACGGCACTTATAATCACTTGAGAATGATAAGGTCCATGGTGTGCTTAAAAAGCATGGTGGAAGCTTGGGGTCATCACCTCTGGTGCCCAAGCACATTACAACCACGTGATTTCTCATTTGATTTTTGAGTTAAGGATTATAGCTAAAAAGGAAGAAGTTGAAAAATCATTTTATAGTCCCTTTAAACTTCAACAAAATTTAAATTCTACCCATCGCATTTAGAAATGGGCCGAATATGATCGACAATATCCGTAAATGACGATCGCAAGTTTGTATTTTGAGCCTGATGGCTGTATTTTTCGTTTTAAATGTCCCACTCTGGCAAGTGCTCGGAGAGTACTTCGCATCCGGCACAATCGTGACCTAGATTGTCTCGGGACGAGCAAAGCTGAGGCGAGGCTGATGTCGGGATGCCCTAAATGTTTTAACAACTGAAGCGGTTGAAGCACACCAGCCATCGGTCCACTGCAACTAACTGCAAAGCTGCTTTTGCACAAATTTGAAGCGAAGGGTTAACCTTCTATAATCTTGTAGAGGGAGAGTAGCGGCGTCTGGGACAGATAAGCGAGTCCCTGTGAGAGGGGAGTTCCTCTCCTTTTTTCTGGTGCTGGCCAGGGACCTGTCGGGATAACGTCAGGTTCAAAGCACGCATAGTTTTATGGAAGACGGGCATCGTCACTACCTGTCAAGGTTTCTGGACGGGCATTACAAACAAGGCTTTAGTGACATCCACCAGGTGCTCTTTGCTAATCGTTTATTTCGTTTTAAAATTCCTTTTTGTGTCTTTTTTAACGAGATATTAGTGTGTCCAATGTGATACTGCTCCTAGGAACACGTATAAATAAAAAAATAAGCGCCGAAATTTTGTTGTAGTATCCCTTGAGGTTTGCAGATGCCTGACGCTTACATTCACGGCGCTCTTCATCAGATATTTTAATGTATACCATGTGTATACTTGATAGTTGTTCCTAGAACGAAGTGATACTACCGCTGATTGGGCTGATAAATCTGGCGATCTTCCAGTCTTCCTTACTCTTGAGCTTCTCTCCCTCAGTGTGCACAGGTGGTACAGCTCCTCCTCGCCTAACCCTGTGGTCCAGACCTCCCTGTTAACCAATCAGCATTGAGTACCTTACTCCTCCTCTCCCACCCTTCGACCAATCAGTGTCGAGCCTTGTGGCCACGTTTTTATCCATCCTTCACGAAATGCCAAACATTTAGCCAAAGAATGTTTCATGTTGGAATGTGAGTGTGTCAAGTGGCAATCTGCTGGACGCAGAGCGGATGATGTGCAGCTGTTGTCTCCCAGTTGTAGATGAGAAATTTAGGGAGTGCAGTACAACCGCTAGCCTAGAGTCTTTTAGCATGCACCACGCAGTAGTGATACACGACGGCAGGCCGTTACAATGCTTGTCCAGATCGAAATGGGCAGGGGTGAGGATTGAACCCAAGATCCCGGGTTGTTGTTGTTTGCGGGTTTTATGGCGCAAGAGCTCCGACGGCCATACTGCGCCAAACTAGGTAAGCTAAAAATACATTGTTAAAAGTACGCTAAGACTAGACTAGAAGTTGACTATAGTTTGTGTAAAATATTGGTAGTTTTGAGAAAAGCTAAAAGACGTTCAAGTGATATGAGAGGCTGTTCCCCTAGAACCAAGACAGGGTGAAACGGGATGCTGTATTTAAAAAACTCGGGGAAAAAGGTCATGTATTGTTGTAGAAGGCCACGGCGAAGAAAGAGAACATGTAGAACAGACAAAGTCTCTCCACAGTACTTGCATAATGGCGGTTCCTCCCCTATAAGCAAGTATTGATGAGTAATGAACGAGTGGCCAATTCTCAAGCGGCACAGGAGAACTTCGTGGAAACAATTTTTATTATAGGAGGTTTCCCATGTGCCAAGTTCTGGTTTGATGGCATGAAGCTTATTATTATCGGCTAACTTCCATTCAGATTGCCATAACCGTGAAAGTGAAAATCCCACAGACATTTAAAGGTCTTGGTAAGGTATGCGGATATTCGATGGTAAAAGGTTTTGTGAAGAGGCGGCTAGTCTATCTGCTGCCTCGTTGCCTGCAATGCCCACATGGCTCGAGATCCAGCAAAACATGATGTCATTCCCACCAGCGAGTCCCTGTTGAACTTTGGCCCGTACGAGTTGAGTCAACTTATTCATAGTTGATGTAACAGGACATACTGCGCTAAGAGCAATTTGAGAGTCTACAAAAAGAATGGCTATCATCACTTTGCTCCCGATTATATAGTCAAGGGCTGTTAGAACACCATATAGTTCCGCAGTAAAGATGCTGGCGACATTGTCGAGTCGAGTAACATGGGTAAACGAATTTGAATAAACAGCAGAGCCGACATACATTGAGGACTTGGCACCATCAGTGTAAAACTGGCAGTATTGTTTGTACTTTTCTTGCAGAGCTAGGAATTCCTGTTGTAGAATAAGTGGAGAGATGTTATGTTTATTAAATTTTGTAAAATACCAATCACAAGCTATAGGTTTAATATCCCATGGGGCGGTATGACATGCACTTTCTAGAAAATGAACATCCTCACGTGGTAGGTTAAGGGAGTGGCGGAGGTTCTCAAAACGAAGACTCAAGGGTTGAATAACAGTTGGTTTATGGTTAATATAGAACAAAACTTTGACTCTCGAATACTACTGTGAGTTGGATGGCTGGGTTCTGATAACACCTTGTAGGCATAAACTAGACTCAGATACTGCCGCCTTTTTTCAAGGTACATTTCATTGAAGTCCAAAATCCCGGGTTGCATGCTGCAAAGACTCGCTTAACAATCTAAATGGTTTTGGTTTGATTCCCTCCTGGCACAAACGCTTTTTTACTGCAATGGTGCGCTCCCCCCCGCCCCCCCCCCAACTTAAAACCAATCAGTGTCGAGCCTAATGCCGAACACCATTCCAAAGAATGCTTCACATTAAAAAATGTGGAAAGGTCACAGGAGGGGGTGGACTTCACCGTCTTGCTCCAGCAGATGCGCTCTCGCTGCCGCCGACATGGGGAACATCTTGGATAGCTATGGTTTGTTTTTCTCATGTGCAAACAAGCTACAAGCTCGAGCACCTTTCACTGCACGAGCACGGTTGCTTGGCAGGAACGCTGAAAGATGAGCACGAGTGCTTTTTGTAACATTGGTGCATGCTCGTTATCTTACTGTAGTGTTGTGCTATTTTTGAAGCTTGCACCCTGGTTCTTGAGCAGTGTGCAGTCAGCATATGACAACAGATAACAATGTCAAAATGGATTTCAGGACCCTTGGCACACCTGCCATTTAATTTGCAGCTCGTGAGACTTTTGAGGAACCAACATTTGTAACAGGTTCGTGAAAACTAGTGCTTCAATATTCTTAGGGTGGTGCCACTTTACCCAATAGCAGCAACACACGATTGCAGAAAAATATTGGGAAACTAAAATGCTTCCACAGCACAAGTCAAAGCCTAACTTTCAAGCCAAGAAATGCACTCCAGAGCAAACGAGAAAAGGCAGCACTGCAACACAATATGCTTTAATATCGCCACCTTGAGACAACCACATGACACCCCATCAAAAACATGCACTTGTTGCAGGCAGGTTTTCTCACCAGTCTAACCTGTTTGCAATTTAAAAATGCATTCACAATATTTGGGAGGAATTCAGCATACAACAATCGATGCAATGTCGTTCATTATAATATAAGTTGTGTATGGCAGATTTGCTCTCTGTCTTAGCCATAAACAAGTCTGGAGAGCTTTGACATGCCAATTGCCTCTTCAGTAAATGGGCAGGTTTCCTGTTTACCGTATTTTATTTCAAATGCTTCAAAATACAAATGTATACGCTGAGTAAATGCCCAAAACCTGCAAGTGCCGTAGCCTTTTTTTTCACAGTGGGTGGGCAGGCAGGACGACTCCCTTGCACTCTCCAAAGCCGACACGTTTTCCGTTTCCTTGGCAGTATCCTGCATGAGCCCAAACATCCAAATCTTGTCATACTAGCAAAATGATCACACTGCCTCAAAGCATGCCACGCTCATCAAGCCCCTCTGATATGTGCGCCCATGAATTGCGTCAAACCATATAGTCAGATAAAAGTCAAGAATGCCTTCCATCGTGCCCTGAATGGATATGCTCAGGAGAAAGAAAGCTTGCACTGGAGGCGGAGCTTCTGGCACATTCTTGCGTCTGGCTTCAGAAACGAGCCTCCTACGACTCTTTCTAGTGCCACTAAACAACCTATGCTTAGAGCACGAGTGCTCAAACTGGACTCCCCCAAAAGCCCAGGTGTTGCCCTAACTTCCGAATTTCTTCAACCGCTCTCAGGCAGTGTATATACCTATTTACAGCTGAAGCTCTATTTTAGCAGATCTGAGCTATCCCTTGACACAGAACTATGAACCAAACATTTCCTAGTATGTGCCTCACTGTTTACAAGGTCCGTGGGCTTCTGTACTACTATATTGTTTTACTACATCAATGCCGAGACTGCCAGGGGTTCCCTAGCTTTCAGTCGAGCCAAATAGGTGTCCCTCGAGATCTACAAGTTTGAGATCGCCCAACCGAGTATTAATACTTCATTCCCCGATTTACTTGAGAATGCTGCCATGTTGATGCTCGGTGCAGAGTGGGTGCTCTTGGCTATCAATACAATTCGAAAATGCGACTTACTGAGCTTCAGGCGCCTTGCCAGAAACCTCGGGCAGTATCGTAAAGTCGACTTGCGTTAATTCGACCTCGGTTAATTCAATTTATTGTTAATTTCGACCCTGTTCAAAGGTCCCGGCAAAAGCCCATACATTTCTATAGAAATATAAAATATTGGTAAATTTGACACAGATAGAGTAGGCGGTGGGCAAGTTACGAGCGCAATCGGCCGTGCCCGTCGCGCGCACCAAATTGCGAAGAGAGAAGAAAAGAGAACATGTTGAGACGCGGGACACGGCCAGCTCTCAACTCAAAGCAACCATTGCTCCACGGCGGCAGTGCTACCATTGCTGCACCGAACATCCGAAGGACATACACGGCCGCTGTTTGCATATTCAGAATCTCCCATGCATCTTTCAATTCGGCTTTCCGATAATTCAATTCAATTTCACATGTCCCGTCAAGGTCGGATTAACGGAAGTCACCTGTACTGCTTTGCCGCAGGCTTCTGGAAGACTGAAAACCATTTCCTGCAATTTCAGATAACTGGCAACCCCCGTTTCAAGCACAGAGCTGACCAAGGCGTCGTTATTTGGAAGCGTAGACTATTTAGTGGCTCATCTAGCTCTTTCCAGGAGTGACGGTGCTTATCGTGCACAATATTAACGAATCACCTTTGATGACGACCTCGTCCCCGTCCTTCAAGAAGGTTCTGGTCTCTCCATTCTTCAGCGGCACCTGCTTGGTTCCTTTCCAGCAGAGCTCGAGCATCGATCCGTAGGAATCCTCCGTCTGCGGAGAAGCGCTCTGGCTTAGTTACGACGGACACTCGCTTGCCGCGGATCGAACTAGCGTACCGGTCCACTGATGGTTCCGGAGCCGAGCAGGTCTCCTGGCTGCATGTTGCACCCGGTCACGCTGTGGTGCGCTAACTGCTGCTTCATGGTCCAGTACATGTGCTGTGAAGGTGAACAAAGAACCCTGTAGCATTTATTTCTTTTGCAGCTCTTTCTCTGATGCCAGGTGGACAAAAGTGTGGTGCCAGTAATTTGTCTGCAGGGTTTTACTGTCAACTTTCACAAGTGCCGTGCATATTATATTGTGAACAGCAGACATTTACTGTTTCACATCTATAATACTACCTACTCTATCAAATTAATTTATTCTCTGAATTGTCTCGCTATCTGAAAATTTAGTCAGTATGCATAGAGAGGTAAAAGTGATATTTGTAGCGACCTCTTAATTGGTAGTTCACGTCGCATATTAATTTTTTTTCACTACGGTAAATGCTTGTTCAGTTCATTCTTAAGCTTAATTTGTTGAGAACACAATCTTATCTTCAACTCACTAGTTGTTTCGGTTAAATCTGACAAACACATGACTAGATTTTCTTTTTTGAAGAAGAAGAAGAAAAAAATGAATTTGTTGGAATTGTAAATAATGAACTAGGTAGAAAAATAAAAAGTTCCATTTGTACCTCACAGTTGCACTTCTAATGGATCTAATATTTTGTTAAAAAATCTGGAAGCTCTTAAATATAGAAAATTACAAATCTTGGATATGACTGAACAATTCCTAGACTACTGACCTTGAAGTTTGACTTTGACACTACCGTCGAGTCGTTGGAATCCTTGGCTGTAATTAAAATAAAAACATTTGCCATCATGATTGGGATTTCTACCATGACATGGAAGCTACAGAAACAAACAACAAATAAATATAAATAAATAAATAAATTTTATTTCTTCACATTTATGATGGAAGGAGACCGAGAAAAAAAGCTGCATAAATGCAGCTTGACGAGTCCTCGGCCCTCTCCCTGCAATCAGCAGCAGTGGCAGCTCACAAAAAAAAAAAAAAAAAAAGTAAAAAGAAATTTAAAAAAAATACGAGTTTAGTTAACCAAAATAGCGAAATGTATCGGAGATACAATTCAAAATATGACATTGCAGAATGGAGCAAATTCAACTCTAACAATTCAATAAAAAGTTATGATTATCACAACAAAAGCACACATATTCAGAGATATAGAGAGCATGATTAAGCACTGTTATATAAATTATAACTTATAAGGTTATGGCAAACAGACATAATAACTATAGATACGTCAGGACACTAGAACAGTGGTCGGCAACCAGCGGCCCGCGGGCCGGATCCGGCCCGCGAGGTAGTATCATACGGCCCTCAGCCTCCCGGTAACCCCCCCTCCCCCCTACGCAGTCAGCTAAAGAAAAAAATAAAAATAAAGTTGACTAATTCGCTGCCCGTCTGCGAGCAGACTTTTCCACAAATGAAGTGCATAAAATCCAACTTCCGCGCTTAAGAATGACTGACGAGAACCTCCACAATGTTTTGCGACTCGCAGCGCTCGCAGTTAGCAGCTTGAATGTGGATGTTCGTAGTTTCGCGAGCGCAGTTCAACACCAAAAGTCTCACAGAGAGGAGTTTCTAGGTTTTCGTGGAAATGTTGTATCTCATGTTGTTTGTCGTGAAATAAAGAAACTGTTCATTTTTGATTTATGTACGTCAATGTAAGTTCGTGCAAGTGCTTTTTTTTAAATTTTAACTCCCCCCCCCCCCCCCCCCCCCGCTGCTTGCCGTCCGGCCCGTTCCGCCTAGGCATCGCGGCGACTCGGCCCGCTTCGCCAAAAGGTTGCCGACCACTGCACTAGAACATTGGTCGATCAAAGTCATCAAATTACACGCTTAAAAAAGGGTTGGACTTCTTTCGGTGTTCTGCAATTTGGCACTTTCCAGTTTTCTATGTTGCGAGTTGAATATATTGGCAATCTCCCCATCAGAGACGCTAGCTTGACAAGATGACATATATTGTTCACGACTTCTGACTTGTAACTTAGGCATAAACGGTATTTATATAAACTATTCACATGCAATACATTCAAACTTTCGGAAAGATATCTGCTAGGGTGATCATATGGAACATTACTTATAATTCATACTATTTTTTTCTGGAGCACAAGTATCTTGTTTAAATTTGCATTGGTAGTATTTTCCCAGACAAGATGGCAATAGTGCACATGCGATAACAGCCTTGGTTTTGTTCACGTTCATTTTTAGCACGTTAGAGTGACTCCAGCTACCCAGCTCATGGAGAGTTTGATTAGCCCTATTTGCTAGTTCAAGACAGCAGTCTCCTTTAAAAAATAATAGAGTTGTATCGTCAGCGTATATCACAAATTTTGTAATTTTTATTTACATTGACAATGTCATTAATATATAAATTAAACAAAACAGAACAGAAACAGAACAACCTGACAAATCCTGCACCTTGTGTGATCTTGGCTGATTTAACTCCATGCCTGACTGGCTGGCATTTAAAAATTAAACTTTAGACTATTGTTTTGCATCTGGCCTGAGCTTTTCTGACAGTCCAAGAAATCAGACAATTTTGGTTATATATGTCCCTTTCAATTTCCTTCATCTCGTCCCATCAATGCTACTACTCCCATTTGTTTTGTAAAATCTAAATAATTGAAGGCGATTAAAATAATGACAACCCCGAGACCCAAATACTAGGGCAGGCAATAGGATATGACAACTACTACCAGGCAAATCCTTTCTATGGTTGACAACACATACAGGGACTTTTGCATTGAGCTAAATTCTTTCTGGTGATCCACTAATTGTTTATAAAATCCATCAATATTTTTTTTTCTTTTAATTCTGAAAGTTTTAGTAGCAAATTTAAATGCACACCAAGGAAGCCAATTTGAGCATGTTGCACATGCCCCTACAGTGCAAGCATGTTTTCATGACAAACATTCTTGAGTTGACATATGAAGACGGGTAAACACGCCAGGTAACAGGACAAGAAACAAGACAAGCAGTGCACTTTCTTGTCCTTTTCCCTGGCACTTTTACTACTCTTGCAATGTAGCAACTGGCACATTTTTCCATTCTACTCCCCTTGATGTGTTTACATGGTTAAATGTCGGGAAGAATACAGCACAGACTGCAAGGTGAAGAGGGACGCAACAGTTCACATACGCTTGATGGCCACCTCGAGGTTGATGTCGAAGTTGAAGTTGTCCTTGTGAAGGAGGTAGGGCATGGGGGCCGGGTCCTGCGGTGTGTTGGGGCAGCGGAAGGCCTCCAGGGCCTCCAGAGTCACCACCCAGGGGCTGATGCTGGTGCCAAGGTTCTTGGCGGTGAAGGGCCCCAGTGGGACATACTCCCACTTCTGGACGTCCCTGGCTGCAACAAGAAGCGTGTCAGGTGCATTTTAAGGTCAAGGACCGCCGGCAAAGGGGACAAGGAAACAGATGGTCTGTTTCAAAGGTCAGGTCGTCAACATCCGACGGGCTTCAGTTATGACTGCTGAAACGATTTTGGCTCAAAATTAGGCTGACCGGATCGCGATTCCAACCAGGGTCACTCTTTACCTGCGAACCTATATTGCTTTTTAGCACAGGGGTTTTCGAACATTTCTTTTTTTCTTGAGGAAAGTCTGTCTATCTTGAATGGCAGCTAAGGAACCCCTCCAGGCCTCAGCACTCGTATCAATGGGTGGCTGGTGCTTACACTGGGAAAACATTTTACTCTGGAGTAGGGACAGTTGAGGAACTTTGGGAACCGAGCTTAAGAAAGGTGATTATGAGAGCGTAACAATCATCAAAGTGTCTATAAATGCTGCTCTTTGAGAAGGCGTCGCACTCGTTTTGTTTTGTTTCTTAATTTAATGTGCACGACTAGCACATTTACTTGAAACTTCATTGACCTTGTAATGAAAAGAGCCTGTGTATCTAGTTTCATGCAGAGCAAGGGAGGCCAATCACTGTGATTTGCAAAAGGATCCCTCAGCAAATCTCGGAGTAGGAATAACACTACCCAAAAGAGCGACTTTCACTGGATGGGCTTGAGTGAGTGATACATTTAAGAGTTCGAAATCCTATCGTAGGTTCTAGTTTAGACACCCAATTCCTTAAAGGAGGTGTGCAATGATTTCCGGACTTCGGTCAAAAATTTGTGAAAGTTACCCTCCGACACTTCTAAAGTAAAGGACAGAAAACCGATTTCGCCTGCGTGTCCTAGTTGTTGTAAAAAAAAAGATAAAGATTGGCATTTATGGCACCCCTCAACTCACTCCCAGCCTTCTGGGTCACACCTGGTCCCCCTCCCAATGACGTAACTCGGGGTGCCGTGTAGCTTCCCGAGTGCTCCCTCGGAGGGCACTTCCCCTCCCTCTCTCTGCTGACATTAGCAGGCGTTATGCAGCAGCTTAGAGCCGAACGAGGTCACGTAGTCTTTTTGCCGCAGTTCCCTCGGCTGCCACTGGCAGCTGCAGGTGGGGGAAAAAGCCCTAGTTTTGCTTTGCGATTATGCAGAGAAATCGCGGCATCTTTTAATGAAGGAGATGTTTTCTCTATCCTCCGGGACACAATAAACGACATAGAAATGACGAGATGCTAATTCCTTTAATCTTAAGATTGTTGCACCCCCCCTTTAATGGGAACAATTGACTCTCTACAAAGCACGTGAAAAGTAAGCGAGCAGGATTGTTGTCGTAAAGTGGTTTACATATTTAAGAGTAAATATGCTAACTAAATTAATAAAAAACAATTTTTTATGTCCACCAAAAAAAAAAAGAAAAAAAAAGAGACATTTCTCAGCATGGAGATCACCTTAAGATAATTTCCACTAGCCTCTTCCTTTTTATACCTCCCTCCGCTAATATTCAAGCGTGACAATATAATGCATACCTGAATATAAAAAAATTTAGAAGTTCTAAAAGTTTTTCACCACTGGGACATCCATGAATGACATTTCCTATGATGAAAAACTATTTGAAAACAAAGTAGGAGCAATAAACAACACAACACATCTTTCTAACAGATCTCCTATGATGACACCCATCACCCTCTTTTTAAAAACAACTTCAATCACCAATCATAGAAAATAAACGACCCCTCTCCTCACCGCTCCAGTCATTCATGAGCACCATCCCAAAGATGTGGTCCTCGGCCGTCTGCACAGGTATGGGGTCTCCCAGAGAAGATGCAGGGCCCACAAAGAAAGCCATTTCCAATTCAAAGTCCATCAGCCTGCAGGGCCCAAACACTGGAGGCTTGGCTGAAAGTCAAAAAGGCCTCTCAGAAAAAGAACCCCACAGAGTGCTTTTAAAAGCTCCCAGTGCAAAATATACATATGTCTGCGACCAGAATTTCAAAACAAAGTTGTTGTGGTGTACAAAATAATGAAACATGGTAATTTGATTGTGTATATAAATTTGCTGATCTCCGTCAGTATTGGGATAAATGTGCCAATCGTGATACCTGCCTTCCACTAGTTTGTTTGCTTATTCGGGCGAATATTTCAAATCACTGAGAGGCCCGTGCTGCTTGTAGCGGGTGCATGTCTGAGAATGGTTGGGGCCCATACATTACTTCATGTATATGTCAATTGGTGACACAGTTTGCCGACAGATAGTGTCACAATCTGCCCGTAACACCAGCTCAATAATTCAGGAAGACAAAAGCATTTCACAAACTAAAATTTACTTTTCTAGTGTACTGCAGCTCAAATCTTTTTTTTTTTTTTTTAATTTTTGAATGTAAAGTAGTTAATAAACATTTCAGACCAAGCACTGTTAATGTAACTCCAGCCCAATTTTTGTCACCGCCCCTAAGCTTTGGTTGAATCCATCATTATTAAAGGTGAGATTTCTGGGAAATTTAAGTCCCAAATCTACTTATCTAATATGGTCAACAACTGTGTTCAACTCACATCTAATACTGTAAACAACTTTATTTTTGTGGGCTCAATATTTTGCAAATGTTGCAAAGTCTTTATTTTTGTGAATGTTTCAAATAAAAAATTTTTTGATATGAAGCGAGAGGCTTTGTATTCGTTACGACAGGGTGATATATTCGCGCGATACATTTTTCTCAATATGTTCCTGGTCGCAAAATTTGCGAAAATGAGGTCCTCTCGAAAATTAAGTAATTTGCAGTATATCATAATCAAGGAAAACAATGATAAATGAATTGCACAGCATGAAACTCTAGTACAGCGCATGTCTGAAAATTCAAGCTTTTCTACTATATACAGTATCAGAATTGACAGATCGCTGAAATACTTGTCACGGCTCTTGCAAACTTGTGACATGTACATGATTTGAAGAAAACATTTCTGAGCTCAATTGTTGAGGAGGGCAACATTGAACACAAAATTATCTCTCAATATGTGAATTGAACCTAAATAGTTCACTACTGTTGCAGACAGAAAATTAATATTGTTTTGTATATGTTTTTTGTATGTAAAGCCACTTACAGTCATCAGGTCTGGTCTGACCATTGGGACGGCGAATTGGTGTGCCAGACACCACAATTGATGAAGCCCGTCCATGGTAGCCTACTGGAAGATGTTTCCTGTTGGGCAAGAAAAATATGCTGAACTGGAGTGGTCACCGACACCCTGCATTATGTAGACACTGGTAGCTATTTTTGCGATATCTTGCAGACTGCAAAATGACTCATAGACTTACCAGTTCGGCATGAGGGCATTGTCTTTTCCTCTGAACATGATGCCAACGTTAGTGGCATGCTCCAGTGAAGAATAGAAATCGGTATAATCGCCTGAAAAATTAGGGTTTCAACAACATAAAGCATTTCAAGCAAGAAAACAGTTCCAGAATAATTTGGAGAAAAATGGTGTGAGGGTTTTAAGGGACTTCAATGACTTTCCGAGGCTTTCTCAAGAGTGTATAAATCGTGAACTTTGTCACTTTAAGAGCAACATGCTGTGCTTAGGAGCAGTGACAAAGACACCATATTAAATTAAGTTTGATCATTTTGGAATTAACAGAGTACTTTATAATTTGCATGGTCCATCACTGACAAAAAGTTAAAACACAGCTTTAATGCTGTAGTCAAAGTTCTTGAGGTCAAAATGTGATATTTAACTAATAATGTCATGATATATTGAAATTTAACAACCTCCAGGATCAGGCTAATTATTTATTGACAAGGTTTTCAAAGGACTGTGGGAGTCCTCCAAGGCACTCTGACTGTGTGCTATGCTATTTTGTGAATTCGAGTTACTTAATAATGCTTTTCACCTTCCTGCAGAACACACTCACCGATTTGTGCTGGTAAATGCATTGTAGCCTGGGACATTGGAACCAGCGCTCTAGAGAAGGAAGTTGCAAGCAATCAACTAATTTGCAATATAGTTTTTAGTTAATTTGCAGTGGAATAGAATTGCGAGGTTTGGTGGAACGTGAGAAATTAGGACATGGGACATTATGTGCATGGTGTCAAAGTGAAGGCGGCGTACGAGAGAAAATTTGCCAGAAAGGACACATAATACGCTCTCTTTGCCCAGAATATTATTTTAAAACTCTTATTAATGCACATATGTAAAACGCTTTAGATGGTTTATAAATGTAAGATACCAGCATCAAATACTAGCATTAAAGTACTTCATCAGGCAATTAGAAATTGCTGGCAGCAGCAAACTCCTAAAAAGGGTGCAAGCAACTGAGCTGTCACAAGAAGGGCAAATAAGAAGCAATCACTCACTTTGCTTTGAGAGCAATGTCATCCTTCAAGACGGGTTCATTCTTCGAGAGCAGCTTTTGGATGACCTGTCGAGCTTCAAGCCATGCGGGCCTTCCCAGACCCATGAAGCTGTTGAGGCTGGACTGGATAGTAAAGGAGGTACAATCTGTTGGTTTTCACAAAAATACTGCATCTCCTGGCCATACTACTGACATCCCAAGACTCCAGTCTGTTGGCAGTAAGGTGATCAGTGGTTGCATTTGGGCAAATGCAATTGAATTGCCCTTTATACGTGCTAGCTAGGCAAATACGAGCAATCAGTTCAATTTATGCTTCTTATATTTTGACAGATAAAAAAATAGACCTTTTTCGTGTACTCTCGTCTCCAGCCACCAAATAGGCATATCCGGTATGGGCGACGAAAAAATAATAAAACGTTTCAACCTATAATAAGTAAAAAATAGAGGGGTGCCCAAACAAGAATGTGTGACGGTTACGCTTATATCCTAAATGTCTTCTGTTGGCGTGACGACGGCAAAACAATGTTTTCGCCCACACTGGAAGTGGCGAAAATTCAAGATGGCAGTGACATATATATTTTCTTCTCCTCGTGCATCCACCAGGTAGTTCAGACGTACTGAGGAAAATTGACACCCACATTCTTCGTATAAAGTGCAACACAGAAAGCTGAAACTCCTCTAAAGAACACCCACATTTGCAACTCCAATCCTGGTCATTTAATCCCCATTTCACTGTTTCACTTCAATGACCACACCAGTCTCCATTGCACATTTGAATACTTGTAATCTCCCCAATTTTCTTCATCCCATATCCCCGATTGGGAGGTGTTGCGAGCGAGGCGACAATGTCACTTCTCACTTTTGTCTTCAGAGAAGGCAAGAGTGACACTGTCACTTTTGCCTCCCTTGGAGTTGTGAAAGAGATGACGATAAAGGGTGAGGTCACAACATTCCACGAGTTTGAACTTGCTAGAGCTTACACCGCTGACACTTTCAGGTTGGCTCTCAGTTCTGTGATGCATATCAGTGAGACATGTAGTAATTACGTTTTTCACTGAGGCCTTCATATATTTTATGCTTTATATAATTCCCGTGTCTTTTTAAAGGAAAGTGAAAGGGTAATGTCCAAATGATTAAAAATATAATTCGACCGGTTATCCCGTAGTATTCATGTTAGCAACCATACCTCGTCAAAGACATGTTGAGAATTCTTGAGATGTGGTCCGGTGAAGAAATGCTTGACGACACTCAAATCGAGGATGTAGTCTCCTATGGCCACGCCAGGACGAGGTTTCTTCTGCAGAAAACCGGTGGTTCGGCGTCAACCCTCAAATCAAGTTGCGGCGGCCGGCTGCACTTGAAGACGTTTTCAGATTCGAAGCATCAGACAGTTAGCAACTAAACCGACAAAACAAAATAAAAAGGAAGAAAGAAAAAAAAAAAGGAGGAAAAAGGGGGGGGGGGGGGGGGGGGATGCTGTGAACACGACCGGCTTGGGGACGCCGAGACCCACAAACAAGTTCTCCGGTGTCCGCCACAATTGACGCAGAACACGGAATAAACACTTACATTGGTTGGCGTGGAAAAAACGCCGTACGGCAGATTCTCGTACGTGAAGTCCGAGCCCTCGGTGACTGGTACAAAAGACATGGCAGCAGCACAACTTGTCGTCTCCAGGAACACTTGCGTCGGCGGCGACCGGAGAGCAGCGTAAACGAGCAGAGACAGCGGAACAAGCCAGGCAGCAAGTGCGAGAGGGAGCGACAGGGCCATGGAGAGGATGCGCCGCCGCCAGACGCACTTTCTCCCGACTTATCGCCAGCATTGCCGGAGGGATCGCAGACTGGTCCTACCACAGTCAGATTAGCTGGCGCTGAGTTGGCTGAGTGGCTGAGTCGGCTGAGTCCAAGGCCGCATACCGTAATCTCTCCGGACGAGCCACGCCGTTGGGCCGGTGGCACGGCTGCCACTTCTGCTGGTGTTCGCGCAGCGGGCTGTGGAATGGTTTGATTAGGCGTGGTCGGGTGTCCAAATTCCACATTTTGCAGTCGATTTGCTTCCACACTGCGGTTGGAGCCGCAGCTGCTGCAGCGCGGCAAGAGTCCATTCGGCCTCACGCGGCCAGCATGTTCGTCGTATGTTGTGCAAAGTTTGGTAGAACTTAGCGGGTATCCGACTACGTCTTTGGCAGCCGTCTATCTCAAAAGCGTACCGCGTAAACTTACCGCGTAAACTTTACGTGCCACAGAAAAAAAAAAAAAAAAAAGAGAGAAAAGTGGGTTACGTCACGACGAGGGTTCTTGTTTCCGCCGCCTCAAAACAAGGCGTTACAATCGCCGCCTCTACTTATAGCGAGTTCGTTTCACGGCACTCGTGCCCACGCGTGCCCACTCGCAGCGTGGAACGGGTTCGTTTCGGCCGGCACTCCACGAGTGGTTGCACTCTCCGAGTTCGTTTCAGCGCTGACACCCCACGCGTGCATGCACTCGCTGCACCGAGAAAATCGGGAGTGCGCCAAAATGCAATCCCGTCATGCCTCGCTCCGGCGGGGCCGGCGAGGAGCGGGAGCAGACGACGAGGGTTCGTCTGCTACGATGTGTCGCGAAACCGAACGGAAAAAAAGTAGATTTTCTGATAGAAATCGCGTCCCACGGGCCACGAAATCAAACGCGAGCTTGAATTGTGAGCGTCTGCTATTTCCCGAAGGAAGCAATTGACAACCCGTGATTTATTTGCAGGTTTTAAATCGCTCTGTTGCCGCACAGACGCTGAAATATACCAATGTGTAAAGGAATGCTCAGAACAAACGTAAAAGCGGCCCTCGAGATATCTATCACCATCCGTGTGCGGGTGAAAAATTTAACATTTGTCGACAAAACTCTCTCAGCAGAAACCTCTGACTGCCCAATACACAAACTCATCTCTGTTACGTCACGGCGCGGTGGTGGCGCGTCGGACGCACTTCCGGTCCGGGGCCGTGGGCGGAAGTGCCCATCTGAGACGTGCATTTTTGCGTTGTTTTGAAAGGAACCAGACAAAAACTTGCCTTCATGTCAAAATGCTGCGACTGGGGCTGTACGAAAAGGGTCGAGAAAGGTTTGAAGGTCAGTTTTCATGCACTCGGTTCGTCCGAGAACGTGGATATGTGCCGTGAAAAGGGAAAACCCGACGCCGTCGGACCACAATCGCTTGGGCGGGAAGCATTTTGGGTTGAATTCACGGATACTTCTGGCCATCAGATTTATTTGTTTTGTTCCAAAATGAACGCCGGAAAACCGTCAAGTTGTACGGATCACCTGCGGACTAGTTCAGTGCGTCTTCAAGTTCAAACGATCGCCTGATCGTTCGAACTGCCGTCTGCTCTTTCAAACGTTTCTGCTTGTCGTCTGCTCTTTTATAGGACACCGACTCGTAGACCAAACGTGGGCCCGGTACTTGCGATAAGAAGTAAGTGCAGGCCTCAAAGTACTTGAGTTTGAAGGTTGGTAAGCAGGCTCGACGTAAACAGTAGATACAAGGAGATGTTGATCATTGTTACCAGTGGCCATGACCGACTTGTTATGCCCGATTCATTTGGTTAGATTCTGCTTGCGATTTTCAGTATCGACGTCGACCATCTTAGCTACGGTTCACTCTTTTGCAGTCCGAGCGACGTTGCTACTGAAAATTGCGAGCGAAATCTCATCATGTGAATCAGGCTTTAGCGTACATTCTGCGGCGTCCACGCAGAATGAATCGCCGCATGTCAGATTATTCACGCGAAGTTTTGCGGTGCAACGAGCCTCGCTAATTTCACTGACGCCGCTTAAGTAGTCAGACATCGTTAGGAGGACGTAGAATCAACAATTCGAACGCGAAAAAGAGCGCGGGGACTCACACCGACGCCGACAACACCGCATTTCAATGGTTTGTTTATAGGCGACGGCGAGCTTCTTGCCCACACCCCCATCGCGCATGCGCGGCGCCGGTGGCGTCCGCTAGGGGCGCTCCGGGCGCTCCGGTTTGTTTGTAAACATGAGTTGGTGTATAAGCATCAGAGAAAGCTAAAGATGGTAACTTTACCCGAGGATTGGGCAACATCATCATGTTTAACATTTACCTACGTCAGCTAACTTGCCCCGTCGTATTTTGTTCGAGAATGCTCTCGTTCTCGACGCCCTCACCGAGGCATTATAGGTGGATCATCTGATCCACCTATAATGACGATCCAAATCGAAAGTCCCAGTTTTGCTGGATATTCCAACAGGCTAGTTTTAAGCCGCACCCTTTCAGTGGTTCACGCATAATACCATGCTCAAACGGATCATGCTTGTACTCGGACAGCATCATCAGTTTTCTTCAGTGTAAACGGTTATAAGAATTGAAAGATCGAAACCAGCTGCTTTGTAGACAGCTGGTTGCGGAAATTTACGCCGTCTGTAACTATCTCTACGGCAGCCGAGCTGCTTGAAGTCATCGCAACTATAAACTACAGGTTGCAGTGACCAACGTTTGTAGATAAACGTTGGTAGCGACTGCATTCTCGCATTCCCACGCATCGCTCCGATCAGAAAGGCGCTAGTTTCGGTTTGAAGTCGGTACCTTTTCTACAACATAGATGGCGGCAGCATCAGTCTTCTGCACTTGGTGCATTTGGCGAGTTCGTTTGAGTCCAGTTTTCCGTGCAACACTCTGAGAGTGCGGTGCATTCTGGGAGAGAACTCGAACGGTGCCAGTGCGTGTGAAACGAACTCGCTATTAGGTACTTCCCCCATTTGCCCCTAGATGGCGCAAGTTTATTGGTCGGTATGAGTGGATGTCATACTTGGAGGGGGTGGGGCACCGTGTCTTCTGTAGAGAGAGAGAGGCTTTAGTGGTTCAACTTTCTAGGATTTAGGAACAGAGCCATGGGAGAGAAAATCGTTGGACAGGCGAGTGAGGACGGTGGAGATACGGCCAACGCAGGCTTCAGAGGCTTTGGTAGTGCGGTACGCGGAACACGGTAACGGTTTGCTAAAAGTCCATATTACTACTATCCAGTGGCGTCACAAGGGGGGGGGGGGGGGGGGGGGGGACCCACACGCTATCAAGTTTTGCAAAGGAGAGTGTACTCGCACGGCGTTGCGTGCGAGTACACTGGGGTCCAACTAGCGCCAGTAAACTCGTGCAAAAAAAAAAAAAAATAATAATACAAGTGAATATTCTTGCACCGCCCATTTAAAGAGGAAGTGCAGCGATTTTAACATTGAAAGAATTGAAAGTTTGTATGTTTTATATTGCGCATCCAAGCACAACGAATGACATGTAACAAAACGATGAATGACTGAGGAAAGTTAAAGGTTCAATAAAACGGATTGGTGTAATAACTAGAAAAAAAGAAAAGTTCATCCTGCGACGGGAACAAAAGGGCGACTGACTCGATGCAGCCAAATCATTGGACAGCTGTGAAAAATAGCTCGAGCCATCCATCCAGTGATCCAGCGCCAAATAATTAATCGCCAGCCACGGTTTAGAGTCGGTCCGTGGACCAACCAGAGTAGGGACGAGGTAACATGTCGGCTTCTTTAGAAAAAAAAAAAAAAAATGAGCGCTCTACCTTTCCTCTGTGTCACTACGAACGTAAATTCTCATGCGAAAAAAGTCACACTCAAAGCGAGCAGTCACGTAATGCTCATGTACAATTCGGGTCTAGGAGAACTCGTCACAAGCCCAGTTGTCACAGGTCATAGGTAAACTCGTCCGATAGGCCAACTCGTCAAAGCGCATCTACCACGAGGAATTCTTATGGGTCCGGATATTTAATCGAACGCCGTTTCATCGAAAACTGTTTCATCGAAGCCGTTTCATCGAGCGCAGTTTCATCGAACGCCGCCTACTTGAGCAGTAGGAATTCTACATCTAGAACATATTTTCCTTTTTAGCGCCGGGAGGATAGCAGTGTTTTAATATTGATTTTAATTTGTAAACCTATAGATATATAAAAGGAAGAAACATTCCTTGTCGGGCGGCGGAGAAAAGCTCACCGGAGAAAAGCTCACCGGAGATAAGCTCACCGGAGAAAAGCTCACCGCAAAACCGGCAGATGCGGAAAAAAGCTCACCAATTTGGTTTTTTTTTTTTTTTTTTTTTTTTTTAACTTAGCAGATTCTGCGCCAAACGTGCCAATTTAACACATTTCGCACTCGTCACTTCATTAAAAATATTCATCTTTTTTTTGTAATATTCTTGAAGTTCATTGTGCATACTTACTAATTCATCAAAAATTAGTAATCAACCATTCTTTAATGAAACCGCAAATATAAAATCAGAACATCGTACACCGGTAAAAAAGACAACAATTTATTGACAGCTGACAGTGCGCCGTCGGTGGCTCTGTCAGATAGAGGTTTGTTCCTGCTCCAAATATTGTGTAATGCCTAATAGATAAGTAGGTGTTTGTTGATGAAATCAGTGTCGGCTACGCTGTTTTTAATTTCACGAACAAACCTTTAGTTGCGAGAACAGCTTCGTCCAGTCGTGTTTGTTGTCTTGACTCTTTCGTCGTCGTTTCAGCGGTTTTCATCATGTATAACGTTTATCAACTCGCCCTATTCGCTACCTTACAGAAGAGTGTGCAGCTCTGAAGGTCATAGGTGGCTCACCGTAGAAGGGCACTATCACACAAATGCAACGTGTGGAAACACCAGCACAAACGGCTGGAAAACGTGCATGTCCGTGGAAGAGAGAAGCCTCGATGTCCTACTTACTGTTTTATCTTGTTTTCGAAGGTTAACAAAAGCTTCAAAGAGAATTTCAGGCACCGCGTTGTTGCGCATGCACTTTCGGATTTTCGGCATTTACAGTTTTGATTTTTAGGTTTCAGGCACATATTATCAAGTTTTCAAACATTTTCCTGTTCTTCAAGTTCATAAAGTTTACAGTTAGGCTTTCGTTGCCCAGACAGTAAGCCACAGAAAACACTCGCCCGCAATTATTAATTTGGGAGCAATGTACCAAATAAGCTTAACAAATATTACGGAATAGGACATTTTCTTCTTTTTTTTTACAAAGCTGACGAATTTTAAAGATAATAAATTTATATATGTTACGCATGCTCCAACAACCTCCATATAAAAAAGAAAAAAGAAAAAAAGAAATCGGTGACCTTTTCTCCGCATACGCTCAATGGCCGGTGAGCTTTTCTCCGCATCCGCGGGTTTTGCGGTGAGCTTTTCTCCTGTGAGCTTTTCTCCGGGATTCTTTTAGTCACCTTCTACTCTTTTCTCTTTTCTCTTCTACTCTTTTCTCCGGTGAGCTTTTCTCCGGTGAGCTTTGATCACCAGGTGCAGTTATGAACGCACGTTCATAACTGCACCTGGTGATCATAACTGCACCTGGTGAAGATACCTGCTCTGCTTCAAGACGAAGCCGTCCTTGAAGCAGTGACCTGCCTCTGTGTCCCATAATACGGGGAAAAAAAAGACGTATGTCCCCTCTTTGTTAATTTATTGTAACCGACAGAGCCATCGACCTGCCGGATATTCGGCATACAGTATATAC